CCCTCTTTCTCGTCTCCATCACTTGCACCTCCAGCTCTTCGGCCTCCTTCCACCGGCCTTGATTCCTGTACGTCGACGCCAGGTTGCCCATGCTGAGAAGCGTGTCTGGATGCTCCTCCCCAACCACCCTCTTTCTCGTCTCCATCACTTGCATAAACAGCTCTTTGGCCTCCTTCCACCGGCCTTAATTGCTGTACGTCGACGCCAGGTTGCCCATGCTGAGAAGCATGTCTGGATGCTCCTCCCCAAGCACCCTCTTTCTCGTCTCCATCACTTGCACGCTTAGCTCTTCGGCCTCCTTCCACCGGCCTTGATTCCTATACGTCGACGCCAGGTTGCCCATGCTGAGAAGCGTGTCTGGATGCTCCTCCCCAAGCACCCTCTTGCTCATCTCCATCACTTGCACAAACAGCTCTTCGGCCTCCTTATACCGTCCGTCACTATACAAAGCCATGGCATATTTCCATAAAAGATCTAATCTCTCTTCGTTATCATCATCTGTTCGACTATGCGATAGAGTATACTAGACATATGGAAGCAGCCGTCTCCACTTGCTTCTACTATTATGGTCATCGTTTAGAAACACCTAGAGTAACTATATTATAGCGCGTTGAGTCCACTATTGGAACTGTCCCTACGCTTAGAGCCGTTTACGTAGAGCTTAATGCACTAGTTAATGAATATTAAGTATAGACTTAGTAGGTCGCCTAGTGATGAGCGTATATCTATCAAGTACCTTAATAGTATCTTCCTTTACCTGCAGCAAGGCTGCCTCTAGAAAGATAAGTAGGATGTCCTTCTAGTTTATGCATGCAGCATGAAAAAGATAATCTATAGTGAGTGCATTCTTATGAACAATCTGGTCTAGTGAGAGAAATAGTGTGGTAGCGATAGGATCTGCTATACTAGACCTCTATAGTCTTTCTGTAGAAGAGTTGCTGCTATAGTTAATAGTGGCATTATTGTACGCGTCTAGCTGTGCTTGGTAATCCTATACTATTATACCACTAGCGTTTATACACGCTGCTGCTTGCGCGATCACTAGAGGTAGATATAGTAGCTCCTCTAGTAAGTGCTTAGCTTCTTACTGCTTAGTGTTCAGAAGCGGCGTTGCTAAGTGGGTTTATAGTATCTTTAGCGCCATGTCTAGTGTTAGCTCTTATAGCGATATAATACCCTATAGAGTAAGCGCCTCAGCTATGCCACAATTTATGGTTGTGAAGATGGTAGAGCATAGCTTAGATTGTGGCAACTAGTCTACCAAGTCTACCACTTCTATTGTGGACAAGCCACTAGATTGTAGAATAGTGTCCTCTGCGTTGTTAAAGATTAGTAAACACTATTATGCACTAATCTCTACTACATAGCGTTCTATAAGCTGGTTCATACTGGCCTAGTTATTATCCCATCTAGGAATATAGAGCTTCTGCGCAACACTTGCATATGACTGGTAGAGACTATCTTTGTCGCTTGTGTCTATCTAAAAGACTAAGCAGTTATCTATGTTCTACCTTATTTTGTGTGCAACCTTAAGCGCGAGCTGTGACTTGCCTAATCCACTAGGTCCAACGATTGCTAGTATAGTAGTGGTCTATTCGTTGCTAAAGAGCTTTCCTTCCAGCTTAGTAAGCTGCGACTCTCGGCCTATAAAGCGAGGGTTTTATGAGAATGGGATGATTGATGGTATATTAGCAACTACCACTACTTCTGCCTATAGTCTGCTTTATGCACTCTCTTATCCTTTGCTGTACGCGGTTTGCATGTAAACGCTAAGAATCCTAAGTAGGCAGTATATAATATCTTCCTCTTTAGTAGTTTCGTGATTCTCGGCCTATCTCTCTCGCTCAGATGTAGTAAACTGGTCCAAGGGGCAATTGCGCAATGCCGTAAGCGGGATGCTAGTGATCTCGTATATAAGCTGGTTGAGTGACGCCTTGTCGCCTATGGGCTGTCCTTCGCATGAGAAGAACTCGACTAACGGCGGCGTGATAAGCTCTTAGAGCGTCCACCCTTGAGTGAACTATACACTTTTGTGGAATGATGCTTCCCAGTTACTGCGTTGGACTGGCTCTGTTGCAGTCGATACTAAGATGTCTAACAAGAAGACGTAGCATCGTGTCACGTCCTTGTACCATTGGAACATGGAGTTAATCGCCTTTGAGAGCTCGGAGAGATTCCACTTGTTGATGCAGCATGTGTCGATCCAGAAGTACTGCAGCTTATCCTGTGCCGCCTGTTTGGCGCAAAACTGGAGCTTTTGGTAGCCTTCTCTCCTCTCCTTGTAGACTTCGCTTGCGATGTGTTCGAGGAGGATTTCGGAGTCGCTCCATCTGTGCGATAGAATGGCGTATGGCGGGATCGTCTTGCCGCGAAAGTCTGTTGAGACGAGCCTTCCTAGCGCGTCAAAGTGGAGAAGCCGCATGGCGTTTGCAGCTCAGACTTGGTTGGAGGGGGGCGAGGCGTGGACGACTTTTGTGTTAATTAAAGTAGGATCATACAGTCGCGACAGATCAAAGCAGGTAGGGGAAGCTTATGCTGCTGTGATGGCAGCCTGTCGAGGCAGTGCATGCGATCAGGCTGAGCAGACGCTGGCCACATCATGTGTCAAGCTCAGAGTCGCAGGACACAGCCACAGTGCGCAGTGCGGTACGCAGATATCTTAGCACGCTACTGCAGGCTGCTGCATGCTAATAGTCGCTAAAGATGCACGTCCAGCCAGGTGCGATTTAACAATCTTGCCGTCCGCGCGGAGAAACTGCCGGGAAGCACACTCCTCACTTTACCTTGACCTACAACGCTACAGTCTTATTCTTTGCTATCTCAGCTTGTTTTCTAGCCTACCGAGCTCTCTGCAGATATCTATTGCCGCAAATGAGCAGGGGGTGTTCAAGGAGAGTTGTTGGACAGCATGGACAGAACAAGCAACATCACGGTTAATAAAGCGCTTTTTGGCGTCGGAGGCTGATATGCTAAGAGGGTAAGAGCTACATAATGGATGCGCAGGAGCTGAGGGCAAGGCACAGCAGGGTGGGGGTACCAAAACAACACCGTTGCAACAATGAGACTGGCGCATAACAGCTATTCTAAAAAAAAGAATAATGCGCCACACTTTGGCTTAAGGAAATATTACCATTCAATACCGCGGTCATGTAAGCAGACTTTAGACGCGCTAACTGCAGACAAGAGATCCGCCAAAACACCGAGGAATGCAAGGGTTAATCAGCCGACATCGGAACATTCGGACTCTGTAGTCTAGCGGTCAATTTAGACTTCAAAGCGCGGGAAAATATTTATCTTGACCAGGCTTTCTTGTCATGCCTCCGAAATTTAGGGAGACGTAGTATGTCTCGAGAAAACAGGGGAGAGATGTCGAGGCGGCAACTTAAGGCGCTGACGAATAGGTGTAAAAAACGACAACCACAAGGTGGAACCTTACGAAAATCAAGAAACATAGACTCAGACAGTTATAGGATACTTTGGTATCATTCAAAGTGCTATATATCTGATAGGGAAAATTTGGAGAGGAATTTGCTCACCAATTGTCTCGGTACACCGTGCGTCTCGCGACCCAGGGACGCACCTTAGTGCGAACCCTTGTTAATATTATCTAATGTATACGCGGCCTCGCTTATTATAGATTAAAGAGAGAATTGCGTCTATGAATTTATTCCCAAACCGATGATGTCCATCTCAGCAGGCACTCTATGGTCATCACTAAATAGCTAATTCTGCCACATTGCTCAATTTTGGAAAGCTCCACCCAAAAACTTTGAGAGCTCTAAGCAAGAAAAACAGGCTTCCAGACTCTACGTCTCAATCGTATCCAGTCTGATTCCTTAACATTGGCAATACCATGCCGGTATGCAATTCCATAAGTCCAAGAACCCAGTAGGACATTTACATAAGACGAATTTGTACCAATGACGACCAATGAGCCATCTGTGGAAGACAAAGATTCCACGCCGATAGGGACTTGACCCCAAGTTGACATCATTTTCACCTCTTCCTGACAGATTTCAGCCTTCACCTTGGATTCTTCATGATATGATATCCATGTTACATCAGTATCTTGCCAACGTATAAGTACTTCGGCGACATCGGTCCAAAACGCAAGAATACAACTGAGCGAGATGATATCTCCCATTCCATCCGGAATGTGCTCGTTGCGTATCACGGTATCTCCAGTGACGTCTCAGCCAGAACGTGTCCAGAAAGGCTGCACCTTGCTTTCCGAATGTGATTTGACCTCAGTTAGCTGAGTATGTTTGGATTCACTGCACGTGAAGAAAATGAGGCTAGACTGTCTTGAGATCGCGTATTGGTCGAGGGGAATCCAGACTTTGCCAATCCACCCGACCCAGGACCAACTTGGGAACGGACAGTGTGAAGTGCTATTTTGGGTTGGTCCAAGCATATGCTTTGCGGTTCTCCGTTGATTCCGGCTTGATAATGTGGCATCATCATCAGAATGACTTTCCCAGATCAGAGCAGCAGAGAGCATTGCCGTTGGTAATCCCCAGAGGAACTTGGATCCGGAGCGCATCTCCAAGGCGGCGAGTACTCCAGAGATTGCATGCAAGCCATCTTCTTGGTATGTGAGTTGGAGACCGGTATAATGCGAGACAACTTGTCGATAAGTGTTCACAATATCGAAGGGATGTGACCTCCATAGTCTAGATAAGTCAAGATGACTCCAAAAAGTACCACTACCGAAGCCGGAGGTGAAAATCTGGGGAAACTCAGCAGGTAATTCTCCGAAACAGTCTTCCCGCCATATGGATTGTTCGCATTCCCAGTAGATGAGGTCTTTTGTAAATATCAAAACTCGCCTAGATAACAGTCGCTCTTGGAAAGTCCACGCTCGCATACTCCAGGGTGAGCCTGTGGCGTAATCACAATCTGGACTTTCAGGCGGGTCCATCATAGTGGCAACTCCGTAATCCCCAAGCCTAAAGGATGGGCGGACCTGGATAAATAGTTGTTCTGAACGCGTTATCGAATTTCTGATCCAAGGGAGTCCAGCTGCAGCATTTGAACCCGATGCCGCTACTATAGTAACGACTGCATGGCGGTAAATGTCGCCCATCCTTGGAAGATGAATGGACTTGTCCTCCTCGCAGTCCTGAAGAATGCACAAACAATCAACCCAGAGATATCTTTCTCCAAGAGCTTGAGTTACTCTCAAGGCATCCTCAATGGTAAGCGGCAAAATCCCCTCAAGCGACCCTTGTGTCTCATGCTGATTGATATTTTCTGTTGTCATGAGCACTGTATTTGCCCCACCCCAAACGTAACTCAGTGCGACCCAATTTTCGGTCCCCGAACCATTAACGATACATCTCTTATCTACGTCTATAAGCCGGATCCGAGGCTTAGGCGTAACGATGTTATGTGTAGAGCACAAATGTCCGTGGTTGTTGAGACAGTAGTCTTTCCAGGTTCGAACCAAACGTTCATCAATCAAGTTCACTCTAAATCGCCCGACGTATGGCAGCGATTCTCCGATATCGCGAGAAAATAGAATTCCTGAGTCACATTGATCATGAACTGTTGCAGGCTCTGAATTGCAGCTCTGGAATCGGATAGTGCTGAAATTTTTTCCACTACTCTTCGTTCCTCGATTGTGTTTCCGAATCTCAACAATAAGTCGGTTGAGAGTCGCTCTCTGCGGATTGATTTGGTCTGATCTTTCTTCCAAAGAGGAAACTCTGTATACGTAATGTATGTCACAGAATTGCTTCGTCAGAAATTCTTGGAAATCAAAATCTTCGGGTTTACCGGTAACACATTCGGCTTCGAAATACTTTACTCCAGAATCAGTGGTCTTCAGATCCATGAACTCATCCAATGAGGATCGAATTAACTCCAGACTTGTGTGCACAAGAATCGCACAAAATAGACAAGAATGGCTTTTGGCGGTCTGCAAAACCTCTGGGAAACGGCGAGAAAAATGCAAGCTCCCTAGCTCTGTCGAGTATACTGCCCCTGTAGCACATTTGCTTTGTTTGTAATGTTGCAATCCAAGTTTGTCAAGCGATAAAGAAGAACATGGAGAACAAAGTTCAGACCGATCTTTCGACAACATTGAGCATTCTACACCACTCTGTTGCGGTTCTAATGTTCCTTCCAAACCATCCTCGTCGTATTTTCGGCTATTTTCAAGGATCTGGGACTTTTCTTCCGGACCACTCTTCTGGGACTCAGTTGGGACATCGCCATTCCTGCTTTTTTCTTTGGACCAGCCGGCATGGATCCAAGTATCGTCGTTATTAAATAGTAAGATTGATGGTCGTATGCCATAAGTCAGCAATTGTGTTCTGCCATCAGGAACTAATGAAAGTCAGAGTCGTTTCATTCTCTGCATACAAGGGGGGTCCAATGTCTTACAAGCTTGTTTCGAGATTTTGTCCGCCTGACTCAAAAAGAAATTTGTCAACCTGTGAACACAGGCAGGCATCTTGTCCAGTGGCACAAAAATAAGACCTGGATGTGATGGGTGGTTGGCCAACTCGGCTCCTGCAATCCAAGAAGCGACTTCTTCTTGCAGAGTTGACAGCTCATCTTGATCATCAAGCTTGAGCTGAAGATAAAGCGGAGGCATTGCGATAGCAGCAAAGAGCGACTCGGAAGAGGGTTTTTGGTGCGTTCATTAATGTAAATTCTGACTTTGTTGAACGAGGATAGTGAAGTTGCTTTGTGTCAAGAAGTAATTTAATAGACAAAAATCATGCTGGGCTTTATGTAGCTGGTTTGAGGCAGCCATCATGCATCCAAGGCTAAGAATAGCCGCATTAGCCACAAAGGAAGATAAGCTCTTAATATTGGACCACTTCATTGCTGCATTTAGAATGAATATAGAGCTTGACCGGTCAAGTATAAACCTGAGGTAAAAACAACACTGATGTAGTAAGAAGCAGAGAAAAAGCATGGTAGAGGTACATAGATGAGGATACCAAGGAAGGAGCGCCTGGTGCTTTACTAGAGAGAAAGGTTAACTCGCAATAGAAACAACAAAGACAATAGAGATTATTCAGTTTTAAACATGGCATAGTATAGAACCCACTGATTTACATACTGGAGCATGGAAGAATCGCTACACAGCTGTAGGCTTGGCGGTCAGCGCAAACGCCTGCAGTGTCAACTTTCCTGCAGGCTTGCTCGTGACTAGCTGTCCGGTATGCAGACGAACTGGATGCAGATACGGAGTGGGTAGGATCGAGCCGCGAAGAGCAAGATAAATGCATTGCTAGGCTTGACGAGGAGCCCGAGCATGACTCTTCGTCGCCGCATAGGTATCCACTCAATAGATTCATGCAAACAGGCAGCTTACTTACAGAACTTCTAGGAAGATTCAATCAGTGGGTGCTCATAATGCCTCATGAGGCTCTACCTTGTCAATCCGTATCAAATTGAATGATACTGCCACCACATCACACTCATCGTAACAGCCTCGATTCATTTCAGTGGTTCACAAACGCTAAGCCTGCGCTCGATCATGTGAATCCGCAACCTCACACGTCGTGCAACCACATACAGCTCCGACCCAGCGCTCCATCACGCCGCCTCCCCCCTCACAACCTCGACATCCCCAAAAGCCGCCTCCACAAGCATCGGCACCCCGTTCCCCGTCGCATACATCCCCATCCTCGCGCCCTGCCACGATATCCGCCCCCCAGACCGCGGCGCCATCCACCTCGCGGAGAACGCCGCCAACCACGTAGGCTCCTCCTCTCTCTCAACCGAGTACCCCAGGCGATACGTATCCGGCGTCGCACGAACATGCAGTCGTACACTCGCTGCTCCATTAGTGACGGCTCCATCCGGCACAGACACATAGGACGTCGTCGCGTTCCCATCGACGCCCTCTCCCTGCGCGATCGTCTCTGTCTTCAGACACACCGTGCTTGTCTGGTTCGCGCATAGCACGAGCGAGATGCTGTTGTGGAACTCGTCGTTGACCCAGGCTACGATGCCGGCCTCGTGTGTCTGCAGGGTAGGCTGGAAGTCCAGATCGACGCTGAAGTCGTAGAACAAATCGTCCTGCTTCGTCAGCACGAGCGCCACGCCATCGAGCGCGGACAGCGCGCGTGGCGTCCCGCGGAGACGCAGCGAGCCGTTGGCCACGCGGTACCAGGTACCATACGGCGTGCCGCGGAACTCCCACTTCTCAGGTGACAACGCTGGGGAGCTGAAATCATCCGTCCAGGTGCTGCTCGCATTCTGCGCCGAAGCTGGCAGGTCAGGATCCTGCATGTCAAACGTGATGAGCTGCCCCCCATTCGCAACCGGCCACCCCGCCTCCCATGTCACGCGGCTGAGAAACGTCTCGCGGCCGAGCTGATACGTGCCGTTTATGTTGGCGGGCAGCTGCGGGCGCACAGCAAGGAACACGGCGTACCACTTCCCGTCCGGTCGCACCACGAGGTCCGCGTGCCCGGTTTGCTGCACGGGGGCGGCGGGGTCGCGGGAGTTGAAGACGAGGGGGCCACGGGGACTTGGAGTCCAGGGGCCCGAGGGCGAGACGCCACGATGGATGGTCTGGCGGTGCAGGACTTCTGTGCCGCCTGTACGGGGGTTCCGGCTTGTCAGTGTTCAGGCATCGCCTATCTTGTCATATCCGTTTTACACACCTTCTGCAACAGACAAATAGTACGTCTCATTGATCTTATACACGTGTGGACCCTCCGCCCACCTAATCTTCTCGGGCAAACTACTCTTGTAAATCAACGCCGGCTGCGTCAGGCTGTGTCCCGTCCGCACGTCGACTTTGGACTGCCATATCGTGCTATTGCCACCGCGGGGCCCGAATTCCGGCAACGCAGTGGACAGGTACATGCACCCGTCGTCGTCGAAGAAGAGATCCGGGTCGATGCCGGTTTGGTCGAAGTACAGGGGCTGGCTCCAGTTCCCGTAGAAGATGTCCTGCGTCGTGACCAGGAAGGGGCGCTGGTCGGCGGGGTTGAATGCTACGCTCTGACTTCAGAATCAAGACAGAAGACAGAGAAACTTGGAAACAAACGAAGAACTCACTATCAGCATAGTTGGTGATCAGGTAGAACGTGCCACCATGATACCGCAACGTAGGCGCGAAGATACCGCCGGTAGTAAGCAGCTGCCGATCATAAATAGCGTTGTGGGTCGTCAGGCCGTGGCTGATGATTTCCCAGTCGACGAGGTTTGTGGAGTGGTAGATGGGCAGGCCGGGGAAGTACTCGAAGGAGGAGGAGGCGAGGAAGTAGTCAGTTCCTACACGGATGACGGAGGGGTCTGCATTGACGCCGCTAATAATGGGGTTTCTGAAGGCCGAAACACCATGGCCTGAAGTGCTGTTAGTGAAATCAATCATTGGGACAGGATGCGATGTGTGTGCAGACCCATTAGCGCGGTTGCTAGAGTGTAGAGAGACCGTTTGGAGACCATGTTGATAGTGTGCAGTCTTCCTGAATATGGAAATGTAAAACAAGGCACCTTTTCTTTTCTCTTATAGCGGAAAACTTGTCCGAATTACCATTTTGGCGTGTGTGCTCTCGTCGGGGCATGTCCCCCAGGGCTCCACATCCCGAACAGATCTTAGTGCGGTGGGGAAAACAATCCCCATCGAGCTCGCTTTGGTGACGGGACGGATTAGCTGCGGGCTCAGTATGAAGCTTTGTGCTCTTCAGTGCAAGCAGGCAGTGCGTTCTCGATGGCCGATCTGCTCTCTCCTTTGCGCCCGAAGAAGTCGTTACCTGGGTTGGCAGGAACAAAGTCGAGCCTGGTGCGACTTCACTTTCACCGCTCTAGCTGTGGGTGGTCGAATGCGCGTGCGGTGCATGTCGCAGCTTGGGCCACCCGCTCTCCGCAGCGGCCTCCACCTCGGACGGCCGACGGCGCAGCTTAATCCAACCTCACACCATCTCACCACGCTCGCTTTCATCGCCGCGCGCACCACACCGCGTCCGATGCATCCAGTCTCGACGTGATTCCAGCTCGAAATCACCCGGCGACACCGGTTCACGCATAAATCCGCGCCGGAGCGTGTCCGCACGCACCTTCCGGCCTGCGCTGCAGCCGCAGCTGCCCACGCGCTGACCCCCAGGCGCGTCGACCCCCTCTCCCCTTCACCTGCACCTCGCGCAGCCGCCGCCATGGCCGGCACCATCCGCCCCAACGACATGGACATGTCGACGACGCCCATCATGTCCTCCAAAACACTGCCCGACCTCTCGATTCCGCTCAAGTCGGCCTCGAAACCGTCGACCCCGCGCGCCCCCCGCATCGACGTCGAGCCGCTCTACACGGCCGTCAAATCCGCCCTCGGCGACGCAGACTGGACCACCTACAAGACGTCGCTGTCGGCCTTCCTGCTGGGCAATCTCAACCAGGAGGAGCTCACCGCGCGGCTCGATGCCATCTTCGCGCGGGCAGAGGCCGAGGCCGCGAAGACGCTGGGGCCCCGCGGCGCCCTCGAGAGAGCGCACAATGCGCTCGTCATGGGCGTGTACGCCAATGTGTGGCGGGATGCGCCCGAGGCGGGCATCGCGAGCTGGGTGTCGAGCTCGGACAAGGTGTCGGGGAGCGTGCCCAAGGGGACCGGCGACGAGAGCGAGAAGAGGCTCAAGCAGGAGGTCATGCAGATTTCGCGGCGGGAGCGCAAGCGCCTGAAGACGATACATCAGGGCGCGAGTGGGGGGTTCGATTTCATGCCGCTGGATCCCGTTGGCGGCATGATGATGGAGTACCACGAGGCGCGGAGAGTGAAACTGCCCGAAGCTGGGCCAGCGGCCCAGGCAGGCGGGTACGGCAAGACGAGTGCGTTACCATTCCCTTCTCTTTCCCCCTCCGCGGACTCGTTCGTCGGATTCGTAATGGATGCCAAACTGACACCCCGCAGACTGGGACCTCGAAATCCGCAAACGCTACACCGCGCCCCTCTTTACCGAAACCCACGAGTTCCCCACCGCATCCTCCATTTCTCTCCGCCTGCTCCCCATCTGCTACGAGTCCGGCCTCCCCCAAGGCCACGCGCCCGACTGCGCCGACCTGCTTAACATCGCATGTGAGAACTACATCAAAGAAGCGCTGACGAACTTCTTCACCCTGGTGAATGCGAACGGCACTGGCTACGTGCGCACGGCCGAATACAAGAAGCGCGTCGAGCGGGAAGAGGCGCGCGTCGCGCGGGGCGAGATGGTGCGGCTCGCGGGCGGCGAGCTGCCCGTCGAGCACGAGGAGCGTCGTAAGCGCAAACTGCTCTGCATGGAGGATCTACGTCTCGCGCTCGAGATCGGCGACAGCTACCTAGCCCACGTGCCGATCCTCGCGGGCGCCATCTCCCACTCCAGGTGTCTGGACACCCCGGGCGTCGAGGACATTTATCTGCCCCCCAGAGGAAAGGCCATGGCCAACGGCTTCAACGGCACCAAACCCAACCCCCACGCCCTCAACCTCGACCGCGACCGCACCCGCGACGTCGGCGACCCCATGGACATCGATGAGGAGTCCAACTGGCAGGGCGGGAGCGTCAAGGACATCGACGACCTCGATAGCGCGCTCGATGCTGTGCTCGAGCTGGGGGATCTGTGATGATCCCGGTCATGTTGGTTTCCCGTGGAGAGAATGTTTCGAAGAAGAGCGAGATTGCATGTATGTGGCGTTTGGGCGTGTTATCCAACTGGCAGCATTTGGGCTGGGCTTCGGGTGGGCGGGCGCGCTTGGATGATACCCGGATTTTTGCTCCCTAGCTATAGCGGCGTTTTCAGAGGTGCGCTTCGGCGTTGTGATATTTTCATTACGGTGTACGAATAGCTAGAGTGTTAGATGGGTCGGTCATTGACTGTGCTTTTGCAGGGCCTAGGTCTATAATGTACATGTATACACAGTGGCAACAACTCAGCGGCCGAGACGACCAACACGGATGCCGAACCCCACTCCCGACTAGATCCTGTCCACCTTCACTTTTTACCCTCTGACCCCCTATGATGCCCTCCTACCCACCTCCCCTCAAACAAACACTCCCCACTCCTACTTCCCCTACTTCGCCTTGCCCCCCGCCCTCTCCCTGATCTTCTCCTCCCTCTCCCACCTCTCCTCAAACACCCTAAAAAACAACCCCAACCACTCCCTCTCCCGCCCACTCAGCCCCCGACTCGGGTTTCGCCACGCCGCCTGCAGCACCTCCTTCACCCGTCTCCTCAACACCTTCACCGCAACCGCAGCACGCCACTCGCGCACCGCAAACCTCAGCGTATTCCCCGGCATCGCAACAACACCGGCATGCAGCTTGAACTCGACGTCCGCAGCCGCCATCAGGATGAGCGGAAGCGGGTGCACAATGCTCGTTGAGTGGGCGTTGTAAAACTTGTTGCTGGACTGCATGATGTGGTAGTAGCTCAGATACTTTGCAGTCGAGGGATTGACCGGGGAGAGCTTGTTGACCGAGGTAGGCGCGAGGCTGACGGACTGCGCGTTGGAAATGTTGCGCCAGCCCTTGCCGTCGCGCGTCAGGATCTTGGGGTAGAAGGCCATGCCGACGACGGCGGTGACGAGGAGATCGTTGGTCGAGTGGGCGTCATAGGCGGGCGGGATGGCGACGAAGACGCGGTGGCGCGAGGTGCTGCGGTAGCGCTGTTGTACTCTGCGTTCTTCTGGGGTCAGAGAGATGAAGCCGGCTTCGACGAGCGACGAGAGGAGCTGGGCTTTGAGGTCCTCGATATTGGACAGGTTGGGGGCGCTGAGAAAGTTCTTGTGGCAGAATTGCGCCTCGGAGCGGCCGGCGGTTGTGCAGACGGTCTTCCAGGCATTGTAGGCGTTGTAGGTGGTCAGAAGGTCTGAGTCGCCCTTTTTAAACGCCATGCGGGCTGCGTCGGCACGTTGCTTTGCGCCGAACGGTGTAAGGAACGGTGATTTGGAGGACAAGATCGCGGCGATGGTGATGGCTGCGTCGACGCAGCTGAATATGGCGGATAGCAAGACGAGCTTCCCAAGATGCGCATCCAGCGGTAGTTTCGCAATTTGGCTTCCGAGCGGCGTGAGGTCCTCGCCAGGGGTGAGAGCATCGACCTCGATGAGCGCGTCAATCGCGCGCCGGATGTTGCGTGACGAAGGAGGGTCGAGGGCTTCGGACAGGGTCTTTTCGATGTCGCCGAGTTTGCAGATCTTCGTACGCATGACCAGATCTTGCAGTGAGAGTCGGAGCATCTCGGGTGTCTGCTGGTCGACCATGAGATTGTCATGTCGATACTTTGTGAATAAGTGGAAGCACAGGCCGTCCTGTACACGACCCGCGCGACCTCGTCTCTGCTTTGCGTTTGCGCGAGAGATGAACGACTGCGTCAAGCGGGAGAGCTGTCTGCGTTCGTCGAAGCGCATCTCCTTGTGCTTGCCAGTGTCAATGACACAGGTGATATCCGGTATGGTGACTCCCGTTTCGGCAATGTTGGTGGCGATGACGATCTTCCTCATACCCGGCGGGGGTATTACGAAGGCTGCCTGCTGTTCTTCGCTCGAGATGGTGGAATGAAGAGGGTAGATGAGCCAGCTGTTATCGAAAGAGGGATGGGCGGCCAGTAGGTCGTTCAGTTGGCGAATTTCAGCAATACCCGGCAAGAAGCACAGAATTGCGCTGCTATACCGGGCAAGCTGCGGATCATACGCGACCACTTCCATGAGACGGACAATCAAGTCATAGTCGATCGCATATTCATCGTAGTCGGCCAAGGCATTCTTTGTGGCCGTACTGTAGCCCGTTAAACTAGAGGTGTTCGTTTTCTCGGATGATGGTCCGTCGTCCTCGTCGCCACTGTCTGGTCCGTTGATGACCTTATTGTTGGGATTTGCAGTGTAGTGTGTTAGCTCGATGGCGTCCTCGAGATACTTGGTCTGGACAGGGAACGTCCTTCCGGGCACATTGAGCACCGGTGCCCCATTGAGGTAGTTTGAAAAACGATTCGCATCGACGGTAGCACTCATAAGAATGACTTTTAGCTCGGGACGAGTAAGCATGAGCGATCGAAGTATGATAAGCAAAAAGTCGGTATCGATACTGGGTAATGTCAGTATGCCATCGTCCAGTGTTCGCTATGATTGCATACCTTCGCTCATGGACCTCGTCAATGATCAAATGCGTTACTTCGTTTAGGTTGTTTGATGATTCCAACATGCGCAACACAACACCAACTGTGGCGAAGATGAGTCTTGTCTGGGGCGTGGTCTTGGACTCTAACCGGATTGCGTAACCCACCAGAGAACGGATCGTTCCGATGTCTTTGGGGGCTTCGCCAATTTCTTCGCTCACGCGTTGAGCGAGGGATATCGCTGATATTCGTCGAGGTTCCGTACAGAATATTTTACAAGGCTTGCCCTGGGACAGCTCGTGCTCCAGAAGAAAAGAGGGTAACTGGGTACTCTTGCCGCAACCTGGATACGGTCAGAAAGGTACAGATGATCATGGAGTAAGTGGTCACTCGCCCGTTTCACCGCACACTATAGTCACCTGATGCTTATCAATGGTCGAGACGATCATCTCCTTGTACGCAAAGATGGGCAGCGTAGCTCGACCTTGAAGCATGTATTGGAAGGAATGGGTTGAGGCCTTGTTGAACCACAACTCCTTGAGGCTTTCGAAGACCTGTGGAGGAGTATTCTGCCCCGATGCAGAAGAGCTTGAACTGGCCGCAGCCTGATTACGCGCCCTGAAGCGACTTGTGAGCACGACGCCTTCGGCCTCTTCATCTTCCAGTTGATCCTGCACAAGAGACCGGAAGTACTTGATCTTATCACGATCGGAAGCATCAATGCGACACCTGCGAGTGTCAAGCAAGTCTCGGTAAAGGTCTCGCCATGTCGGTGGAAGGCGCAGGTAGACCTTTTCTTCCTTGGCGGAAGCAGCGAAAACGCTGAACAACGCCACCGTCGAGATGAAGCCTTCACTTTGCTCTATTGAGATGGTAGCGATTGAAGTTGCCTCGAAGGTGGCCCGGTTGCCGTTGATGCTACTTGTAACACCGACGACCTCGGTATCGTATTCCAGATCCTGATCCTTCGACCACACCACGGTCAAACCATGCCGGCATGAATAAGTTGTAGGAGAGATCTGCTTGTACGAAAGGCGTGCACCAGAATCCCTACAACTGTCAGCAAATTATATCCAGACTGGTTCCTGTACGAACCTTGCACGGACAGCCTCTTCCAGCACCCTTCGCGGACTAATGCCACTCTGCTTGCCAAAGTCACGTAAAGTCACGCCATCACCAGCATCGCTGGTCTTGACCTGGTCACTTTTGGATGCTTCATCTGGTATAGCTGAGAACATATCTCCGAGCGAAATGTCATCATCCTCGGTCCCGTTTTCTGAGCGTGCATCTTGCTCCGGCTTTTTCCACGCAGGAACTTTGCGCGGGGTGGACACCCCACTAGCTACTCCAGGGAGTTTAGGAATTTTCGGGACGGTAGGCTGTTGTCTTTCCGCTGCCATCTTTAGGGTGAGCTCGGCCCGCTTGTTGGGCCATAGCGCTTCTGCTTCGATGTCGTCGAACAATGCATCCGATTCCAATTTCTGCAGCTGCGAAAGCAGTTTACGAACTGACGGTGGTTGAGTTGTGCTCGTTAGTCTCGCGTTCCCAGCCTTCTTGCTCTTTCCTTGCTTGCGTGATTTCGCCTCAACGGTGTCGGGGTCAAGCTCGAACAGCTTCCCTTTGATCTTGATGTACGTTGGGACGAGTTGGTCTGGCTCCAGATCACTGTCCAGATCGCTGACAGCTACGTCAGATACTTCGGGTTTCAGAGGAGGTGGTCTAGCACCCTCTCCGCGCAGCGCTGGGGTGGGAGCTCGCGACGATTCATTTTCAGAATTCACGCTGCTCCCGTTGTTCATGGGTGGATTCTCAGGCACAGGGGTCCCTGCCAGTTGTACATTAGCTCAGTAAATCAATAGCATCATATCGACATCCAGCACGAGTGGCTGTAGACATAACGTAGTCAGAATGACTCATAATGACTGAAACTGATCTTCGGCAACGTTACGTACCAGGTCGCGAAGTGTTCGGAGAAGTAGTCGTGGGGCGAAGCTTCTTGGGTTCATCGTAAGAGAGCGAGTGGCCAACGCAGTGATCCAAAGCCAACCACTCGAGAGCCTCCTGTAGACCCCACACGCTGGCTGTGCTGTCTACCGAAGCAGCATTGGCACAAAGCCAACGTAACACAGGCTCAATGTGAGTAGGGGAGAAAGCCATGTCGCGTAGTGTCAGTTCAAGCATCCACAGTCTAGCAGTGGCATCTTCTTCGGACATGACCTTGAGCAGAGACTGCTGGCTTTGCTTGCGATTGGAGTCTTTCGACTCAGTCTGGGCGAGCGAGATGATGCGGTCGGTAATGTCACTGGACAACCAGTCATGGGTGGTGAGTGACTCTGCCGCAGCGCGAAGAACCCTGCGGTCCGTCTGCAGCTTCGTCGCCTGTCGGCGAGACTCGCGGCGAACTTTTGGGGCATGCTTCTCCACCAGCAGTTGAAGCTCGTCGCGTTCCAGCTGAGCTTCGAGTTCCTCCGGGGTCTGTTCGACCTGCAGTGGGACGGGTGCTGATGCAGAAGTAGAGGCTGCCTGTGGGGTCGGGTCGACTACTGGGCCATGGTCCTTTCCAGGCACAATGGCTTCTTCGTCCTGAGCGACGGCCGGCTTTTCCTTGGGCTTGCTTGCTATCGAAGTCGTAGCGAAGCCGCGAGCAGGATTGCCGGCGGGCTTCTTCTTTTTCTTGTTCGGGGCCATGGGTCACGGGACCAGACCAGGTGTTTGTTCAGTGGCAGTGGAGAGCGGCGTGCAGGATGTGCAAGATTAGTCAGGTCGGGATGCGTATGGAGAACCAGGGGGCTTGATCTCTGGCTAGATCGAGGTTGGCGGATCCGGGTCTGCGGGTGAAACGCATTAGTCCAGGGCGTACACAGGAGACGGGGAGGGTGGATAGGCCGGGCTCGAAAAGGGCGCCGATGGTCGAGGGCGCGCCGCTGTCGTGCGATGCGCCCGCTAGCGGGCAGGGACAATCTTGGCGTGTACGTCGGTCGTGGCAGCAGCCTCGCGTGAAATTTGAGCTGCTTCACACCCCGCCAAACCCCGCCACCGCATGGAGTAGCACAATGGCCGTCGATGGAGCGAGTGCGCAACACCTGGACCGCGACGAGCTGCGCCGCGGCCTGGTCACCAGCTCCACCAAGCGCCGCATCCACGAGCTGGCGGGCCTGCAGCACCAGGTAGAAGGCGACTGTGCGTTTGATGTGCCTCCGGCGCTGCGATGCGAAGCACGTGCTGATTGTGTCCAGCCCTCGTGCCGCCCGACCTGCGCATCCTGCTCGAGCTGCTGTTCGAAACGTACCCACTCTACGACGACCGCGACTCGCGATATGCTGTCGAACGGGTCCTCCGGTCCCTCGTAACCAGCACCCATGGCAGTCTGGTGCTGTCCGCAGTGGTCCAGTTCCTGAAGAAAGAGGCTCAGAAGAAGAGCTTGGCATTGAGCAACGTCATTGTCTTGGTTGACTGGTGCTCGGTGCTGCTGCAGCACTTTGCCAACGAGCCGGAGCAGTGGGAGAAACATGGAATCGACGTCGCGCTTGCCCTCGCGAGCGTATTGGAGCTTTGCATGGGCATTGAGGACAAGCGGCGAGGTGCGCGCATCCACCACTCGGCCCTCGTGTCGACCCGCCGCGCATTGCGTCCTCTGTTCCGCGCAAAGGACATCGGAGAAGATGCCTTGAGCAAGCTGGTCACCACGCTTACCGCCAAGGGCGCGACCTCGACGGCTGGAAACGCCGTCCTGCTCGGGGCCATTGCCGGAGTCTCAGCGCGCCTGCCGACCGTCAAGCCGTTGTTGGAGGCCCGCAAACAGGAATACTACTCCTTCTACGTGCGAGAAATCGTCGGATCGCGGTCTCAGTTGCCCAACCACATATCACATGCCTTCCACGACTTCTTCGAGAGCTTCACGACGCTCGACGAGCTAAACAAGGAGATTATCCCCCCAATCGAGAAGGCACTACTCCGCGCCCCCGAAGTTGTTTTGAACGACGTCGTCACGCCCATGATATTGGCTCTGCCTGAAGACCTCGATCTCTCCAATGTGCTGCTGGGCAACCTCCTCAAACCCCTGCTTTCGAACGTCAAGTCCACAAACCCCACCATTCGCGCAGGTGCCCTTCGCACCTTCCAAGCTCTTGCTTCGCGATCTCAAGGCGAGGCGGAGATTGCCAAGGTCACAGACGAGGTCCTCAATCCACTGAAGCAGGGCAAAGTCAGTGGAGTCGACCAGAAAGTACTTCATGCCCAGATGCTGAGCGCACTTCCCGAGTCTACTGCATTGTCCCAGAGGATACCCGTTGCGATGGCGCCAGTAGCTCTCAAGGAGCCGAACGAAGCCGCCGTGGTCGCGGAGGTCACAGCCCTTGTCAAGCACCTCAAGTTCGGTCTCGCGAATGGTATCGCCCTGGAGAAATCCGTACTGGATGCCTTCATCAAGGGGATGGCTGACAAGAAGATACCGACTCGGCGGCTTTGGGCTCTTCGCACCGCAGACCTGTTGTGGGAACTGACTCCTCAGCAACTAGAACAGAAGGACATAGTCTCTTTCTACCACGCTGCGCTCCCAAAGTTGGTTGACATCTGGCAAGAGGTCAATGCCAATCCTGTCCCAGCTACTCAAAGCGGATTGGTAACAGTAGGGCACCATGTGACCGCTCTATTAGCAAGCAAAGTCCAGTCTTCTGGCGATGCTACACTCAACGGAATCTACAAGAAGTCTGATGTTATTGCTCAGTCCCTCGCAATCAAGCCTAAGCCTTCGTTCCTGCTCAACCCGCGCGTCTACTCCAAGCTCAGTACTGTAGACGACGTCGAGATCGCCCTACGTGCCCTGATTGCTGTCTCGCCCTCGCTCCTTCAAGACAGTACGCCAATTGAGGCGCGTGAAGCCTGGGCGCATGCATTCATCTTCCTCATCGTCGCTCAGGGTGTCTCGTCCAAGGCCAAGGCAGCTGCTAAGCTGGCCCTCGAGAAGGCGTATGTGCAGAACCCAAGCAAGATAAGTCGCGTCATTATAGACGGACTTTGGTCTTGGTACAGGGCGAACGAATCGGGCGACAAGGAAAGTCCAGCAGTCGCTGCGAAGTCTGGAGTCAGCGAACTGTACAACGTCCTGACTTCCATTTGTCTTTCTCCGGAGTCTGTGAAGAAGCACGACGCTAGCATAGATGCTGAAGAGCTACGACAACAGAATGTCAACCTTCTTCTGCTCGCAAGGCCCGAGATCATGCCCCGAGTGTCATGGATCGACCTCTCTCTGCGGATGGGTGTTGATCCGGGTCGACTGGTCCAAGACAAGCTGCAAGAGTGCATCGAACTCATCAATGACGCCACCATGGTATGTGACATGGGTTATTCTTGGACTGCACAACTAATAAGCTTCTAGGATCCGCAGAACGATTCTTTCCCATATGTCATCCAAGCAGCGTACAGCGCCTATACTGATTTAGCGTTTGTTGCTCCTGATGCCGCACTGCCAGTCATTGTCGATCAATTCAGCAAAGACCTCGACTCACAACAGCTCGAATCCGTCGGTCCTACAGAGGCCGCAATCTTCCGGACACCAGAAGGCACCGCTTATATTGATGTTCTTTCGAAGAAGGCACCCGTCGCCATCGATAAGAATACTAAAGACTACGATACCCTGAAGTGGGAAGAGGAGCTCCGAACCCAGCTGGCGCAGAAGAAGGGTCAGGCCAAGAAGCTCACTCCTGATGAGCAGGCCAAGGTCAAGGCCCAGTTGGCTAAGGAAGCTTCCATCAGACAAGAAGTCGCCGGTATCGAGCGGAAGATGAGACGTGGTGTTGGCATCATACAAAGTTTGGCAACTGGTCCGCCCACTGAAGCAGAGCAGTGGATGGGTCCCGCAGTCAACCTTCTCATACAAGCTATTCGCGCGGGTGCCGGCTTGTTACTTGGAGATCTACCTGCGACTGCATACATCAAACTTTCCGAGCAAGCCTCGTCCCGCCTGGCCCAATACAGACCCTTTGTCGGAATCGCCACGTTGAGGACCATCGGCTCCATCCAGTTACCGGCAGAGTACGAAGCCGAAGATCTAGGGGATATGATCACGCGAGTGCTCTACCGCCTTCGCTTCTTGAGCGACCAACGACCCCTTGATGCGGTTTCCCTTGCTTACTGTTTCCCGCTCATCTTTCTCGTTCTCGAGAAAGGTGGCATTGGTCGTTCAGAGCCTGAAGAGGCCGATGAACAACTGATCCTGGCCGTTGAGTTCATCTCGTTTCATACGGACTCGTGCACCGACAACCGCCTCCCACGCAAGCAACTCATCGAGACCTTGATAGCTTCCATGCAACACTACAATCAACATTATAAGATTATCAAAGACTGCATCATGGACTTGGCCAGTGGACTTGCCCCGACCATCACTGACGAAGAATTGGGAGCCCTGCTGAAGGGAATCATCGTTCCAGAAGTGTCGGTGAGGACGACAGTGCTGCAAGCAATTGATGCCGAGCTCGACATGAATGATCAGCCATTCAGCGAGGAGGTTTGGTTGGCCTGCCATGATGATGTCGAGGAGAACGTCGAGCTAGCGCGCACAATCTGGGAGGACAATGAGCTTCAACTAGACGCAAACGTTGCGGCCAAGATGATACCGTACCTGGATTCTCTGGACAAGCAGCTACGACGGGCAGCAGCACGCTCGATTGGCGAGACCGTGTCTGAATATGCGACAATCTTCCATGAAACGTTGAATACCCTCCAGGAGTCATACAGGGAGAAGGCCAAACCACGGATGCCCGAGCGAGACGAATACGGTATGCCGCGCAAGGTCGATCTTCGCGATCCATGGGAATCAAGAGACGGCATTGCGCTTGCGTTCAAAGAGATGACCTCTTCCTTCAAAGACGAGGATCTCGTCGAATTTCTGCATTTCATGGTCTACGATGGCCCTCTTGGCGACAAGAGTGCTACGGTTCGGGACGAAATGGTCGAGGCTGCTACATCGGTCATTACCCAGAAGGCCCAGTCCAAGGTGGAACCACTGATGGAACTGTTCGAATCTGCTCTCGAAAGCCCGGATCGCAAGTCGGAAATGTATGACCAAGTCAACGAGGCCGTCATTATTCTTTACGGTGCATTGGGTAGACACTTGCCCAAGGGCGACAAGCGCGTCCCCGAGGTCGTGCAGCGCCTTTTGGCCACCCTCAGCACCCCTTCCGAAACAGTGCAGTACGCTGTCGCCCAATGCTTGCCGCCATTGGTCCGAACTTCTGAGCAGGAGCTTCAGACCTACGTCGAACAGATGTTGGAAACACTGCTACAGTCCAAGAAATATCCCGCCCAGCGTGGTGCCGCCTACGGTCTTGCCGGAATTGTCAGTGGCAAGGGCGTCAGCATCATCAAGCAATACCGAATCATGTCCACCCTGCGCAGCGCAACTGAGAACAAGAAAGAGGTTCACCAGCGACAAGGTGCTTTTCTCGCTTACGAGTTGTTCTCCCTCATCTTGGGACGTGTGTTTGAGCCGTATGTAATCCAGCTGGTCCCGCAACTGTTAGCTGGTTTCGGCGACTCAAGCACTGATGTGCGAGAGGCGTGTTTGGACGCCGCGAAAACCTGCTTCTCCACACTCAGCTCGTACGGTGTCAAGCAAGTTCTACCGACTCTTTTGGATGGCCTTGATGATGATCAATGGCGAAGCAAAAAGGGCGCTTGCGACTCACTGGGAGCCATGGCTTACCTAGATCCGCAGCAGTTGGCTTTGAGCTTGCCGGACATCATTCCGCCTCTAACCACCGTCCTAACTGACAGCCACAAGGAAGTGCGTAACTCTGCGAACCGCAGTCTACAACGCTTCGGTGAAGTCATCAGCAACCCTGAGGTTAAGAGTGTTGTGAGCATCTTGCTGAAGGCTCTGAGTGACCCGACCAAGCACACAGACACTGCTCTCGACGCACTCATTAAGATTCAATTCGCTCATTACCTTGATGCCCCATCTCTTGCGCTTGTCGTGCGCATCCTCGAGCGAGGCTTGGGCGACCGCTCAGCAACCAAGCGCAAGGCAGCCCAGATCATCGGCAGTCTTGCCCACCTCACAGAGCGGAAGGATCTTATCGCCCATCTCCCTATCTTGGTGGCCGGTTTGCGTGTCGCAATCGTCGACCCTGTTCCCACGACTCGTGCGACCGCGTCCAAAGCTTTGGGTTCGCTCATGGAGAAGCTTGGAGAAGACGCGCTGCCAGATCTCATTCCCAGTCTCATGGCAACCCTCAAATCCGATACCGGAGCTGGAGATCGTCTGGGATCCGCTCAAGCTCTTTCCGAAGTGCTTGCGGGATTGGGTACAGGACGCTTGGAAGAGACCCTCCCGAGCATTCTGCAAAACGTGTCCAGCAGCAAGCCCTCCGTCCGGGAAGGTTTCATGTCACTCTTCATCTTCTTGCCAGCATGCTTCGGCAACAGTTTTGCCAATTACCTCAGCAAGATTATCCCACCGATTCTTGGAGGACTCGCCGACGACGTCGAATCAATCCGGGAAACCGCATTGCGTGCTGGTCGACTCTTGGTCAAAAACTTTGCTACTAAGGCCATTGACCTGCTGCTACCCGAGCTGGAGCGTGGTCTTGCGGATGACAGTCACCGTATCCGTCTCAGTTCCGTCGAGCTCGTTGGAGACTTGTTATTCAACCTCACTGGTATCAGCGGCAAAGCAGAAGAGGACGACGAGGTCGAAGAGGGTGCCAAGGAAGCAGGCCAGTCTTTGTTGGACGTCCTCGGAGAAGAGAAGCGAAACAAGGTTCTCTCAGCCCTGTACATCTGCCGCAACGATATCTCTGGGCTTGTTCGGTCGGCCGCCATCAATGTCTGGAAAGCACTCGTCGCTACTCCGCGCACTTTACGCGAGCTCATCCCAACCCTCACTCAGCTCATCATTCGCCGCCTCGCCAGCTCCAATATGGACCAGAAGGTCATTGCTGGCAACGCACTTGGAGAACTCATTCGCAAAGCTGGAGACGGTGTACTCGCGACTTTGCTTCCTACTTTGGAAGAAGGCTTACAGTCTACTGATACAGATGCAAAGCAGGGTATTTGCATGGCCCTCAGGGAGTTGATCGCAGCCGCGTCACCGGAGCAACTCGAAGACTACGAGAAGACCCTCATCCAAGTAGTACGATCCGCGCTCGTTGACCCCAACCTCGAGGTCCGTGAAGCAGCTGCTGAAGCATTCGATGCCCTTCAGGAGGTCCTCGGCAAGAAGACGATCGATCAAGTTCTACCTCATTTGTTGGCTCTCCTCCGCAGCGACGATAATGCGCAAAACGCTCTCTCGGCGCTTCTTACCTTGCTCACGGATAACGCTCGATCCAATGTCATCCTACCCAACCTCCTGCCGACCTTGCTCAAGTCGCCTATGTCTGGTTTCAATGCCCGGGCTATCGCATCTCTTGCTGAGGTCGCTAGTAGCGCCATGGCTCGACGATTGCCCAATGTTCTCAACACCATCATGGACAACGTTATCAGGTGCAAGGATAATGACCTTCGGCAAGAGCTTGAGGACGCTTTTGACGCCGTTCTGCTCTCTGTGGACGAGTACGATGGTCTCAACACAGCTATGAGCGTCATGTTGGCATTGATGAAGCACGACGATGAACACAGACGAGCAAAGGCCGACTACCACCTCGCCAAGTTCTTCGAAGAGAGCGAGGTCGACTTCTCTCGATACTACCCCGACCTCATCCGCGTCCTGCTCATCTCCTTCGACGACAGAGACGAGGACGTTGTCAAGGCAGCATGGACTGCGCTCAACGCCCTTACCAAGCAGCTACGCAAAGAAGAGATGGAATCACTCGTCATCTCCACGCGCCAATCACTCCAGCAAGTTGGTGTGGCCGGCCATAACCTCCCGGGCTTCTCTTTGCCGAAGGGCATCAGTGCCATTCTGCCGATCTTCCTACAAGGTCTTATGAACGGGTCTACAGACCAGCGCACCCAGGCCGCGCTTGCAATCTCAGACATCATCGAGCGCACCGACGCAAAGGCCCTCCAGCCCTTCGTTACGCAGATCACCGGTCCTCTCATTCGTGTGGTTACCGAACGTTCTACAGAGGTCAAGGCCGCCATTCTACTCACGCTCAACAACCTCCTCGAGAAAATCCCTACATTCCTCAAGCCGTTCTTGCCGCAGCTTCAACGCACATTTGCAAAGTCTCTGGCTGATACATCTTCCGAAGTTCTGCGTGCTCGTGCGGCTAAGGCACTGGGCACACTCATCAAGCTCACGCCGAGGGTTGATCCTCTGATTGCAGAGTTGGTCGCCGGATCCAAGACCGCCGACCAGGCAGTCAAGACCGCCATGCTGAAGGCACTCTTCGAAGTCGTGAGCAAAGCCGGCAAATCCATGAATGATGCAAGCCGGAACGCCATCCTGGGCTTGATCGACACGGACGCGGGCGACGATGACGACGCGATGGCCATCACCCACGCACGTCTTCTGGGCGCACTGATTGGTGTCTTACCCGCAGAGACCGCCGCCGGCATCATCAAGACCCGCGTGCTGACCACGCACTTCAGCAAAGCCTCTGTCCTCACCCTTAACGCCGTCTTGCTCGACTCACCAGACGCACTCATCAACAACTTCCCCGACGAGACTGTCGAAATTATCGCCAAGGGCATCGGCTCCAGCCAGGACATCGTACGCGATAACGCGGTCCTCGCGGCAGGAAAATACCTGTACGTCTCCCTCCCTTCCCCCTGCAATTCACCACGTCACTAATCTTTTCACCTAGGCTTCTCGAGCGCGCCCCCAAATCTTACGACCACCTACAACCCCTATTCGCCGCCCTCGCCCCCGTTGTCGCACCCGGCAACCCCAGTGATACCCGGCGCCTCAGCCTAGTCGTCCTGCGCACCATCGCGCGCACGCACAACGACCTCATCCGCCCGCACGTCCCGCTACTAACACCACCCGTTTTCGCCTCCGTGCGCGACCCGGTGATTCCTGTCAAACTTGCGGCTGAGCAGGCGTTTTTGGCTCTTTTTAGTGTTGTTGACGAAGAGGCGGCCGTGTTTGATAAGTATATTGCGAGTCATGGGAAGGAACTTGGGCCGGGGCCGCAGAGGAGTATGTCGGACTATTTCAAGCGCGTGGCGTTGAGGTTAGCGGGACAGGCGAGGGAACGTAAGGAAGCGGAAGGAGGTGAAGGGGGGCTGGGACTGGCCGGGGACGAGGTCGAGGATGAGAGGGAGGTGTGGAGTGTGGGGATGGTGGAGTTGGGGGATGTGTTCAAGGAGTAGACATAGAGGGTGAAAAAAGGGTGGTTTAGGGGGCGTATAGGTTGTATGTATTGGGTTCAAAAATTCATCGCGTCTTTCGAATTGGAGTGTTGTGCGGTTTGCACATTGAAGTTGGATGTGCAAGCTGACTTGGAACTCATGGCATTGGCGCAGCTATGTACACAGGCTAGAGAGGAGGGGAGGGAGAAAGGTGATGTACATCTCCAATAGTCGGATCCAACATGCCAATGAACGCCTATGTTCTCTAGAGCCGGGATATTATTTAACCTTTGCACGTCTTCACCAGCCTCAGAGTCTACGAGGAGTATATCTGTGGAGCTCATCCCAGGTTCGCCCTCACCACGTTAGTAGACGCTTCCACTGGGGGCGGAAAACAATGCCGCACCCGCCGCACGCCAGCGACAGCGCCGTAAACACGATCAAAGGCCCGTACGTCGTCCCATATCCAAAGTGCCCAAGCGAGGTCATGCTCCCGGCTTTCACAAGCGGCACGCTGACAAGCCCGCCAGCAACATACCCGATACCCCTCGCGCCATTGAGCAGCCCGTATAACACGCCGCTGTCGATGGCCTCGTTCCTTTCGGCCGCTTCGCGCTCCATGTCGTTCATCGTGCCGCCCCACGTAGCGCTGTACCCGCTCGCGAAAAACCCGAACGTAATAGCAAACAGCACCAACAGCGCCGTCCCTCCACGCGCTGCCAGGCCCCAGAACAGCAACGTGCCCAGGGCAGACGTGATTGCCGAGATAGCAGTCACCGTCTGTGCGGAGAGCTGGAAGTGCTTGTTATCGCTAAGGAAGCCGAAGAACGTGGAGGAGCAGATGCCAGGGATATTGATCAGCGTGATGAGCAGAGTCGAGAAGGTAGGTGACAAGGCGGACACGTTGCGCGCGTACTCGGTGAGGTAGGTCTGCGGGATGCCGTACCCGGCGCTCTGGAGCAGGGTGGCCGTGCTGTAGATCCAGAACGTCTTGTGGCGCAGGAAGAGCCAGGGGATCTTGCGGCCATGGGTGCCACTTAAATTCAAGCTCGAGCTGGGCGTAGCGATCAGTGAGATGGACAATAGTGCGGTGCCGATCATAAGGGCCCCCCAGGCGAGCAGAGTCACGCGGAAGCCGTAGCGGTCGAGCAGGCCGCGGAAGAAGAAGGGGCAGGCGGAGCCGACGATGTTCTTAGTTGAGAGGCAGATGCCGAAGGCGACGGCGCGGTTGCAGAGGCGGTTCGGGGTGTTGAACCATTCGCCGAGTGATAGGGTGAGCGGGCTGAAGACAAGGGTGCAGCCTAAGGCGGCGAGGACGCCCTGCGTTGCGATTAGGTGCCAGACGTGTGTACTAAGTGCCGACAACATGAAGCTGGCGCACGCGAGGACGGCGCCAAGGGCTGCGGCTCTCTGGCGGAAGCGGGCCCAGCGGCGAGTGAAGAGGGCGAAGAGGAAGGGCATCGCCATGTACATGACGCCGTTGGAGGTTGTTCCGATTATGCCTGTAAGTTCGCGGCCGCCCTCAAGGGTCCAGTGGTCGAAGTAGTACTCTTGGAGGACGCCGTAGCTCATGGCGAAACCTATGCTTGTAAGTGGACATCTGGTCAGTCGTCATGTTAGTTACCCCATATTGGCAGTTGAGATAATGCCGAGCCGATGAGTACTAGTACTCTCTTCCTATGGTTGTTTTGATGTAGCAAAGCTTGCTCTTGATGTTGTTCATTTTGGCTTGGGCAGGGTTGCTGGAGCTCTTGGAGAGCCGTCGCGTTGCTATCCTCGTGTTGCGCCATAATGGTTTACCTCCGACGGGTTGGTCTGTAGCGTAGCATTAAATAGGTACGCGGACAATTCGCTTTCGGAGTAGTATTGCAACAACGAGCGAGGAGTCATCCAGTGATGTCACCCTGCATTCCTTCACGCGTACAAGATAGCGCTATGCCACATCGGGGCAAGTGTCGCGTGATCAAAACCACTCAGCCTTAGCGGATATATATTAAATTCCGATACCCTTCCATTTGAACTCCGGAAACCACTCGGCATGGAAACGATGGATTCTCCTCTCCTCAGCATGAGTCAACACGAGCATTGTGCAGTAAAGTAGGTCGCATCGCTAACAAAGACATCGATGTTTCTGTAGTACTCAGCTCGTGAATATCGCATCGTCAAGGTCTTCCTCTCCCGAAATCCCTCTCGTCGGTTCCGCCCTATGCATTCAAATGAGCATATTTTTCCACAAGGTTGTTCAACACGTAAGAATCTACGTCTTTTCTGTGCTGACGGCAGCGATAGGTCAATCGCTTCGCATGGCCTGGGCCATATCAGGTGTCTCTTCTAGCTCGTTCTCGTCCAGATTCATGATGTTCTCGAACGAAGACACCTTATTCGGACGCATTTGCCCGCGCACGACCCGAAAAGCGCGTCAGCAAGGTAGTGGTTCTTGCGCTGGAAGTACAATTCTGTCGCAGCTAGAATGAGCGTGGGCCATAATGATTCAATCTGTGACGGGGGTGTTCGCTCGCTTATAGTGTCGAGGCAAGCATAAGCGGTATGACGGTAACGAGGTTCATGGCTTCGTAGCCGTGTCGAAGATAGTAAAGCCGGATCAGGGTTTGCAGGTATTATGAAGCATCGTCAACGATTTGCTGTGGAGATGGCACCTTTTCTGGTTCCTCATCGAACAAATGTCAAAGAATGGTGAGTGTGAGGTGGCAGTAGTACGTACTGCCGGGTATATCAGTACTGCACGAGTCTTTCTTAGAGTGTCCTGCAGATAGCATATTTACTGAAGTTGTAAGTGACCTCGATAGGTGATTGTCTTTGGGGTAAGAGGCTCCGCCAAGGAGGCCAGCACTCCCATTTGAATAGACAAATTATCACTTCCTTCAGCGATATTCTTGAGTCGCCCGCATACGCTGCCTGGCATGCTTCGTTCATGATGAGGCGGAATAGACCTCTTGCCAAAAAGACATTGTAACGAGATAAAATGGTTGCTCGTGGGGTATGTTATCCATATTTCGCCGTACCTTTGCGCATCCTTTGTCGGGTCAGGCATGTATCAATCAGGAGGTGAGCTTAAGACTGGAGCAAACATCGATAACTAGTGTCCTTGCACCCACCCAAGTCTTATTTGAACGTCAAGTTTTACGTGCTACAGGTATCTTCGCGCCCTTCGTCTTGTCCAGTTCTTTAACGCTTAGGGCCACACAGTGTTTCGACTGTACTGTAGATTCCATGTTGTTGGCTGAGGAAGGAGGGGACGTAACCGTTGGCCGGCCACTGGATGAATCAGCCATTTGTGACGTGTGTCGATCGGTCTGAGACACAATGTCTCCATGCTGGGACATGGTTCCTTTCAAGTTCATATGACGTTGTCGCATCGCTCGGACCCCACACTAAAATGCCGTAGCAGTCTTGATTGGCTGCTGGGCGGATTCTACCCAATCCCACGCCGTTCGGCATCTATTTCGGCGGCCAGGTATTGACATCGGTACTACACGCAAACAGAGGCACTTCGAATAGATCTCCATTACTTACATCTCGCGCAAGAGCTTCTACATCCAATTCAAAGAGAGCGAGATCTTGTAGCAGTTATTCACGACGTCCAGGCGCCCGCCTGCATTCTCATCATGCTCAGATTGAAGGTGCATCAACGGCGCAATCTCGGCGCCGGTCATTCTACATAGCACCGATAGCGAAATGAAATTGAGGACAGTTCCGCAGAGCTCCGCCAGCGCATTTAAGACAAGAAAGGTTCTGTCGCATAAAATTCCGTGGAACCCATTTAATCCTGTCATTGCTTGGTTGAGAAACCTGGAAGTGAAGTCGCAGCAAGTGGCCCCAAAGTCAGCCTATCGAAGTCTTTGTGAAGATGAAGTCGTTCAGTCTCCTAGCGACTTTGCTGATCCCAGCTACCGCCTTGCAAAGAGGTGGCTCAGGATGTGGGAAAGCACTGCCAGAGAGTCTGAGACCTGGAGGACCCTCCAAGAACCTAACGCTAGAATCAAAGTCCCAGATCAACGCCACCCTCTCCAGAAGTTTTCTAATGTACATACCGGAACACTTCTCAGCGAGCAACAACGACGCAAAACCATTGGTTCTGGCTTTCCACGGACAATCACAGCCCAACTGGTCGATGGAACGCATCACCAATCTGTCCGCCCCGAACTTCAACAAAGACTACATCGTCGCGTACCCAGCAGGTCTCGATACACAGTGGCTAGGTGACCCGGCAGCACCTCCCTCGTCTGTTATCGATGACCGCATTTTCGTTTCGGAGCTCCTCGACTACTTGACGTCCACTTTCTGCATCGACGAGTCTCGCATCTACATTACTGGACTGTCCAACGGGGGTGGCCTGACGGGATTGCTGGCTTGCGACCCAGCTATCAACCGCCGTGTCGCAGCTTTCGCAGCCGTTGCGGGCGCCTTTTACGCCGATGCCTCGCTCACTGAACCTTTATTTGGCGTTGGATGCAAGCCTGAACTTGATGGCCGCAAGCTTCCTCTCATGGAAATGCATGGTCTCAACGACAGTGTCATCGCTTACGATGGGAACAACAGCCCGGCTCCAGATTCAATTCCTCTTCCGAGTTGGGTGAATTCGTGGGTCGATCGGGAAGGCTGCGGACAGGTCAATGCCGACGTACAGGTCTTGGATGGTGGTAATTTGACAAGGTCAGCTTGGAGCTGCGACGGGCGTAATGATGTCATCGTGCACTATAAGATCAATGATTTCGGGCATGGGTGGCCGAGTACGGCATGGCAAGGTGAGCCGTTTGAGACGCTGAGACTGAGGCCAACGAGTTGGAACGCGACAGGCTTGATCCTTGACTGGTTCGAGAAATGGCGGCTAGCTGTATGAGATTCGAGATCATTTCAATAGATGCACACGGCCGCATGCTAAATCCTTGTATAAAATCACCATGAGTAATTTTCTGTTATTCTGATCCACACCGTAGTCTATTGTAAAACATAACAAGCCTGCCCTTTCGTGGTATGGGAGGTCGGTTCCTTGGTTCAAAATTACATTGGCCATTCAGAGAAACAATCATTCACAAAAAATACAAAAGGACGACGTTGCAGCCACCCGGATTCAGCTTTGTCACACAGGCTGAAACGGTTCCTCGTTCGGTGTGGATTTGTCTGCATCACTTCACCAAGAGTGAGACGTTCCCAACGACATTGTCCACAACCTCGCTCCCGACGTTGAAAAAGCTCTATCATTTACAAGCTCTTAGTTACCTACAGCCCCTAAGGACACGTGCAATAAAAGATAGGACAGGCCGCGTGTTTGTAGATAACTACACTACCTGTATATATCCCACCACGCTGTTTGGATGTCGGAGCTGCCGGATGCTGGAACTCGAGTGGGTATCTTTGGACAAAAGAAGCTGCTGACTAGTAAAAGGGGTTCCCTCTCGCCCTACTAAGAGATGCATCTGCACAAACCTGGTTCTTGAGCCGCAAGATCTGCAACACTATGAGCACCGTTGTGATTCAAGTGGATGCCCGTCTTGTCCATGTGGATTGATTTTCTGTGCCAGCATGATGTTGCAGAAGACCAAGAACCTCGAGACTTCGCAATGATGGGCGTCTTACCATAAGCAAATGGGAAACATTATCGTGCTATCCACACCCATCCTCTTCACTTCCGCCACAGCAAGTCCAGGAAGGAGTGCAAGAGAACTCGAGCCTTAGAAGTGCATCGTAATCTTGGCTGAGACAACAAATTGTTAGATGGGAATCCGAGGTCTTCAGCAAAGCAACCTATGCGAATTTCTGTCTGTTGCCCTGCAAGCTTGGCCATACTTACCCTTCCCCTTTTGCCAGACCAAGTTGCTGGTGGCAATTCGTTTGACAGACCCTTCAAAACAGCTTGCCTGGAAGTGAAGTCCAGGTCACATGCCCGACCGACCATTGTGCGCGAATTCAGCTTGGAGCGCAGGTAGGAACTGCTTTCCCTTAATCATAGGTTGGGTTATACTTGTTCATGCGGCCGCGACGTTTAGCCCAGTAAAAGCCTGTGATTATGTCTATGGAGGGGTTCGCTTTGTGTTTCGATGAAATACAAGTCACTAGAATGGTAGTCCTGAGCCTATAATGCAAAGAACTCCCAACATCAACTGGAAGGATCTATGTGAGTGCTCTCTCTCTCTCTCTAACCAATATTGGGTTGTTCCTACACTTGAGTTTGTGTTTTATGGTTCAAGATTCAAGATGGCCCCGGCCATGCGGACTATTCCACCCATGCATCCGCTGAATGGACACGTCGCATACAAAAGCATCCTGTCCATTGTCCTGCAATCTTTACCTTTTCCTTGCTCCTACCAAAATATCACCACATGAGGTCTCATCATTATTTCACAATAACAAATATTTCCACCGTGACCAACTAGTTTACTCTGAAAAGCCGCAAAGTGCCAATATATTAGGTTTCTGCTTTCCAAGCGGTCCAAGAAGTTCCCTATGGGAGACCAATTTGTCTGATCAGGTTTATCACGGTATTTGGGCTGAGATTGAAGCTCCAACGGCACAAAGCCTGAACCCATCCTTCAAATTTTCAGTACGTGCTTTGCTAGAAGGCATCCGAGAACCAATGCATGCGCGTGCAGCTTTCTGAGTCCATACATGTCGAAACTATCGTCTTTATCGTCTACCTGGCTCCTTCTGCGGACATTTACCTCTGGGACCATTACGGCTGATGCTCGTTCGGGCGAGCGACATCAAAATGGGAAGAGAGAGACATATGTGAAAAGCGTGGACCACAACTACTATCTAGTTGTGTCGCCGCTATCTTAATACAGACAACTTGAGTTTCGGTAAATGATCTTTGTCTGCCTCCGATACTGTGTATGTCGTATTGACAGAAACCCGCAGCAGCCCGGCGTGAGCTACATCAAGACGCGAATATAAACCGAGACCTCGGTCTTGTATGAACTCACCGCACTCATAGACTATTTTGAATGAAATTAAATAGTGTCAGGCCATGTAATATCTGTTCGCATGATGCGCTCGCCGAATGGAGCGTGTGCGGCTGAAGGGGGCCTTGGCGTGGTGTCACACCGCCGTTTGATACAGCCCCCAGCTACGCGGCCCCGAAAACACGTTCTGTTGCTCTAGACCGTAGTGTAAATCTCTCTGTCTCCATGATACGAGTCCTGTGAGCATCGGCCACTCTAGTTCCCAGGTACTTTGCCGCAGCTGACATGGGATGTTGTGCAAGCAGTGACACACCTGAAGATGCCTGTCATCCACTGTCGCCCACTGCATCGCAATACACAGACCACTGGAGCTGCGTTGAGGGAATAAGAGACATTCAGCCCTTGCACCGAACGACCAGCTATAAAGATCGAGAGAACTTCCATACTGGAGCTTCCATCGATTACCACCACCTCGATACTAAACACTCAAAAATCTTATCAAGTCCAAATTTTCTGAATATATATCGCTCCCTATCGCTCAAATAGCTCCAATAACTCCAGCACCATGCGTTCGACTACTCTGATGGCTACCGCACTCTCGCTCTTCACGATGACCAGTTTTGCTTTGCCCGCTGTAGAAATGACTATTGCAGCTCGCGAATGCAATAGTAAGGCCGATTGTTCGGGAGGACGGGTCTGCATGAGTAAGTTACTTCGATCTTTCCGAGGAACAATTGCTCACTCCGGCCGCAACAGGTGTCGGATGCCACGGCCAATTTGTGGGTGCTAGCTGCGAGACGGCGAGCTACTGCAACAGTTTCTCTGCGCCTACTTGCGGCGCAACCTGCAACTAATCCGGGTCTTAAATCTCGCCGTCTTGGACTCGGCTTTCTATTCTGCCTCTTGTGAGAGGAGATTTCGTTGGGTGGCAAGGGTGGACAGGCACAGTGCGGATAGTGTTGGAATTATGGGCGTTCGACGGGCGTTCGACAGCCACGGGTGAACGTATGTGCCCTCGACGTCTTCAGTCAGAGTGGTGTACGCAATTTAAGCTGGGTAGTCCTCTAAGTCGAAATAAAAGTTCTTCATCTGCCTGATATCGATCTACACCAATCTCCTTAACTTCGTGCAAGGGGAAAAGGGCGCATCCCGTTCCTCGGAATTTGGACTCTTTGGGGTACTACAAAAATCGCATCGAAAAGCTCCGCATGAGGCGTGGGGTTTTCCAAAGGCATCAAAGTTCGTGAAAATGGGACTGTGTGTTTTTCCACAAAGACCACGCGGACCAACATTGCCTGAGCTGTTTCGAAGCGAATATAAAACCCCACTAGCCCCTCCGGTCGCTCCAACTTTCACAGAACCTCTTAACTTCCACTAAAACCGTGTTCTCGAGTTCATGGATATACCGGCTCCTTGCAGCTTACTAGATCGAGACTCCGAAGGACTGGATGGTGGGTGCGGCGTAGAGATTTCAAAGCAATCTTCACCTGTTCATGCTCCACGAGTCATGAAGCATGGTTTTAGGCATATTGAAACACCCAGATCCATGGAAAAGTGGTACAAAAACTTTTGCATACGACAATATCGGGAGTACAGGGGAATTGCTGTCGATGTGTCTAGCATACTACAGTTCTCATCTTTACAGCTGCGTTCACCAATCCACTAGAAGTTGAGTCAGTCTTTACGCTAAAGAGGTGAAGTTCTGTAGGTACACGAACTTTGCAACGAACTTCGCGTGGTAGTGTATACGAGTCTAGACGAACCCGGCAAGCTTTCCTATTTAGATCATATTCTCACTAGATTCTAACCAAAGCAGAGAACCCTATAGCTCGTGCGCAATGGTCGTCTCTTCATCCATAATCCTCCGCTTTGGAGCCGCACGTGCTCTTCCAAGTCACCCAGTAGAAGCGTGAGTATCGTTCAGGACGACTCCATCAAGCTAGGAACGAGTTTTCCCCGTGCAAAAGCATCGAGCAATGAATACACATGTACGGCCGCCGAAGCCTTTGACGAGAACGTTCGTGCACGTTGCTTCTTCACAAAACTGCGCAACGACAAAGGGATGCGGCCCGTTTCGTCTACCCACTACCTCATTGAGCTTCCAAGTCGAAGATCGAAAAAAACCTATGTGAAATGCATCACCTCTCCACCGTGCTACCGAAATCTGCCCCCTGAATCCATGGTGCAACTTCTTCAAAGAAGAACAAAAAGCAACAGAATGAGACACACTAACCGAATGCACTATTGTATCCTACAAAATGTCAGAATAGCGTTTCCCCGTGTGCATCTCCTTCTCAGAGATGTCCATACCATGCGCAGAAAGCACGCTGTTTCCTCATTCCAGCAACCTAGCAAAGTCATCAACGAACGCACGTGCAGAGCGACAAACATACCCGATCGTTATGTCGGCGGACCGGGCACTTCAACGAACCCCCTCCTCCCTTGCCAACCGCAACAAAAAGAACTCCTTCACGGCTCGGGTGGACCAAAAACGAGGGCCCACACTCCAATGTGGAGGAGAAGATTGGCGTCTCTGTTCGTGTGGGGACCAGAAGAAGAGTGGATTTACACACAAGCTTCGCTGTGGAGACGGGGTCGACGGGACCTACCAACAACATCATGAGAACGAGCGTGGTCTAGCTCGTGCTGAAAAATACGAAGCGAGGGGGTATGTAGAGGAAGCGTTCTCGGAACATTAGTGCTTAAGTACCAGCATATCATGGGAGTGCCCTCGTCCGCTTTCCTTCTCACGACTCGAAAAATACCGCGAAGATGCGATGGCCTTCACCCCGCATCGCGACAGGAATGTCGAATGTGTGGACGAGAGCGGTCTTTTCCACCGAATCGAATGGGTGGTGCAATTGGGGTATGAACGAAGAGACAGAAAGAAGGATTGCATGTGAGAAAGATCTGAGCGGTGGGTTCTACGGGTCAAAGCGCCGGTGCGGATGTGCAAAAGGGAATAGAGAGAGACAGGATGGTATGGCGTGCCGGCGAAATGGAGAGATTGAGGCGTGGTACACACCACCATCGTCGATGACCATAGATGCAAAAGATGGCATAACACAAACGCTACATAGTCTATCATCAACATCGTCTAGACGTGCCCAAATCAAGTCAAACCATCATCTCCACAACGCCACCACCCTCGAACGTACCTTGACCTCACCATCAACCCCGCTACAACTCGTCCCTCTTCCTAGCTTCATCGGCCTTCCTCTTCTCCTCATTCTGCAACTCCTCCTGCACATCCACCTTCTCCTCCCTGCTCTCCCCCCTCACCCTCCTCGCCAATGCAGCAACCTCCTCATCGTAAACATTCCACTCGGGCACCTGCCTCCTCGCCCTCTCCAACTTCGGCTCTTTCGTCATCGGATTATTACAGAGATCAATCGTCTTCGCAGCGCCCAAACTGTCGTCGCTGCACCACGTCTCGCACCACAGCCACTCCTGCGGCAGGGACTTGATCTCGAGATTGAACTGCATGTTGTTGGGCAGATCCTGGTCCAAGTTGGAAAGTGAGGCCGGGTCCGCGGAGAGGGAGTGGTATTGTTGGCGCAGACGGTCGCCCGCGGCTAGGCGGCGGAACTGCACGAGGTCGACGACGTATAAGGCCGAGATGTGGTAGGGGCGACCGCGCAGGAAGTTGGCCCAGTAGCCTGTCTTCCAGAAGCGGAAGCCCTCCATCTCGGTGCGGCTATCACACATCGGGGTGAAGCCGTACGGCGCGCCCTCGAGGTCGAACTCCACAAGCTCATACATGTCCGTGCGCACGATCTGGTCTGCGTCTACGAAGATGACCTTGTCGAGGTCGAGTGGGAACAGCACGTCGAGGAAGAGGATCTTGTAGCCCCAGATCTCGCGCTGTTTCTCCGACTGCGCGCGCAGCCAGTGCGGCCACTTGTACGTGACCATTTCGTAGTCGAAGCCGTACTCGGCGGCCATGTGCGGGAGGAACGACTTGAAGGAGGGTGAGAGGAACTGCTCGATGAACCAGAACTTGAACGTGTGCGAGGTGTGCTTCATGACCGAGAGCATCATGATGTTAAGCATGCGCTCGTAGAGGTGGCCCGACGCGACGGAGAAGATGTTGATGTCGGCTTGCACGCCCTTGCCGGAGGATTTGGAAGACTGGAAGAGGGAGGCGCCCTTCTTGATGGCCTTGTCGGCGTTGAAGCCGAGCCCGACCTTGCTGAGAAGCTTGTTGACCTTCTGTGTGCCCTTTTCCATGAGTTCGACCGCGAGGGAGTCATCTGCGGCGAGGACGTCGGCGGTCTCTTGGCCTGGCTTTCGGGACAGGCGCGGGAACAGCGTCAGGCCTTGGAAGGACATCAGTGCAATTTCGCTGGTCTCGTCACCAGATACCGGTGCCCAGCCAGCGGGGCCGGCGCTGTCGAAGCTGAAGATCTCGGAGCTGCGGCCAGCCTTGAGATGAATGTTGTAGAATCCCGGGTTGGCTTTGAACTGGAAGTAGCCCAAGTTAGCCATGATGATGGTATCAGCAAAGTGCGGGTCCTTCTCGGTTGCAAGGACAACCTCAGCACCGCGAGGTGGCTGCCCGCCATTGCTCGTGTCGCGTGAATGACCTTCGATGAGAATGCTTTCAAGGCCGTAGATAGCATCAATGTTGGAACCTGCAGGCAAAGAGCTGAGCTTGATGTTGTCCAAATCGTGGATGGACTCCTCTGGTGCGACAAGCCAGGACGGCGGAACGTCCATGCCCAGATTGAGCAACGCTTCCTTGGGAATGCCGGAAAAGTGGGCTTCCAAGCTGTCAACAGAGCCATCCTCGTTGAAAGAGGGCTTGGAGTCGACCAGGTAGCGGTAGAATCGCTTCACGGGAAGTTCGGAAAGCATCTGCTTGGGGTTGAGGAATAGCTTCAGGTGAACACCGTCCATATCCGACAGCGTCTTTAAGATGGGCACCCATTTCTGTGCCAGTTCAGTTGCGGGGTCGATGGACGCAACAACTTGGATGATGGCTGTGTTGTTGTCGCCTTTCACGATTGCCGTATGAGCATCGTTCCACTCCTTGTATCGGTCGGTTCTGAGGGTAGATGCAGACTCGAAGATGCCCTCCGGAACATCCGAGACCGTGGAGAGCGCGACCAGCGACTGGATTTTGGCGACATCGAGCGGAGATTTGACCTTGTCCGTCAGCTCAAGCGACTTGAGTGCCTTGCTGAGCGGCTCGATGCGCTTCTTCATCTCATAGCTGACCAATGCTTCGACATCAGACTTGGAGAAGGAGTTCTCCTTCGAGATAGGTCCGACAAAGCGACCATTGACCAAAATGGCGTGCTGTCCAGGCTGGAGACCAAGCGCGTCATAGATAGGCTGTGCAGTCTTCCAGAAGAGTGTCGCATTGGCCAAAGCAGGCGAGAAGCTAGGCTCTTGTCCCACGATTTCCTGCAGCCGCTCGATGCTAAGATCATGAAGCGATTTGACCCATGCCTCAAGGATATCTTCCGAAGCGCTAGACGTCTCGGCGCTAGCCTGTGGGTTATGTAGAAGTACGACTTCAACATTCGGGTTCTCCTCGCGGTATTGGGCCACCGACTTGAGCAGAACCAATCCAGAGTCCGAGTCGAAATCTCCGACCAGGGTAACATGGGCCCAATCCTCCTTGCTGGCGGACTCCGCAGCCTGTACGCGCGGCAACACGTTGAAGACCGCGCCATGCTTCTCCTCAAACTCGGCCATGTCGATGAGCGTGATGTTCTTCTCGTTCTCCGGGATGATGAGCGGATTGCGCTTGGTAGCGGCCTGGAAGAGAAAGTACTGCGGGATCCAGCTATCGTCGTTCAGTGCGTCTTCAAAGACGAGCTGCTGGATCTGGCGAAGATCCGTACCGATACGTTGACTGATGTACTGGAGCCAGGCCTCATCTCTTCCGATTGCCACGCCGTTGATGAAGATAGGAGCGCTTGGTCCGTCGGCGGCCAGACGTGCGAGGTACTTCTGAGCAGCTTCCACGCGCTGTGCAACACCCTCTGAGCTCAGTACGTCGGCGAAACTGAGGGCGTCACGTTCGGCGCGGAGAGTAGCGTCTTTGACGGTGGCGTCGAACACGGCTTTGTCGGGCTGAGCCAGCTTCTTTGATTCGAGCGACTACATCATTCATCAGCGCGATTCTGGAGTGAGCGTACGATGTACTTACAGCATCGAGGTACCTGGTTAAAGTGCTCAGACCATAGCTATCAAGAAGATGATAGACGACTTTCGCCTGGTCAGCAGCCCCTTGGGTCTTGGTCGACGGGACGAGACCCCATCTGATTGGAATGCCACGCTTGATCAAGCTCATCACCGTCTCGATAACCATAACGACATCGTCCTTGGCCGTGAAATCAACCGGCACGATAGCATTATGGATATCTCGACGGACTGATGGCAACTGTCCTGGGTACGTCCTCTGCAGCAAGGCCTGGGTCTGCGAGGGCCAGCTGTCGTACCTGGAGTCCTTCTCGATGTTGTTCATCCAGACGATAACGTTGCCGCCTTCGAGCTCGTCGCGGAAGTCGTAGCGCTGGGGCTCGTCCTCTGACTGCGTTTCCGTTATGGCCGAGTGCGAGAGTAGGGCGATGGCATCGGGGCCAGAAAGGCCCTGGCTGCGCACGCCATTGATGAGACCGCGCTCTCGGCGAAGGTGCTCCAGGAGAGCAAAGGGGTTGATGTCGCGGACCGGAACTTGCACACCGTTGATCCACAAGATGTTCATACCAGCAGGGAGGAGCTGCATGCGGTTGTGTTCGTGTTCCTCGACAAACTGGTCCGACGCATTATGGGCCACGATGGCGGACGAGTACTTGGGGAAGTCCTGGACGAGCTTCAACAGCGTGTCCATGGGGTTGTCGCTCTTCATGACGAAGCTCGCGGCTTTCACACCCAGATCTGCAACCTCGTCCTTGGCGAGGGGCTTCAGGTCCGACACGTCTGCGTCATCGTTGAGCTCCGCGTCCAGTGACGTCTGCTTCTCGCCCTGCTCGGCAGGCGCCCGGTCGTCGATGACAATGTAGTCGGTCCGCTTCAGCTGCAGCGCAACGCCGTATCCATTCACCACGAGCGGGGTCTTCGACGCATTCGGAGACGGTTTGTGGCGTACGCGGTACGACGTCTTCCCCTCCTGCGCAGTCTTGCTCAGCGTCTTGTGGAATTTGGCGAACGCAGGGGCGGTAATGTCGGCGTAGAGAATCGCGGGGAGCACATGCGAGCTGTTACCCAGTATTCGGTCGAAGGGCAGTTCATACGACCTGTCAAGCATCAGTCCAGGCCACCAATGTATACTATTCTGAGCAAGATGAACCCACCGCTCGCCCTTGACACTCCCGTGGCTGTCCTCCAGCTGCGGAGAGCAATACTGCTTGCCCCCAAACGCGACCCATGTCTCACACTCCGGGCCCTGCTCGCCCTGCAACGACGGCTCCACCGACGTGTTGTAGAACTGGTAGTGTGCCTCTATCCGCGGGGCAGCGGACCGCACCGACAGCGCAAACTGGAACGACGACAGCGTCTCGGGATCCGCGATATGCCCCTCAGTCTGCAATAGCTCCACAAACGACCCGAACAGCTCCCTGTCCGAATTCGCGGCGTCGAAGTAGCCGTCTGCTATGCGGTCGAGGAGGGGGAAGTACGCGGTAGCATTCTCTTCTGCGGCGGTTTCTCTGCCGTTTGTCAGCCATGTCTTCTCTCCCTGCCAGTCCTCCTACGTACAACAGCTCCACAAGGTATGGCGCAGCGTTGAAGCTCGCCCTCAGCGCAACGTTAACCGTCGGTCCCGCGAGGACACGCACGAGGCTCGACGCGCTCAGCAGCACCAGACCCCGCGCACCCAGCAGCCCATTGAGCGCCCGCATCGCGCCAGAAGATGTGTGAAGCTGCGCGGAGCTCCGTAAATGCTCTCGGCGAGGCCAGCAAGCGGAGAGTCGGCGGTGGTGGTGCGTGAGCAGCTCCCGGTGTGAAAAAGATGTTGCAACGTATAGCTTTCGGGCCCAGTGCTCGGGGGCTTCAGCGCTGCATTGGGGCGCGTGCAGGGTGCCTGAAGGAGCGTGAGTATGCAAGGCAAGCAAGAGGAAGTAATTACGGAGAGGGGTTTGTGTTCGTCGGCTTCTCAGGTGGCGATCTCGTTGCTCGTGGGCATGGTGTCTCCAAGTGTGTTCCAAGTCCAACGCCACTGCGCACCGCCACGGTGTGGCACCTCCGATCGAGCGGGGGAGGAGCACTACGTGTGGACAATACCCCCGCAACTTCATCGTCACGGCATCTGCATATTATACGATGGGTGCATCGACGTTCTGAATGCCCGGGCTATTCTAATCGGGCATGTATTGCTAGGAAACCCGTGGAGAGATGTCATAAGAATTAATGTTCCGAATTGGTAGCCATATCTTGTGCAAGAAGAGGTTCGTTTATCATACATATGGAAATATCCCTACTATACGTAGCCAAAGCCCCATGTGCAATACATTTCAATAATCAAACTTCAGCCTCTCCTCCCCCCTCCTTACCAGCCGTATCGGGATCGTGTGTCCCCTCAACTGTAGCGTAATAATACTCGCCGTCTTCTTCTCAAGCAACCACCACGCGCGATCCGCCGCCTTCCTCCACACCGCCTCCCTCCCCTTCTCGTCCATTGCCTCCACTTCCGCATCGCTCGCCCACTCGTCCACCGCAAGCTCAACGCTGTACTGCGAGAAGATGACGGCAAACGCAGTCAGCAGCTCCACCTGCGCGAACCGCCGCCCAATGCACGACCGGAAACCGTCGCTGAACGGGATGTACGACCCCTTGACCGGCCTGAACAAGTTCGCAGATGTGTCTTCGCCGGACGGGCCGCGCAGCTCTTCGTCGTCGTAAGCAATGTCCGCGAAGGAGTCGGTGGTTTGGGATTTGTTGAGCCAGCGCTCCGGGCGGAAACGCTGCGCGTCCGGGATGCCATTTACGACCTCCTCGCCGGGCGGCGCAGGCCAGTATCGCGGATTCTTGTGGATGGCGCAGGAGAGCGAGATTTGCGTCCCGCCCGGCATGGTGTACTGCTCTCCACGCATGGAGAACTGCTGCGGGCGGCCCGGCGCGGTGGACTTGGGGATGTTGTTGATGGGCGTCATGATGCGTAGGGTTTCATTCATGACGGCGGCAGGCATGCCGTTGAAGAGCCTCTGGAAGGTCTCTTCGTACTTCCAGTCGGCGATGGGGCGGCCTTGGATCACCTCGTCGATGTCGCCTTGCAGTTTCTTCTGCGAGGACCAGCGCATGGCGAGGAAGATAAGGGAGTAGTGGAGGGCGTTGGCGGTGGTTTCGTGTCCGGCGAGCATCAGGACGAAAGCGTTGCCGAGGAGGTCGGACTTCTGGATGTTGGTCTGCGATTCGTCTAATATGCCAGAGTTCCGGATAAGAGCGCGGAAGAGGTCCATGCCGTGCGCGCCTTGGCCGGAGGATACTTGGTCCTTCTTGAGTTGGAAGATCTCGTCCATGTAGTTGCCCCATTCGGACATGGCCTGCCCTACTTTACGGTGGGCTTTGACGGGCGATTTTGCTGTCAGTGGTTAGTGTTGTTCCGAGTGGAAAAATCCATGCCTCCCAGAACGGAGAAAGTGACCCAAGAGATGCATCATGACATAGAGCTGGACTAGATCAACTTACTCAGTACGGACGCTGGGCCAATGAATGTCCACATGATGTTGTGAAGAAGCTCACTGAGGGCCTCACGGTAGTTCATCGTATGCCCCGGCGGCGGTTGAGACCCTGTGAATCCATTATCGGCTCCATCAGACTTGTCAACTTCATTCTTCCCCTCATCATGCGGCCAAGTCACTCGAATGTCGAATCCTGCTCCGCTAATGATATAGAGAGCCCAGCTCATGGTATCATTACCAGGGTCAGTGAGGGTCCTACTGCGCTTCTCATCTGGCCTCCACATTCGAAGCAGAGCATTCGTGTGGTGTAAGGTCTCGGTAAATACAAGCTCATTGTTGCGTTCTCCAAAGCTTGGCGCGGTGAGTTTTCTGTGCATACGCCAGTCTGCACCTTCAGTCGACACTAGATTCTTACCGTAAAGGTCGAGACGAGTGTACATTTCAAGCGGCTTGGGGAAGTCATTCCGCCGCGTGGTGATTTGCGTCACAACCTCTGCGTCGGCAACAAAAGCCATGATCTTGGACGATGACACAGCGAGAAAGACATCCGAGCCTATCTTCTCGAAAGGCTCGTGGCCAAGCCTGTGGGCCCATTCGGGGTCTAAGAGCCTGAAAACTAGCAGTCAGTGTTTGTCGGATGTTATATACGGGCACGATGCGTACTCGAGCCATAGTCCTTTGAAAGAGGCTGGAAGTTTGTTCAATATCGGGATCCAGAGATAGTAGGTTGCGAGCCAAGGCACACCGAACACATGCACCGGTAGCACAACATAGGCGATGCTAGAGGCTTTGGCGATTGCGATATTGCGCCTGAAGCGCTGATAGGTGGTGAGGCCCTGGTACAACAGCACGCATGCGATGGCGCTCCACACGAAGAGATAAGCCATCAGATACCCCGCTTTGTGCGACACTGGCTGATCGGTGCGAAAAGGAAGAAGCAAGGAGGCTCAGCGCTGTATGCGACTGCACATTAGAGAGTAACGACGGAGAAGTGTCAAAAATGCATCGTGGCCAAATGTTGATGTCGTGATGTCAGGAGGTCACGTTTCCGTGCATCAAGTACGTTTGAACCCCGCATGTCGCTTGTTCCCATAGTAGCGCCGGCTTGTGGCGATCGCAGAGAAACACGGTCAACATAGACTTCATTGTTGGTATCTGCGTTGAAGTCGACAGCGCGGTCGTCCTCGCAGATGAACAAGTAGTGTGCCTATGTTTAATCCCAAGGCTGGCGGAATGTGATGTGCGACGGTTGAGGCTAGTTCCCGAGGCGCTCGGCGTAGTGAAAGACAAACCTTGCACGGCAGCGCTCTCTCAATGGCTGGCTTGCCTCTACGGGTTTTGGCGGAGTTGCCGTCCACGACCGCTGCAGGAGGCACAGCGACCAAGTCAAAAGCATGTTCGCGCCACTCAGACACGGGCTCGCAGGGCATGGCCGCGCAGAGGGCCTCGAGTAGAAAGCACAGAGGGCGAGCATGTCCGTAGCTCAGGAGGCCGCGATACCTACCTTGTGCGGGAGATGGTCGGCGTGGTGGACAGACGGCAAGGCGAGCGGTCGTTTTTGCGTGCTCCTTTCGGGACTGTTGCAGCTACATGTACATGTGCAGCCGCCGCGCTGCGCCCATCGTGGCCTGGCGGCGTTTCGGCGGGTCTGAATCGGAGCATTCGCTCTTTGGACGTGTGTTTTCTAGCACGCTGCGATGAGATGAATCAACCCGCGAGGGCGCCCCTGGTCCCTCGTGGCACGCCGTCCACGTGGCCCTGCTGTTATCGTGAAGCGGCCAGGGCCTTGGCGAGATCGGCCTGGCACCGACCCCGGGGCGACACTGGACACTGACAGAGGGTGAGGCGTGAGGCCGCTCTTGCCGTGGTTGCGGTGAACAAAGAGAAGGTGAGACTAGCCCGCGCGAGGCCAACTGGGACTAGGCCCGTTGCGACGCGGTCGAGGGCAGCTGATGTGCTTTGTATCTGACTCTTGGACCGAGCAGGGGCAACATCGTCCAGTTCTCGCTGCATGTCACCGCATCATGCCTGGACGTTGCATGGCTACACACCAGCGGGCCCCCTGCACCTTGCTTGTACAGATTGCCTTGGACTTGGCGCGCCTGACAGCTCCCAGTGCACCCCGGAACAGCCTCCACACTTGCGGTAGTTGGGCGGTCCTTTGCCGGCGACATGTGCGCGCAGACCGCCCGGCGTCGTGGTCGTCGTCGTCGCCAGGGCAGAGGATCGCGAAGATGGGCATGTCTCGCTGCCCAAAGGTGTCGATCTTGGGCACGCTGCGGCTGCCGAGTCTGGACGCCAGCGGCGAGGGCAATGAGTCGCCGAAACGACGGCGCCGACGCGGTCAATTGACAATGGCAGACTCGGACGCGCGCAAGCATTCACCGGCTGGAGAGGGCTGCTAGCTACTCAGTGCCCGCCCGCCACCAGCCGAGCATCACTTCCAGCGGCCTTCTCGAAGCCTCGTTGGACGAGGCTAGCGACGCAGCATGACCCATGATCCCTCAGCGCGGTGGGGCGCTCTACCGCACGCTCAGTTTCATGCACACAAGTTTCATGCACAGTTGCACTGGCAATCTCGCAACACTCGGCCTGCGTGCGCAATTGGCCGCTGCGAGCTGATCCGGCGCAGGCGACACTCGGTGGGGGCGACTGCGGAGGAGCGCGCAGCGACAGCAGACGGCCTGAAGTCGCACGTTGCGCCGGGCTCCCGTCGCCAGTCACGGGCGCTGGAGGACTGCGGGCGCGCTGGCGGCGAGGTTTGCTGTCTGCGGGCAACTGTACGAGGCACGGCGCGCGCTGCGAGTCCGGCCCTCCCACCGCTGCGGGCCTGGGTACGGTGATGGCTGGACGAGGCGTCAAGCGAGCATCCTGCAGTCACCAGTGACCAGACCGGGCGTGAATCGCGGGTGCTTGCTCGTTTTCACTCGCCCTGGCGCGCAGATTCGAGCTGGCGTCGCCAGGCTCCACCGCCCACGGCCGGGCGGGCCACGGCCGTCCCTCTGCCGCCTCACGCTCTCCGCGACCGTCCCCTCTGGCCCTGCTCCTCGACCAGCCCAGCGTCCAACTGGCCTAGGGCCTGCCGTCGCGCTCGCCTCCCTGCCCACGCGGCCAGCTCCCCTGCCCGCGGCTAGCCAAGTGCGCCCTCTCGTTCGGTGCACGGCCCGTCCAGCAGCCACCCTCCACGCTACCAAGCTACAGCGCCAAACGTCGTCGCATAGCCTGCCACTGCCAGCGCCCGCCTGTCTCAGCGCAGCAACCTCGCTCGCTAGAAGACTCGTCGACGGTCTTGCCTGCTTCCAGCAACGTCTCCGGCTCCATGGTAAGCTTGCCATCAGGACTGGGTCCTCCTCGCGCGGCTTGACCAGCTCCCGCTGCATCGCACCCGCTCCTCTGCCCTACGCAGCTCGGAGCCTCCTGTGCCTCGTCAGGTGCTTTCCCAGTCTCCTGCGACGCTTGTCAAACTTCTCTCTCCCCCCAGTGATGACGCGGATTGGTCCACCAACAGACGTCCTCTGCCCACTCCACCGCTGACGTGCTGGTCGACTGCCTCGAGCGCTCCTGCCAAAAGCTCAAGCTCAAGCTCAGTGCTCCAAGCTCCAGCCCTGGGCAGGCGTTTCCATCTGTGAGTACGCCGCCGTGATATAGCCAGTGACGGAATCGCGGCCGCATGGCCTGAGCGGAAACGTCGTCTGATATAAGGATGGACGGCGTTGATCCGGACGCGCCCACCCACAAGAGGCCCCGTTTGGACTCGGTCAATCCCGTCTATAACGGCCTTCCCCCTCCTCAGCCGCCTGCTGCCCGACACCCATTACATCCCACTTCGGCCCAGGCTTCCTCACCCCCACCGCCGCGCACCTTCCCGCCGCACAGCTTGCCACATCCCTCGCATACCTATCCGTCTCCCGCTCCTGGACCCTACGGCCCACCTCAACCCTCACCTTCCCTTCCGCCTTCGGATATTCGCCATCTTCCCGATCCTAGGAGCAGCATCTCGTCGCCTGGCCACCGTCCTCATGGCCTCCCCGGCACTCCGGTGACCCTTCCTGCTCGACCACCAGTACCGCAGGATACCATCCGCTCTTACAGCGCAGCACCAACGCCACAGCCTCCCCTCCCGCCCGACTCGAGATCGGCTGCCAGCGTCAGCATCAACATCGACGTCAAGCGTGCCGAGTCCTCTGCACCGCAAGGCATGGAGCATGGCGGTCCCAATCCTTGGCCATCGCATCCTGACCCCCACACCTCTCGCCATGGCAGCATGAGCAATGGCTACGCTTCGACCATGAGCCCTCCAAATGAACCGCAGTTCCACACGCCACCGTTACCGCAAACGCCGCAATATGGCCAACCTCCGTCTATGGCGTCCTACTCCAACGGACCCTACATGGCACAGTACGGTCCTGCAGCGCAGGCGATGCGGCGGAAACAGGTTCGAGCCACCCAGGCGTGCAACCACTGCCGTTCGCGCAAGCAAAAGTGCGACGAAGCGAGGCCGTGCCAGTTCTGCAGAGAGAACAACTTTGATTGCCAATACAAGGATGTTCCGCCACCCAAGTACGTGAGGTCAGTCGCAAATATCGTCTGCTTGCTAACTCCTGGAATAGGCAAGATCGCAGCATGATGCAACTGCAGGACAGCGTCAACAGCATATCCGACACGTTGAAGGATTTCGTGGCGAATTTCAACATTTGGAAACAGCACGTTGACGGCAAACTTGCGCAACCAAAGTTTGTTGCGCATGCGTCACCAGCCTTTGACCATGCCTCCCCGCAACAAGGCCCCGGGGCGCGACCGTCGACAAGCGAGCAGCATACCCCCAGGATTCCAACGCCGGTGCAAGGACGAACTCAATACAGCAGAGTCAACAGCATGAAAATGGAGTCGCCAGTCGTCACTCATTCCCACATTTCCCCAGGACGTGCGCAGTCGTCGACACCCATCAAAAGAGAATCTTTCCAGGCATATCCGCAGCCTGCCACCCCCGCCGACAGCGTTGGGACGAGTATCACTCAAACCCAACCGGACACGACTAACGACAATGAGCGGGTCGGTCTCAAGGCAGACCATAGGACGCCGGCGCATCGCCTGTTCATCGAGTGGCCATGCATGGCGAATTTCTGCAACGGTGTACCCTTCATTCAGCGACTATTGGAAGAAGGCCACCGGATGGACCAATATCCTATGCTAATGGAGCAAGACCGTGGACTCCTCCGCGTGTGGGGTGTTGGAGAAGGCCACGACCTCTACGACGGTGCCCACGGTCCCGGGAGCCCCGAAAACAACGCTGAGGGAGACACCCCCTCCCCTGCTGCCACGAAGGAGGGACTGTGGGGATGCCCACCCGCTGATCATTCCAGCCCCAGCACCCTCAACGGCGACCCTCCTCGATACGATCACGTTGGGGGCCTTGGTCCCGACGGAAAGCCCGATTTCAATTCCAAGACCTTGTGGGAGCTCTACCGGTCGTACCAGGAGAACATCCACATCCTGCACCCTTTCCTGAACCCGGCGAAGCTGCGAAAGATGATCCACGAGTTCCAGGAGGTGTACAGTTCGGATCGCAAGAACAGCACCATGTCTCCGTCCGCTGTACCTGAACGACTCAACGGCGGTATCAAGCGGAAACGGTCGAGCACCATGTATGGCGACGCCTACGGAGTAGCGGACGACCTTGCGAGAGGCAGCATTGAACGCTCTCTGCGTAACGCGATCATCCTCCTCGTCCTTGCCTTGGGCAAAGTTAGTCTTCATACGGCTACGCTGCCTCATCCGCAGAGCGACAGACAGCCTACAGGGAATGGAACCTGGGGCTACCATCGAGACTCGCCGCGGTCTGCCACGGACAGTTTCAGCAGCGACGCTTCGGACACGCGCGCCAGGAACATCGACATACTGCCTGGTATGGCGTACTTCTCCTACGCTACCGATATCCTCGGCAACCAGAACGGTGGTAACACTGTAGCTCATGCGCAAGCATGCCTTCTAGCTGCGTTGTACCTGGGCCAATTCGGTCGCGTCCTCGAAAGCTGGAGCTGGATTAACAACGCTTGCAGAATCTGCTTGGTTCTTATCCGACGTGAAGGCAAAAAGGTTAACCGGAAAACGATCACGACGAATGTTGCGGGCCAGAACGTTATCGTAGATTCCAGTAACGAAGACAGCCTCTCTGCGGAAGAGCGACATCGGCTCAACTTGATCAAGTGCATCTACTGGACATGTGTCCAGATGGAGAGGTAAGGTAACTGTCCTTGTTCCTGATTTCCTGCTAACGTCCGTACAGCGACATTATCGCGGAAATTAGTGAACTTGAGCCCAGTGCAATCACTAGATACCAAACCGACATCGAGTATCCGTCCGGGGTCTACGAGTCGTTCGGTGAAGGGATGCCCGAGTTCGATGCGACATCTGTGCACACGAAGAACCTCTTCCTGTACTCCAGCCAGATCCACTTGCGTATCATTCTCAACGATGCGCACAACTCCTTGTATAGTGCGCGACTTGGTTTCGACAGCAACAACATCGACGAGATCGCAAACAACGCACGATCCCACGCCGGACTCTTGGCAGCCTGGAGAAGCATGTTGCCGGAAATGCTCGCTTGGAACGATTCTGACCCCCCATCGACCGACATCAGTGTTGCTCGTATGCGCGCCAAGTACTACGGTGGACACTACGTCATTCTGCGACCGCTGCTGTTCAAGGCCATCCACCACATGAAGCTGCCGCCTACTGTGTCATCCAATAATTCCCCTCCGGATGCTTCATATCAGTTCAACCCGCACCGCGATATCGTCGACCTGAGCGCTGAGGACGTAAAGGCTCTCAAGATTGTCCAAGATTGCATCCACAGTGCCATTAAGAGTACAATCGCTTTTGATCGTATTGGAGCCGACGAGAATGCTCCTTACCGGAACTACGAGAGCCAGCGGAAATCCCGGCTCATCGTGCCCAACGTCTTCGGCACGTTGCATGCGTAAGAATAAAACTCTTCCGATTAGAAGCACGCTAACTTCTCTAGGCAATTTGGAAACATGCTTGTACTCACTGCTGTCTACAACTCTCCCATGCGCAGATTCCTCCCGGACCAAAATTGCCTCACCAAGGAGACTCTCACCGCCCTTTTCACGCGCACCCAGGACATTCTGAGGGAACTGTCAGGGAACTCCCCGGTCCTGTCTCTCGACTACGAGATCCTGGACAATCTGGCACGGCAGCACGGCATTCAGTACCGACGTCAACGATGATGTAGGATAAGTACACGACACGTCCGAATTTGGTTTAGGCGGAGCCCGGGCCATCAATTGCAACGCTTCGTCTTGTCTTGCAAGCCTCTCTTTCAATCTGCATTTACTACGGCGCATCTTGGACCTGTCTCACACGATCGGTCATACATAATTACATTGGGTGGCAAGCGCTCGAAATTCCCACTCACATCGCACCATTGCATAGCCTACTTTTGGTTTTCTGCTTTCTTTCTCTTTCCTGTTTTGGTACATCATTACACACATAGCTGGGCGGCCATTTGTCATCTTTCGATCTGTTGGAAACATCTATACCCCGGCGGGGCTTGGAGCTTTTGCTATGCTTGGGTTGCTACGCGAGGAGGTAGCGGCCCCCTTTGATGTTTGGTTGCGCAGGAGGACTTGGGAGCCAGGCTATCGATGTCTATTACGCTCATGTTTCATGATGCTATCTGTTTGGAGCTGTTTGGTCTATACACGCATCGCTTGCATATATTGGCTGTATTGGGTACTAGCGCGCGTGTTTCGGCACTGTTGCAATGCACACACAGCGAGGGGTCGGGCCTCGCATCAGCACTGCTATACTTGCCATTTCGATACAATTCAGGCGCACACGCATTGCAATGTCATGTCATGTATGGCACACGAGCATTTGTCTTTCGGAGTCGAGAGCCGTGCAATCGGCGCACGGCGGATGGTGAGGAGGCTGGACGTCGGGGCTACTTCCGAGACACGAGATGCGCGCGGAACAAGCGCCAAAGTCCCAACTCCCCTCCCCATGCAATGTTTTGCGGCATGCCGTGGCATGGCATGGCATGGTGTAGCTATTCCCAGCACAGCACGAGCAGCACGGTCAACGAAAGCTTATCCCCTCACTCAGGCCGCAGTGCGTGCCCCCGCGCTTGCTATCCAGACCTCGGATGCCAACCTCCAGTAACGTCGGATGTGCTTGATTTGATCTACCTGATCTACACGCATCGCATCGCATCGCATCTCACATCTCGTGTATGTAGACGCGGGCGCCCTCCGCCAGCGCAGCATCGCCCAACCCATACCAAAAACCACAGCCAGACGACGCCCAACGACAGTCCGTTCCTGGATTGCGACCCAAGGTCGGCCCGGCGCCCACGTGCCGGCGCCCGCTGCCCGCGCATGTGGGGCCCTCTCGCTAGCTCTAGCGACTACGAGTCCACTGGCTGGATGCGGATTCGGGAATCGCACGCTGTTCGCTCCGAGGCGCGCCGTTGGACCCAGGACCGCAGAGGGGGGTTCCGAAGGCGTCTGGACACGGGGTTGAGGTTGGGGATTGTGGAGATGAGGGCTCGTGTTTGGGGTCAACTGGGTCGACGGCAGTTGGGTGCGGATGGAAGGAGGGCGCAGGATCTCGGCCGAATGGTGCTGCGAGCGTATGGGTTACGGGATCCGGGCTGGCAGGGCATGGGATTGCACGGGATGGTGGACGCGTTGTGCTGTGAAGCTTGCCGCGTGACGCGTGCGTGCGTGCGTGCGTGCGTGCGGCGACCGTGGCTCTCCTGGCACCACGGAAGCGGACCCTGGGGCTCATCACTGATCAGCGGTCGCCCAGCGTTGCATTGCGTGCGTTGCGAGTGTTTCTGTCATGGACGCGGTGTGGTTGGGCAGCAAGATCGTCGTGATCTCTGGACCGCGACCGCCGTTAGATCGCGGCGGGGCGATGCCAGTCTCGAATCTCTGAGGCCCTCCTGAAAAACAGAGAGCAGGTACTGCGACAGTTAGGCGCGAAGATTTGCTCGCTGGCTTCGCTGAAAAAGCCTATCTCGTGGTCCCTGGCGGAAGATGTCGATATCACAACTCGGAAGCATGTGACCGTGTCATTTTGCGTGCACCGCTCGTGATCCGCACAGACGCTGCTGTTCTCCGCCGCCCCTCCAGAGCCAATAGTTGCGTGCTCGCCATACGCAGCTGGTATTATAACTGCCCGTGCGGTATCGAAAGACGGGGCGAATAAAGTAACGCCGGGCGATGCCTCCGTGCGCAGCATGATTGGATGACTTGAAGCGGAATGGGCAGGTCGTTGCGCTTGCCAGGGTGGCGGAGACGTTCTCCGGTGTATAGATAGGGTGATACAGCTGCGTGGGGTCAGGAAGAATAGAGTTGGAATCTGAGGCGCTGGTGCATGCTGTGACTGTCGGCAGCCGTGCATTCCGACGCGAGAGGTTGGAGGCGTATGCAATGCAAAGGTGATCATGTGGGCGCTGTGGGGCATGGGCTTTACGAAGTACGTACATCCTGTTTGGTCAGCGGTGTATGGATGAGTAAGCGCGGGCGTTGTATATTGACTCCAACTATAGCGTTCACTCGCCCTGTTACACAGGCACGTGGGGGTTGCGACCACAACATGGTCGATCACTCCGCCCTGCGAAGCGGCTATTGTCGTTTGGTCACATCCAGCCAGTCTTGCATGCTCATCCTCACGGCAATCCTTCGCGAGCGAGACTGAATCATCGTCTGCTTCTGGTGATTGATAGTCATCGTTTGACAGTTGAGACAAGGTTAAGTCAAGATCCCGTCGCCCATCACGCGCGAATTACTCGCTACCAACAGCGCTGGACGAATGCCAGCCTCCCTCGCTTCTGGAAGCCGTTAAGGGCACCATGTCCATGTCGTCGCGTAATTCACAGCTGGGGTCCTCTCGCAATCTGCCTCACTTCCCCTCACATCGCCCGTCCGTGCCATGCATACTCCATCCGGGCAGTACAAGCGCCGATGCACGTCCCGTGCAGAGCCTGTGCAATTCAACTCAATTCAATTCGCGCAAAAGGCCCTAGGCACCAGCAGTTTTTGGAGTGTCTGACCGAGGGGCGAGCACAGACGCAGAGCCAAATCTTATACGAATCCTGTTGTAAGCCCCACATGGGCGGATGCGACATCTCCAGCCGTTCCCTCGTTCCCTCACCGATCAGAAAACTGCCGGCTCGGACGCAGGCCGCTCCCGTGTGACGGCGGGCCGATGCTGCTGGGAGGTGGCCGGGAGGCGGCATAACGGTGTTGTGCCGAAGGCCCGAAACCCACGTGTATCTAGCATACACGTGGGTGCGTGTTCGGAGCGTGGCTTATGCGAAGTACTGTGTAGAGGCCGCCTTGCATGCACGTAACTGAGTGCATGTTCTGGTACCGGATACGAGCGCATAGACGACGGTCGGCCTGAATTGTCATCTGCTTTCGGTTTGTTCCGATTGAGAAGAACAGCTGGAAAATGCCCGGTCGGCACAGCCTGGGCCACGATGCAGTTGCACTCGGCCAAATTCTATGATCCCGGACATAAGGCGTCATCGAAAGGGCCGAATATCTCGGATCATGCCGTGGCAGCTTTGTACATGCAAGGACGGAGTATAAGACCACGATGGCCGGGTAAAGCAACATCGTGACTACCGTAGAAGGTTCGAATTTCCCGACCTTGGGCATACGCGTGCAGAAAGACTACGTTCCCCCTGCTATGCTGCATAGATGCCAGCACAAAGTTGGATTCGTGTTGTCAATATGTATGGATGCAACGCGATGTTGTGAGTGATTTTGTGCGACGTGGCGGACGCGGGAGGTGCAGGTCCGCGCGTTAGTGGTAGCTTCCGCTTTCGGTTGACCCTGCATCGTATCCTGCATTGCGCTCCTCATGTTGTTTCTCCGGAATACGCTCAGCCGTTTCACCCTAGAATCAAGTCGAAAAATCCTCCGCGCTGTTCCCGTCAGCATTTGAGAGACATAGTCTCAAGATCCCTTCCGCTCAGCCGTGCCGCTACAACTGTGAGGACTTCTCTTGGCTTGGGTAAGACATTGGAGAAGCCAACCAAGGAAACAGTGTCGCTAGTGGTACCGATGCCACGGAAATGGGAGCCTGATACCGTGGTGATACGAATGGTCTTCTCCACATGGCGGCCGAGGTCCGGAAAGTGGGATCCTCCCGCATTTTTCGTTGAAGTCCCTTCCCTTATTGTGTGTTTGCTGGATTGCAGATTGAATGCTCAGCGATATTTGGCGTCTCGAGTATGTCGCACTTAAACGGTGTTTGCGCAGTATTCCCAGTGACGTTACAGTGACGCAATGCCAAGAACAACGTATGCCTTTTTTTTTTCTTTTTTTTTCGCCAGTCATACCTTTATCTGTGTTTTGTATATTGCTGAGTGCTGTCAGTCCTGAATACCGTTCGTTCTTGCTAAAGTGGACATATCCAACCCATCTTCTATTAAAGCCCAATCACGACGGTAGACTTGCTAAACATGGTAAATTTCGTAGTGCGACCACCTACGCAAGTGCAGATGTAAAGAGAATGATTGGGAGACGAGGGTTATAATAGTGTCCTCGAGTTACACAATTGAATCTACCACCACTACCACCATTTCACGTTCGCTCTCCAGAAATCAAGATGGGATGAACCTGTGCAACCGCCATGTGTCACGGCTGCCTAATGTGACTCTGCAAGCCCAACGAAGCGTGCACGCCGCGACTCCTACTTCAACTCCACCGCATATCTTTCCATGAGGCTGTGACAGCACGCTCATTTGTATATTCATAGCAGATCGCCAGTGTGGGTTCCACAGAGTCGGTACACGACCGCAAGCCAGGACCACGGGAAAGCGCGATGTATCGCCACGAGCGACCCTCTCGAGACCCCATGTCTAACCGCCTTCCCCTACAGCCTAGATGGCCAGAAAACGCTCGATATGCGCCGAACTGCCCCATCTATCCCTTGAAAGCAACACCAGCGCCAGCACCGGTGCCCTGCATCGATGGCCTGCCCTTCGCGTCCTCGCCGTACGCCGCCGCTGTTTTCACAAACGAAATATCCCAATACTTCGCGAGGACGTCACTACCTCCGAGACCTATACAACTTCAGACTCGCCGCAAGATCAGCATTCCGAAGAAGCAGGTACACTTCAACTTGACGCCTCGATCCCCTCCTCAGAATCATCCACCGCGCAGGGCCAGCCAAGTAAGCCTTGCGTACTCCATGCTACCTCAAGATAGACAGTCCCCGCAGTAGCTTTCATATCACTGATCCGCCAACACAGGTACACCTCCCAGAACACGGTCACCGCGGTCCACCCACACCCGCCAACCCCCCACGCAAGCGCCCATCAACCCGCAACATCGCCCACCAGCCCACTCCACCATCACCAAGCGCCTCCCACCCAACGATCTGGATCGTGACCTACGCGCACAGCCTCGCCAACACCCCGGCCGTAGTCAACAAGATCCTCGCCTCCCAACTTCCCCACGCAACACTTCACCTCTACACCATCCACGCATACAACATGACGCCTCCACCAGTCCAAATTTGTGACGCATACTCCGGCATCTCACCCATTGTGCAGGACTACGTCATGCGTGATCCGCATGCGCGGAAAGCGGTCGACGATGCTATCCACAACATACTGGCGCATGGACAGCGCGAGATGAGGAAGGAGAAAGAAGGCAAACGCCCGGCAAAGAAGGATTTCGCGCTGAGCGTGTGCTGTATGTATGGTACGCATCGGAGTGTGAGTATTGCGGAGAAGATTGCGCAGGGACTGATGGGGATGAAGCTTGGACTAAGGGTGGTTGTGCGACATGTTCATCGGGTCAAGGGCGCCAAAGACCCGCGTTAAAAGGTTCTCTTGGATGGGAGGAATGCTTGACTAGCTTTGTTGGTTGTGTAGAGATACCCTAGATACCCCTATCTCGTGTTCATTCAAGACACTCTCGACTCTATGGTGCATTGTCTCCTTCACCAAGCTTTGACCGTGAAATGAAGGTGAGGAAGTCTATGTTGGCCGTCCAGTGTCGCACGCAATCTAAATGTCCTAGATTAATATAGTAGCGCACTACGACTCTTGTACAGATGCCGCATGTGGGCACTTCGGGTAGTGGCACAGTGACACCACGCTGTTATAGAAGCTGAAGAACGCAAAGATGACATAGGACAAGCTAACAATACAAAAAGACTGAACGCAGCACACGTCAAACTAAAGAATTCTCAGCTCGCGCCATCCTCAAGTTCACGCACACACTGAGACCATACTCGGCCTAGCCACTGGAGCCCTCGCAGCCAACTTTTCTTCCAGCTCCGGCAACGTGAAACGAGGTCGACGGTACGTATATCCCACGAAAGCGCCTGGTCGAGGTAAGTGACTCGACGACAAGATGCTATTAGGAAGACTCACCTCTCTTCCTCAACTCCAATACTGTGCGTCCAACCTGCGGGTCTCGGAGCAGCTTGTCCCTCGGTCGTTTCTTCTCCTTTCGCTTCGGTACCTTCTTGGAAGCCTTTGTCGGACTCTCCGGGGGTAGCACATTCGATCCACCATCGACTTCTCCTACCTCACGCTCACTCAACACCACACCACCGTCCTCAGGCACATGATCGTAACTCGAAGAATCCAGGTGGTCCGAAGCGCTCATGATGTCGGCCTCGTCATCAAAGTACTTTGTGATCGGTTGGCTGCCGTGGACGCGTGGGACAAACGGTGGGCGCGTGAGGTGCAGATTCTGCCACTGGATGGTGCGGAAGAAGGCGTGATGTTTGATATCCTCGGCGTCGTTAGGGAATACGATATGAGCGGAGCAGTTGAGATTGCGGACGCGGCGTTGACCTAGGCCGCGGTCGCGGAGGAGCCAGTCATTTTCTCGATAGCGTTTCGCGGAGAGGCGATCAGGTCGCTCGTCGAGGAGATGCATCATCAGGTCGATGGCGTGGCGAGACACTGGCATGAGTGGCACCTGAAATTCCGATCAGCACGGCAGATCTAATGCCTGGGTTCTGTCTCTTACACGATCAATGTTTGGTCGAGCATAGCGTTGCTCGAGCGGAAACCTCAGCCAACGCTTGTGTTCCTGAAGTTGTCAGTGATCAAGCGTGTGTGTATTCACGAACTCGACTTCCATACCAAGATTCGCGTCTTCGTTGCCTGCCTATTCTCGCAGAAAAAAGGCGTACAACCATAGAGACATTCATATAGTATGATACCGATGCTCCACTAATCGCATCTGCCATCGTAGTTCTCGCCCTTGATCACCTCTGGAGCCATATACTGGCTAGTACCGACCTAGATGAATGTAATGAGTCCATGAATCTGTATACTGACCCTGGAATCGCTTACCACGCTTTTGGCAAACTGGCGTTTCTGTGTGCGATTGAGCCAGTCAATGATGGGCCCGTTTGCACTATCCTGTTTCGCTTCGAATCTCTCGCGCCCAGGTCTTCCATTGATGAGATCGATGGCTTTTCGATGTTCCCGCCTCTCCTTCTCTTCTTGAAAATCTTGCGCATCGCCTTGAACATCCACGTCGAGATCACGGAGTAATGTGTATCGCTGCTCGTTGTAGTATGCTTGGTTGTGTGTCCAGTGGCCGTCAAAAGCAAGACCGAAGTCGGAAATCTTCAAATGCCCAGACGACGTGATGAGGAAGTTGTCCGGCTTAACATCCCGATGGATCCAGTTCATCTTGTGCGCTTCTTCAATGCAGAGAATCATCTCGGCGATGTACCATCTAGCGACGCCCTCGTCCAAAATGTCTTCGCGGAGCAACAGACCTAAAAAGTCGCCGCCAACCATGTATTCCATAACCTAACCCACTGTAAGTATGCTTGATTTCACAAATATATTGATGCGCAGCTCACAAGGTACAAGTTGTTGTTATCCTGGAAGCTTGCGATGAGCGGGACTACCCATTTCGAATTCTCGGACGCAACCAGGAAGTCGCGTTCTGCTCTCAAATGACCTTCTTGACTATTGCGGAGCATGTCGGACTTTCGGATGACCTTCATAGCAAAGACTTGCTTCTGGGATCCTGAACTGCCGTTTTCAATCGTATTATCAACGTAGGAGGTCTTGTCAGAGCTGCTCCCAGTAGAATGCCCGCTACTGATGGAAGGTTCGCTTTTCTCGCGCACGAGTCGTACAACTCCGAAACTGCCCTTTCCTAAAACCCGAACAATATCGTAGTTGGATATGTGTACCCCCTTGGTCTTCTTTCGCATGAGGCTTTTGGACTTCAGGACCCGGGTCTGGCGAAGATGATTGCTTTCCGCACGATACCACTCCTGCCAGCTTTGTTGACGTTGCTCATTGGGAAGCGCCATGGCGAATAGTTTCCGCTCCATGTTTCGCCTACGCACTGAGCGAGCAGTCGTCTTAGGTCCAAGAATTGCATTGAAGTGCGACTCGAAAAAGACCTTTGCCGCAGCAGCATTCTCCACGGTTGCGATGGACGGTCGCGACAGTATCGGAGAATCCTGGCGAGGGAAAACCAACCACTGGCAACTCAGCTGCTCGGGCGACGGCTCATATAAAGGAGAGCCACCTGTAGAGATGTGGCGCATGCCGTTATGCCCTCGCTGCGTCGGCTCACCAGACCATGGCGCACCGGATGACACAAGTGAGGTTGGCGCTGTTGACATTGACTGAAGACTGAGTGGATTGCTGCTTCCGACCAGACTTGAGATTTGAGATGGTAGGGTCGGAACGTCACTCATCGTCCCTTGCAACACAGGCGCCTCCAGTGCATACTCGGATTGCTGTGCCTGAGCGACAGAGTCAGCAATACTTCATACAGTGAAAGTTCTTTCGAACGGCTCACGATATTGGAGTCGAGCACCATTGGCCGCGAGTTCAGTTTCAGCCGGTGGATCACGGTAGGATTATGCAGCAGGCTAGAAGAGATCCTTCTCATCAGTTGCTGCGACAGCCCTGGCGTCGATCGACTGGTGTGTAGCGCTGCTGGATGTCTCTCTCTTGTGTCCATGGCCGGCTCTGACTCGCCATCAAATCCAGCTGCGCTGGGGAGGTGAAGCATGGACGACGGTCCTTTCCGGAGCACAAATGGTGGTTTGATAGTAGGGATTTCGGGCACACTAGGGAACTGCAGCGATTTGATCACGCTCGGAGTAGAGGAAGGCGCAATACTAGCACGCTGGGTGCTATCGGAAGTGTTCGTATTGGAACTACCGCTTTCGACCGTCATTGCTCTGGGATCAAGTCCAGAGCCTGTGCAGGATCAGTATGAGTACGCAAACCAAACGTACAAACAGACCTTTGCCGCTCCGAAAGATAGAAAAGATCTTGACGCTTCCTCGGCGCAGGTTACTGAAGGTGCGTGAAGACGGGAGGCTGGCCCTGACTGGCGCTTGTTTGACGGACGATCCCGAAAGGTGGCTTCCGTGACGCTCGAGGATACGGACTTTGCCTTTGTCTTGTGAGGTCGTGATCGGGTTATTGCCGTCTTTCCGCTTCCTAGTGGCAACGAAAGACACCATATTGGTAGCTAGAAATGGATGGGCGAATGTAACCTGCCAATGGTGAACAATAAGCAGATACAAGGATATCTGCAACGCGGCATGAATAACCGTGTTGATACCTGTGTGAGAGGATACCGTAGCCGGAGTGACGCGGTGCGATCACCCTGAACGTGATGGTGCGTGAGGTTGATAAAAGCGGTTTCCTGCATAGCTTGGAGTTGAGGCTAGACCCCTGCTTGTGAGGAAAGGACATATGCCACAGGTAGGAAAGGACGACGCGCAAATATCAAGTCAAGAGTAGCTGAACAACAACGCGGACAATCAGGCCAAACCTGAGGTTTACATTTACAGCCACCTGTGTTATACGATGTAAGCGATGCTACAACTCCGTGTTCTACCGGTTTCTTGTCGTTTTGAACCTTCTGTAACCATAGCTGGACCTTTGGCTGAATATAAAACATAAACGGCGTGTCCCGACAGCTATCAGGAGATCCAGGCATCATCACCATCACGAGCGGGAGGAAAGCTTGCCGCGTAATACAGACTTCGACGCGGAGCCATTGACGTTAGTAACTCTCATCGTACAACGAATATGGGTCTGAATTCAAACATTGTAACATACAGTTGAAGTTGTTGGTCTGAGAGGGGCCGAGTTGAGAGAGGAACAAGCAGCGGTGTTCACCCCGCCTCGCGAGTGCACGTGCCATGGCATGGGCGCTGCCATTTCCTCGGGCCAACACTGGTCCCTCTCTTTTCATCGCCAACACCCGCCATCATGCATTCAAGCAATATCTCGTCCTGCATCGAACTTGCATCGGCCACGACATGTACATCGTCTGTCGTACGGTTTAGATTAAAACAATAACTCGCTTATGCATCCGTAGGCCGATAAGCCTCCCAAAACGTGCTTGCTGGCGCCGGGGAACAGGCAATACGATTAACCTATACATCTCGATACCTATTGCGGCTGCGCTGCAGAGGAATCCCCGAAAATGGAAGCTGTGCCTGCCGATTACAACGTCACTGGTGCAGGATGCGCAGGAAATCTAGAACTTTGGATGAACCCTTGTCACGATAATCGTCCCTCTAGCTCGCCCAAATGCAGAACAATGTATAAGCTACTGAGAAGCATAGCCTTCTCAGTAGCCTGAAAGTGCCCATTCGGCGTCTCTCTATAAAGCTTATTCATGGCTTGTGCCCAGCATCCGCGTAATCGCGACATCTCTCAAGGGGAAAACATCATTGGATTTGAATACACAAGATGGTTCTGCTGCTCGGCTCTATCGACTTGCTATCGCAGTTCGCAAGCGTAAGCTTACTCGCCGTAGCTGCAGCATCACCCTCTTTGTTCGCCAGGAACAACCCTCCGCAACCACCATGTGTCTATCCGTACACGAAGTTCGTCTACTCGGGGTGTTTTGCAGACTCTGTCGCTAGTCGTGCTCTTCCATTCAAGGCTGATCTTGAATTCACCAACGCCACAATCGAACAGTGCACGGCTTATTGCAAAGGCAACAACTACAGATATGCTGGCCTTGAGTACTATGGTAACCTAGTTCCTGTTCACGCCTGTTGTATGGCCTAACAGATAAGGACAATGTTTTTGCGGAGCCAGTGTGTCGGCTGTTGTCGCCCCTGAAGTGGAATGTAACTTTCCCTGTAACGGTACGTTACTGTTCACTCCAGGCGATCCTATTATTGCTCATGCATTCAGGCGACCCAACTCAAGCTTGCGGAGGAGAAGATCGCGTGTCTATCTACCAAGACCCCACATTTCCCGATGCAGATGACGTCGCGGTCTCGGCTGATTTCTTGTCCCTTGGTTGTTACACTGAAGGCGATAGCGGCCGCTCTCTTGACTATTCACAATGGGACTACCTCAACATCTCAGCCATGACCACAGAGATGTGCCTCACCGCTTGTGGTGCAAAAGGCTTTCCATTCGCGGGTACAGAATTTGGACGAGAGTGCTACTGTGGTGTCGTCTTAGGCAACGGCACCGTCAATGCAGAATCTGACCAATGCGCCACCCCGTGTACGGGAAACAGCAGCCAGATCTGCGGTGGTGCCGATCGCTTGTCGCTCTACGTTGCGAAGAACCTGGAATCGACCGAACCATGCGGACCTCCTGTAATCTCGTCTTCCAGCGCCCCGTCATCGACCCCAACGATGTCTTCAACCTACAGTAGTTCGTCATCCGACTCCACTACAGCTTCATCCTCAACCGCCATCTCTACGTCGTCAAGTAAAGTCTCTTCGTCAAAGTCTTCTGTGATATCAAGCTCCATGCACCACCCAACACCACCATGCATAGGATGGCATTGTCCAAAGACTACCACAACGAACGCATCATCCTCAAGTCCAAGCAAGAAGAGCACATCAACCCCGTGCAACACCACGCCGCCATCGAAACCCTCTACCAAGAGCACGCCAAAGCCATCTTCGACCCCCAAATCTACCTCCAAATGTAGCTCTTCCACCAAGAAGTCTTCTACCCTTGAAACATCTACATCTTGCTACACTACTGCGAGGACTACTGGCAAGAGCACCGTCAAGTCGACGTCCACGAAAAAGTCCAGCGGGTGGTAGAAGCCGGAGAAGGTTTCGAACTGTATTTCGTCATGAGGCGCATGAACCATAGTGTCCCCAGTCCATCCGAAAGCGCCCTTGAAGCAAGTGATCAGTTAAAAGAATGGTTAAATGTACCCTTAAGCGAGCTCCGTACCTTGAAAATCTTCATATTTATGGAGTATAACAGAACGAAAGGAAAAATTCATATTTTTTCAACCATTGTGATCCCAAGTCCTAACCGAACAAGCATATCTGCAGGCAAGCTGGACGGTTTTGCGGACGTGGTGAAGTGTGCCGTAGGATGGAGCACGCCTTCCCTTCCTAAGCTAGCCAGACGCTAGTCTTTTTTCGGCCATGAAGTTTTGGTGAGAAATCTTGACGCGGGGAAACACCATGCACCATCCGCCAACCACAATTAATGCACAGTGGAAGCCATATAAATTACGATGAGGAAGAAAAGCTGAAGAGAAGGAAGCCAAATATCGCAGATGCCACGAACAGGCGAATTTCCACGTCTCCCATAAAGGCTATCAGGAAAAGGAAGGAGAGCGGGTATTCAAGCAACATGGAAGAGGTTCCTATCCAGCCGCGTGGCTTGTTCTGGCAGAACGACTTCATAACACACGAGCACGAAGCGCGCCTGATACAAATCTTTCAGAACGAGCTCGAGTGGCCCGAGCGGTCAGGTCGACTGTCGCTGCACTATGGCTACACCTTCGACTACAAGACATTTGGCGTGGATCCAAACGTCCCGTTCAAAGAATTTCCTGAATGGCTAGTCCCCTTGATTCCTACGAGGGAAGGCAGACCGCCCGATCAGGTTTGCCTACAGCACTACCCGCCCGGCGCGGGGATTCCTCCGCACGTAGACACCCATTCAGCATACGACCAGTTGTATGCACTGTCGCTAGGAGCGCCGGTAATGATGCAGTTCGCGCGAAGTAGCGACACTGGTCCCGATGGCGACAGCGAACAGAAGGAGGTAGTTGAGGTTGACTTGACTCCACGAAGCATGATGCAGATGTCGGGTGACTCACGACTGCACTGGACGCATGGCATCAAGAAGCGCAAGACAGATACGCTGCGGGATGGTACCGTGAGGAGACGCGACGATAGGTGGAGTATCACATACCGCTGGGTCCGAGAACCCGCCGTGTGTAACTGCGGCAACACCAAGCTATGCGACACGGCACAGCAGCAACTGGGAATAGAAAGGGAGTTGAGATGGAAGAAGGCGGGTGAGGGAACAACTGTTGGACTGCTTCAAAAGTTCGAATGAGGCACGATCGCTGGTGCTCATCGTAATTGAAGCCAGGATCGAACAACTCCAGCATTTTATGTGACGATGATGACCGGCATCCTCACATGCGGAGACGATTTCCGACATCTTTTGGATACTCGAATTCCAGCTATCTGCAAAGAGCTTGTGGGAGAACCCACGAAAAGTAACACCCTTTCCCCATGCACGGTTCCATGTCATCTTTCGAAGTCCACCCCGCACGCCATCGGTCGCAGCGACCCCCGATTTTGACAAGCTCAAAAACAGCGCCTCCGCACATAGTTAAAGTCGTCGCAAGCTTCCAATGAATTGTAGAAGTATATGTGCCAGAAGTCTCGATACAAGATCGACGTTTTGTGTCTGCAGCCCGGTCATGCGTTTGGGCTGCTCTGGCCTTGAGACAACTTCCGCGGCATGCCAGCAGGATCTCCGTCGTTGAACTTGACAGCCACTAACATAGAACACCACTGATCGTCGTGTATCAAAGAAGTCAAGAGACAATCAGGGTTTTAGATCTGTGCGACAGAAACGCCGCTTACATGCATCTCGCCCAACTCAAAGCACACGGGATGAACGACAGTGCACGTAGGTTGTGGTGTACGTAAAACAAACACCCCGTCGTCTGTCTAAATGGTATCAAAATCGCCCACCACGCGTGGGCAGAGTAGTCTATACAAACGCCGCGCCGTCCTCGGCAAAAGTCATTACATCTTCACTTCAGCTCCATAATTTACGATCAAAGTGGTAAGATAGGTTACCAAGATCAAGGCGGCACACGCCTGCGCTCACCCTCCTCACCCTCCTCATAGATCTTTACTTTATCCGCATACTCCCTGATATTAGAATGTATTGTCTCCTCGATTTGTTCGCCCTGTCCACCAGCAACGCGCAGAATGAGGTCGTTGAGCGAGGAGCGGCCGAGGATGTCGACGTGGTCGCCTGTTCCCTGTCAGTACTACATCCTACCCAAATCACTGTTCAATCAAGGGAGGAGAGCAACCCACCAGTATTTGGCCCACCCCTCGGGCTAAACTGATCCGGCTCATGCGGCATCTCAACCGTCTTAATCTTCACGCCCGCAGGATTATATCTCTTCATTCCCCACCCCTTCGCGCACATATACCCACTACTCAGCAAATTCACGGTCCCGTCTCCCTCCCCGAGCACAACCCCATGATCCACGCCGCCGTTCCCGCTAAACATTGTGTCGAGCGTAACGTTGAGTTTACTCAGCGGATCGAGGTCATCGCGATAGTAAAACGCGCGCTCGGTAGGCTTGCCGATGCCGTAGAAGCAGTAGATCTTCAGACTAGGGGCGAGCGGGAGGCGTGTCTCCAGGGGATTGATCCACTTCGCGGGGATGAGCTGGTTGTCTTCAACTTCGTGGGCAGTGTGGGCGACGCCGTGCGAGTAGCTTTTCATTACCATTTCCTTGTACCACTGCTCGCTGTTCTTGTAGAGGTAGGGAAAGCTCTCCTCGACGGTGAGGTTGGTCTTGGTGAGGGAGGAGTTGGACTCCCGTGCAAAACGGAGGAAGTTGCCGTACGAGATGTTTTGGCCGGGCTGGTCGTCGGGCGCGCCGGTGTGATCGCCCCATACGGCGTTGCCGCCGAGCGGGAGCATGGAGGAGATGCCGGGCATAGCGCGGAATATCTCGGCGCGCTCGTGGCGGCTGAGGAATTTTTCGAGGCCGTAGACGGCGAAGGCGTTGAGCTGCGCGGTGTCTTTCATTTCGCCGGAGAGCACGGCGGGCATGCCTTTCAGGGCGCCCAACATGCATCCTGAGATGTTGATCCATGAGTCAATGTACGCTTCTACCCAGCCCGGCCCGCCGTTTCCGTAGCCTTCCGCTTCGACCCAGTGGAGGAAGTAGTATAGGACCTGCGACCCCATAGAGTGCGAGAGGAGCACGGCCTTCTTGTTCTGGACGCGAACTGCGATTTCGATGTGGGACTTTAGGCGGGTGAAGTATTGATCGCGCCTCTCATAGTTCATGTAGGACATGCGCCAGTCGTAGGCAGCCGTGAAGGCGTTTGTAGGGTCGTATCCAATTGTCGCCAGGTTCTCGAGGATCTTGTTCCAGATCCAGTACCCTGTGATGAAGAAGTCCGTGGCGTCGAAGCCTTGCGCAGCTCGCAGCTTGATGCCCGGCGGGTCCAGTCCAGTCTTTGTGTCCAGCATTATGTGCTTTTTCCAGCTCGGCTTGTCCACGACGAGCGCGCGCATCATGGACCACGAGCCCCAGAGTCTCTTCCTGAAGTACTGCCGTGAATCATCCTCTGTGCTCCAAGATTCGAGCCCTGTAGATATAACGCCTGGAATCATGATGACGGGGTGTACGGCGGAAATGCCCTGCGATCGGGCGTGCAGGCCCACAGCGAAGGAGTCGTAGTTTACTGCGTCGCGTTCGTGCTTCTACTAACCCGCGCGAATCAGCACTCGGTTCCTCTGCACGTCATGTGCGCTGCATTTCGTCGTACCTGCATTTGCTGCGCATCTCTCAGGAACCCCTGCGGCAGTGCGTCTAGTATGCTGTCCAAGTTGACGCCTTCCAAGCTGCTCAGATCGATCATGTCGTTGCTGCCGGCGAAGAAAGCAGCCACCATGACGCCAGCCAGCCCGCCAAGCGCAAAGATCCAAAAGTTCTTCCTCTTCCCATTTTTGCGCTTGGAGCCCTGCTTCAGCGTGTGCAGCTTCTCGGCGGTGATGACGCGGAGGTTGGCGGGACGGTCGGGATCAGGCGTCGGCTCGCGGGAGGGCTCTGTCGAGGAATCGCCGCCGTGCTTCTCGCCGCCGAAGCGGCGCCTGAGGAACAACATGTGCTACGGGGAGGTTGAAAGAAGGTTGTGCCGGGGCCGAGCCATGAGCCAAAAGGATCGCCCTCGACGTGCGGCGAGGCAGCTAATTTAGAGCGCATGTGAAAGCGCGTGCGACCGGGGAGGGGCTTCGCGGCGTCATAGCCTCGGAAAGCGCCGAAGCTTAATCCGACGCCGTTCCGATCACCCCACCACGACGCTGCTGCAACACCCATGGGCGACGACACGGCTGCGACGGCGCACGATGGCGACGCGCTGCAGTATGTCCAGTACCATGGCGCCAAAGAGGAGACGTACCTGCCTGCGATCCGGCAGCTGATCTCCAAGGACCTCTCGGAACCCTACAGCATCTATGTCTACCGGTACTTCCTCTACCAGTGGGGGGATCTGTGCTACATGGTACTTCTTCGCACCCTGTCGTCGCTTCTGAAAGGCCTTCTGATATTTGCGCAGGCCCTGGATAGCGCAAACGAGCTCATCGGCGTCGTCGTCTGCAAGCTCGAGCCCCACCGCAGTGGCCCCTTCCGCGGCTACATCGCCATGCTCGCCGTCCGCGAATCGCACCGAGGCCAAGGAATCGCTACCAAGCTCGTGTGCATGGCCATCGATGCCATGGCCGATCGCGATGCGGATGAGATCGTGTTGGAAACGGAGGTCACGAACCAGGCGTCGCTGAAGCTGTACGAAAGGTTGGGCTTTCTGAGGAGCAAGCGGCTGCACAGATACTACCTCAATGGCAATGCGGCTTTCAGGTTGATTCTGTATATGAAGGAGGGCACGGCGCTCAAGAGACCGCCGGGTATGGAGGCGGGGCAGGCGGGGCAGATGATGGGCGAACCGCAGAAGATGGAGGAGTACAAGGGTTTCCCCCAGGATGCGGATGTGGCGTGAAATAAGATGGGATTGTGACTGGGCGACATGAATGAGCGTGGCATTTGGCTCTGAGAGACACGTGAAGGAAAGAGACATACACCCAGCAGAGCGGGCAGATGTAGAAGGCGGACTACAACCGCACCTCAACGCCAGCACTTCAATGAAGACTGAGCAGGAATGCTCCCGGTCTTGGATATGAAGACTTTTACGCGGCCATTGGAGAATTAGATCAGCGTTAGGGTTACCGGCGATAAAATAACAGCTAGTAATGATCGAGACGTATAGTCGCCCAAGCTACCCCAGGCCCAATTGATGTTTCTCAACACTATATGTATTGACTTAGGCACGGTATATTTATTGTCCTGGGAGCGGGTGGTCCTCTACATTAATTCTAAAGAGCATATGATGAGTCTTCTGCTGGCCGCAAGTTGCGTCGCCTACCTCAACCACGAAGAGCCAATTTCGTACATATTGTGTTGTGCAGACGCTCCAAGGAAAAGCTTTATCGTACGATGCTGAGCGCCTCTCCAAAAGGAACACTGGTGGTTATCATGTTTGGGGTAAAGGGCATTCTTGGACCATACCAGCATGGCATGAAGACTACGAGAACGACAATGTGTGTGCGCCTGGTGCCTCTACCCACTTCAATGCCTCACTAATCTCTCTCATGCAGTGCCTTTTTCATGGATTGAATGCACACCTGTCACTGTTCGACAGCTATAAAAATGACACATTGGCGAGCACATGACTGTGTTGGGTCTCGAAAAGAGCATTGTAATTAAAGGAGCATTGTAATGGAAATTGTGCGCTTTTTGCCTTGCTTTCAACTTGCCATCTGCTCAAAACGGGCCTCTCACTCGATGGCACGCTACTAGCAAAAAATTCCCGCCATAGCTATCATGTAGGAGACGAAGAAAATTGTGGCGATCGAATGCAATGGCTTCGGGAGGCTGTCCTCTTCAACCTCATCTACCAAAAAGCATGCACCGGCTGTCCATGGGATCGATGTGTGAGAATCTGCTCTGCAGCACGGCCATGACTCCAGATTTCCAGCTATAATCAGATGACGCGCGTACATAAATTTCTGGCGTGGCCATCTGCCTGTCTCTTGACACTGCATTCTGTCATCCACAAGAGTATTAAAACTAGGAAAGAAAGGAATCATGCGGATTGAGACTTCTGGTTGCTCTGAAATATGTATCTACAGCGGCGTATGGCATGTGGGTCCTACAACTACTGCACCAGAAACATCCATGGTCTGCATGATCGCTGTGCGAGACCACCCACGATTTGAAAAGTGATCAGAAAGAACGGGCCGCTCACGTCATGGAAGTGTCCACGGGGCTCTTGGGCACGTGACTTCTGGTCTCAAAGTCTTTGGACATCCGATTAATATCCAAATGAAGTTGGATATATACACCACCAGCATCTGTCTTTTTCTCTGCACACCTATACTTCTCTTTGTAGTATCTAAAAGCCAAAATGGGGATATTCTATGTGTCTCGAGCGCCTCTCCTCTCAAGAACGAATGTCACGTAACGCTGTGGCGTGTGGTCTCCGTAAGACTGAATATGCGCAAAGTGTGTTGAACCCGTCATCAAGGACCTCATACGCCCTAATCATCGCTTTGGTAGGCGCGCCTTTGGCTGTTGTAGTCGTTACAAAGCACATTGATCGTATTTTATGGGGGACGACATCTCTCCAAGACCTACATCGTCTGATCCATGTGCGGATGAAGTGGAACATAAGAGCTCGGCCAAATCCTCCCCTTCTCCTGCACATGTCCCTCCTATTTATGTGAAAAAAAAAGGACGCTGGTACATACGACTACATATCTCTCCGAGGCTTGCACACTCTCAAGAAATCGTCGTGCCGTACTTATGGCTGGTGCTCTCCGGAAACAGTCGCTATACCACGTAATGCGATCCGTTCTTCTAAGCCGAGCTTCACCATCTATAATGGCTGCACTGTCACAGCAAACAATAACACCGATTGGAACGAGAAGGCTTGGACACAGTCACAGAAGTTCAAAATCTGCCTTCGTCCCATCCACGACGTCGGACAGAAGTAGTTGTCTTTAAAGCCGCCCGCCATCTGTCCACTCCACAATTTCAACAGCCTCTAGAAGACTAAAAGCAAGATGTCGCCCTCCGTATGTGTTTCTTCGGCCTGTAGTAGTTCAAGAATCCACAGCCGATGGCTATGGCGTGTTTTCCCCAAAGAGTGAGGTTGAGGATGATGATATCCTGTGTTTTTCTCAAAGATGCGATCCTAAAATTCAATGGCTGCGGGGGACTGGCGTTTGCGGCCGAGCGCCATGAAATCGTGTGGCCAACCAGAAAATGGTGTTGAGGTACTGTCAGACTCCAACGTACGATCTACAGTATCTCTATGCAGCCGTCCATTCCAGGCTTCAGCAGGATCTGCCTGAGGTTGCCATCTTTCCATTCTTCCATTCTCCACACCTAATCTACAAGCGCTGGGGGGACCAAAAACTAGTGAAGCACGCAACTTGTGTGGGCGTGGAGTTTCTGTTACGCCAAAAATTACCCAAGACTTTCCATGTGGCGTGTGGACTCTAAAATGAATGAGACAAGTGCATGCCTGGTCGGCTAACGTAACAGTAGTATGGCTATGCAGAGCCTACTGTTCTGTGCTCTTTTCGAGACCAGAAGAAACTATCGCTAAATCCATCCATGAGTAGCAGGAGTGTTTGTTTCAGTCTCCTGTCTTCCCTTGAAATACCAGCCTATACACTTGGGCACTAGACCTTAATGACGACGACACCATGATGTGCCGCCGTCCATTTCATGCAAAAGCTCGCGTACTTCATGAATGACCTGCGGGTTTGCTAAAAGACAAAGGGCGCCTCCGATGTCTTGGGCTTTTCCAAATCTGCTTCGATCACTCGCCATGGCTGAGAAGGAGCAGCCTTTCCGCATGTCCTGCGGGATCGAAGATCCTTCGCTATGGAGATCATGGAAAAAGTGGGGTAAAGCTTTTGAATGGTACATTCGTGCCAATCCTATGCCTCAATGATACTGTCTGTCCCAACAATTTATGAAACGCATTTCCCTCGGATTCATGTTCTTGGCCACTTCCGACCGCTCTTAGCATCAAACGAACGATTCAAAGCACACGTGTGCATCCTGTGAAACCGAACAACCAAAACCCAGGTGGCTGTGTGTTCACATGTCTCTTGCAGCCCTTGAATTACCAAGTCATGTCAGGACCAAGCAATGTGTCTTACAGTTTTGGTTGCCACACAACAAAAGAAAAAGGCCCACGCTTACATATGTCTTGCGGCGCTGGTCATTAAGCATACAGCTAGGCAGTACATGCTTGTCTTGCGTCTGTCTGGCTCTCAAATTGATGGATCGCAACTGACAGCAGCCCACAAGAACGAATTCGGCCACGTAGTATCCCTTGCTTCTGTCCAGAAAACTAGCTCACTTCACTTCATGACTTGGAGCAGCGGATGCAACCTACTGTTTCCAGACAGTAAAATTCTCCTCGGATAAAACAGCCATCGCCCCAGTCGATTCCAGGCCGATTGATTCCTTGTATGGAGCGTTGCCTAAGTCTCTCACCTCTTCTCTGTACTTGTCAGTCCAGATGCTGGAACAAAAATTCACTCCATTTCCTATTCATGTGCAGCCTTTGCCAGTGCGTCAGTAAAAGTTTGTCTACCGCCAAAACATGTGTCTCCTGCGCCTTTAATCTTCTCCAAGGACCCGAGCAGCGCATACATGGCGTGCTGTGATCCAAATCAAACGCTCTTCCCTTTAATGTGGCGTTCGCCATTGGTATAGAACATATACTCAAGACCGATATGTCCGGGGGCGTTATGGCGGGAACTGAGTTGCACGAAAAATAACTGAATGCCTCGGCTCATGCATGTCGACTACCTCCGCGAATATGATTCTCTTAGGATCACTGTGTTCGTCCACGCACGTCCAGCTTGTCTCAAAGATATCAACAGAGCTACATTGGTGGCATAAGGTCTCTCTAAGAAGGGAAACTCCAGTTTGGGACGCCAGTGCGTCGTAACAAGACCATTGCATGCTCTCGGAAGCTTTTAATCGCACCATATATGACCAACAGCGATGCTTCATGTGGTTCAAAGCCTGTCTTTCCACTCTTCCAACGCTCTTACGGTCTTGGAATCAACGAATATGTAATTGTTCCATGTAGCGTAGTACAGGCATTTTTCTGAAATTCAGAGGGTTTTGCCTTTATGGCGTGGGGTGACTGGGATTGCAACCGCATTATTTCGTGGGGCTTAGCTTCTTTGAAACCACAACAACTCTGAACTTATGATTGTGGAGCGTCTGAGCACTTGTAATATTAACCAAGTCGCTTAACAATCGTGAAAGTCAGTTCGTAGTGTGGGAGTGCGCGGATTTGTGCAAAGCAACTCCCCTTGGTACCTGCAGTAGCGACTGTAGGGCACATGCGATGTTGTTTGAAGGATTTGGAAGGGTGACAATTGAGACTAGACTTTCTGTAGCTTTCAGACTTTAGGATGGACGCTCAGAATGAGAAGCTCTCCACTTAGCAAAAGAACATAGAGCAGCCCTGGTTCTGATTTTGGTGTTCACGTGGACAAAACCGAGGAAACACATGGATGCTCATTTTGTATGTTTTTGGATAGTCCGAGGTAAGCCATTCATTTTTGGGATTGAGCTTTTAGTGAGCTTGCTGGTATTAGGATTCAAACAATACAGCAGCAAGCGCACATGACTGGGTCGAACTTGATTTTTTTGAGCACAGAACACCGGGCAAAGACATATGTTCGTTGTTGTTGGCCTTGGTGTTGGACACCATGACGAGGCAAGGAAGCATGTGTCGGAGCGGTTATTTTTCTTCGAGATGCAGTCCAGGCGGCGCAAGACATGCAGCTTCAAAGCCACCAATTGTTGTCCTCACGAACGAGAAATAGGTCAACACCGCAAGAATAGCCAGTTGTATTTAAACAGTCCCATGAAAGACATGGACTCCACATCATTTAGTGGGTTCGGAGGCCCTAAAGTTTGCTTGAAGACGTGAAGAATAGAAAAGAGGGACACGGCGGGCAGGTTTTATACTAATTCCTGCCTAAGATCGCACGTGGTCGTGTGTTGAGGTGGGCAGCTGATCACGTGACACGAGCGAACCGGCCCTCAAGGGTAGATCGGACTGGTCTACCAATGAATTCCTTGACAAACCAAAAAACCGTCAGCCCATGGCGGCGGGAGGACACGTCTCATGTTGGGAACCTGGCCTGTGGCACGCACGCGGCGGTCACACGAGCGTACCAGCTGTGCCGTACTGTGGGCGATCCAAGGCCGCCTGAGGCGCGTCAGGCATGTGGACCAAGCAAAATGACCTGCAGGACGTGTCTAGATCGACCAGGCACGCGGTACCAAAGCTTGGGGGCGTTCTGGAAGAGATAGCTATTTATGTAGGGCCAGGCGCCAGGGTAGGGCTGGAAGCGGACAAGGGGTGGGCGGCACTAGAAGCCCGTCCCGATCCTTTCCTCTTTTCCTCGGCACCCTGTCGTCGCCAACTGCAACTGTTATCAACACCCGCACCCGCATTCACCGCGACACCGGCGCCCGCACCCTCGCCGTGACAGCCGATTCCGCTTGCGCGCTTCACGCTGTATTGCATCTCGACGCATTGGATGGCCCGCCTTAGTACCCACCACAGCGCCGCATCCCCCGTTCGCTCCGCTCCCGCCGCAACCCACCCGCTCGCAACAGGCCCAACGAGACGACCGATGAGCGTGTCATAGCAATAAGCGACCTCTCCTTCTTCCGACAGGCGTGCAGGCTGGATTGTGCAGCCGGCGCGCGGCGTTGACGATTCTGAACGGGTCTTGGCGGAGAAGATAAAATGACCACGTCGACGAGCTCGGAGACACCGGCGCCTGTGAGACTTCCCGCGAGGCGCGAAATTGCTTCCGCAGACCCGGACGCTACATATATAAGCTAACACGCACCCGCAGCCCGCAATCGTCGAGAATGGCGCCGAGAGCTTCCGCAAGTTCTTTCAGCAGCCGGTCGTGGCCTCGTTCGTTGCCGGCGGCGTAGCAGGCGCCGTTTCGCGGACCGTCGTGTCGCCGCTCGAGCGCCTGAAGATTCTCTTTCAGGTGCAGAGCGTGGGTCGCAATGAATACAAGATGTCGGTCCCAAAGGCATTGGCCAAGATGTGGCGGGATGAGGGCTGGAGAGGCTTCATGGCTGGAAACGGGACCAATTGCATCCGCATCGTGCCGTACTCAGCTGTGCAGTTTGGCGCATACAATGTCTACAAGAGGGTGAGTGGTTGCTTTTCTTCGGTGCGGATCTGCCAGGCGGTTCCTTTTTTGTTTGCTTTTGTGGAGTCTGTATTTAGGACCGGGGCTGGAGGACTCGGTGGAAAGGAGGGTGGTGGAAGCAAATACGGCTGAACCTGAGCGTTGGGAACTGGTGTGGGGTTGAATCTGGGATGGCCTCTGAAAGCGACGGAAGATCCACACGGGAACCCAAGGTCTGTGCTATCTCGATAACATACTTACATCCACAGTTTTTCGAAAGCGAACCTGGCGCGGCCCTCGACGCCTACCAGCGCCTCCTCTGCGGCGGCCTCGCCGGCATCACCTCGGTGACGTTCACCTATCCCCTCGACATTGTCCGCACGCGCCTCTCCATCCAATCCGCCTCCTTCGAAACCCTCAAGCGCGAAGCCGGCCAAAAGCTTCCCGGCATGTGGGGCATCATGACCAGCATGTACAAGAACGAAGGCGGCTTCTTCGCGCTGTACCGCGGCATCGTGCCCACCGTCGCGGGCGTCGCGCCGTACGTCGGCCTCAACTTCATGGTCTACGAGATGGCGCGCACACAATTCACCCCCGAGGGCCAAAAAGACCCCTCGGCGGTGGGCAAGCTGGCTGCAGGCGCAGTCTCCGGTGCCGTTGCGCAGACGTGCACGTATCCGTTCGACGTCCTGCGCCGCCGCTTCCAAGTCAACACCATGTCCGGGATGGGCTACCAGTACGCGGGCATTGGCGACGCGATCCGCAACATTGTCAAGACGGAGGGCGTGCGCGGGCTGTACAAGGGCATAGTGCCGAATCTGCTCAAGGTTGCTCCAAGCATGGCGAGTAGCTGGCTGAGCTTCGAGATGACGCGGGATTTTGTAATGGGCAAGCGGAGGTCGCAGTTCTTGTAGATACAGACATCTCCACCTACCCCGGAAGCATTTTATACCGGGCGGGGATTATTTGGCCATCTCTAAAGTCATCGATAGCGGGACTTGATACTGAAGATTTCTTTACAAGCATCATGCATTGGGTATCATGGTTTGGGAGTACCCTTCCTTCTTCTTCCTTTCTTCTTTCAGATAGCGTGGCGTTAGCCGGCCATGGTCCACGGCTGTGGAGTGGCGGAATACGAAAGTCTTTGCATCAAACTCATGACATGAGACTGTTTTCACGCCCTTTACAAGGAGGACAACATCCCATTGTCGTTGTCCGTGCAGGCAGGACGGATAAGCCCAACGTTTGGAGAGATTGATTGTGGCGGTGAAAGATAGCTATTGCGCCCCAGGGGGTTGACCGGTTGATAGCTGGCCTGTGTACAACATGATCTTCAAAGAGGGAGAGTGCGCGATAAGACATTCACCCAATGCCTATGAGTGCTAATGGCCCACCCTGCCGAGATATGCACAATTCTACTTCCCTATCAGGATATATAGCCAAGCGAGTGTGCACGAAGGCATGTGTAGCTCGCGGTCAACTGTTGTAGTCTAGTACATAGTCTGCACCGATCTTGATTAGCCGACCATGGGAAGTTGCGCTTCCGTGTGCGCGCTGCGTGCATGTCGCTGTGGAAGCTCGGTTGCAGGAAAGGATCAAGAATGCGCCTTGAAGTCTGCCCACGGCTTCGGTGTGCGGGCTTTTCCTGCGCCATGCTGTGCCCGAGGTCAGACATCTTGCTGGAAAGCAACGGCAACGTGCTTCCATTGTGCGCATGTTGCAAATGGCCGGACCATGCCTTGGTCTGCACGAAGCCAAGGTGCCTACACGCGCCGCGCCCTCAGCCAACGGCGCGGCAATGAGACAGCATCGCGGTAATGCGGCGAATGCGATGATCCTGGGGCTGCTCGCTGTGACTCTCGCCGTATACTTCGCCGTAGAGCACGACTCGGGCGTTAGTAAGAGCCCGAAGAGGCAGTGCACGATCGCTGTGCTGACGGGGGGGAATATCGCGCACAAAGAATCAACCGGTGAAGATTGTCATCACCAGGGCGCAGCACAATTGCAATACTTTGATGGAAGTATCGAATGCAATGTAGTACGGGACCAGAGTATGGGTGGGAGCATGTCGCGCTTCGCTGCACTTTCTACCGGAGAAGCTAAGCCCTTTCAGGCAGGGATGGTGAAGAGCTCGGTGCCCCGCTCAGGCCACCCCTACGCCCCACCAAGCTTCTGGAAAACCCACGTCTCTCCACCTGGCGCAGTCATGTCCACACCATTCCTGCTTACATAGTATGCGCAGACCCTAACCCACCCGCCACCCAAGGCACCCATCTCGTCGCCACGCCTGCAGTATCGTGCCAGCAATCCCAAGAGCCGTAGACAAGGACGCGAAGCGCGCCGGGCCTAGCCACGCCCCGAACGCCGAGCGTTGATAGCTCGATAAGTCGCGCGACATGGGCTGCGTCGACCCATTCAGCCTCGGGACCCTGTAGAGTACCGCACTGGGGACGTCTATGATGTAGTGCCCATCACGCGAGCTGCTAGGCTGCTGGATGGGGCGCGCGGTGTGCGGTTATGCGGCCGTGCTAGCCGAGGCCGCCTTGGGGGGCGCCGATCACACGTGGCGCATGGGGAGCACCGATCAGACGTTTGGGTGAGGCATCTTGCTGCTGCGCGGGCGCTGGGTGCGGGAGTAGTGCCATTCGTGCAAGTGCAAGGGCACGCTGCAGCGCGATAATGTGCTGCGGCAGCTGGCAGACACGCGGGGTACGGTACGGAGCTTCCAGCGTGTTTGGCCGGCGAGGTTTGCGACGTCTGGTGTGTAGAGGTTGTGCACAGCCCCCTGCAGCAGGCCCAAGGCGGCCAAGCCTTGAGCCACGACATGGATGCTGGTCCTTCCCCGCTCTTTGCCGTGCTCCGGAAGTGAGTGGATGCGTCGTCTATATAACAATCCGTGCTGCCCGGCCAACGCAATGAGTGCAGTTCGCGACAGCTACAGCACGCACACTGCCGAGTCGTCCGCCCCCTCTACTCGACCCATTCTTCGCAACAAGTCAACCATCGCTGATCACATCAACGCCTTGACAATGTCTGACGGTGCAATGCCCACCAACGGCGCCGGCAGCTCCACGCCCAAGCGCAACGTCGACGAGCCGCTCGTCAAGATCCAGCCGCCGCGCAGGGAGGACCTGCAGCCGAGCTATGCGCGCGCCATCAAGCCCGACGACGCCCAGACCGACGACCACGGCTGGTACGGCGCCATGGTCAACACGCTCGGCTCGTGCATCGGGACCCTCGGCGCCATCCCGTGCTGCGTCGTCTGCCCCAACCCGTACAAGCAGGTGCAGCAGGGCAATGTCGGCCTCATCACCAAGTTCGGGCGCTTCTCGCGCGCCGTGGACCCCGGGCTGGTCAAGGTGAATCCGCTGTCTGAGAGCGTGATCCAGGTCGATGTCAAGATCCAGATCGTCGGTGCGTATCCCTTCACAAGTCCCATCCCAGCAAGATATATGCTAACAAGAACAGAGGTCCCCAAGCAAGTCTGCATGACCAAGGACAACGTCTCCCTGCACCTCAACTCCGTCATCTACTACCGCATCACCTCCCCGCACAAGGCTGCTTTCGGCATAGCCAACATCCGACAAGCCCTCATCGAGCGCACACAGACGACTCTCCGGCACGTCATCGGCGCCCGCGTCCTGCAGGACGTCATCGAGCGGCGCGAGGAGATCGCGCAGAGCATTCGCGAGATCGTGGAGGAGACGGCCGCCGGCTGGGGCGTGGATGTCGAGTCCATGCTCATCAAGGACATCATCTTCTCCCAGGAGCTGCAGGACTCACTGTCCATGGCCGCGCAGAGCAAGAGGACTGGAGAGGCCAAGGTTATTGCCGCACGGGCTGAAGTTGAGAGCGCGAAGCTCATGCGCCAAGCCGCGGATATTTTGAGCAGCGCGCCCGCTATGCAGATCCGGTACCTCGAGGCCATGCAGTCCATGGCCAAGAGTGGGAACAGCAAGATCATCTTCATGCCTGGGCCGACCAACTCGGGCGACTTTGGGGTCCAGCCGACGGCTGAGGGAGGTTCTTCTGCGCTGCCGTCGAGCAACTTGCAGCAGGCGATCAATGCGCATGTGTTTAATGACATGTAGGTGATTTTCGTGGGAGGGAGAACAGATTGACTGAAGCGGGCGACGAAGGACGCGGGTAATATATGACGTGGGGTGTTTTGTTCTACTGTTGGATTGGTTCGGTCTGGCTATGATACCCTTTGGCGTCTACATGTCGCTTCACTCGCTCGGTATGGTACCATAATGCTCTCTGTAGTCTTGTAATCGCAAAGTGTTTCTACACATCTCACTCCTCTTGATATCACGAGTTGCCTCTCGATCTCCCGACAAAGTCCCATTCCGTCTACGCTAGATACCGTAAGTGATCCCTCAATCACCCAGCGCAGTCCCTTTCTGCCTTCGCTTAATCCCGTGAGTGCCTCGTCATCACCCGACACCAGCCCCATTCTTCATCTCCGCAGCTCATTCGCGTCGGCAGGACTATTCGCCTCCCCTTTCCGAAGCCCGCACATGCCCAAAGCACTCCCTCGCCACCTTCCCAAATGCCATATCCGCCAGCCCGCCCCAAAGCAGCTGCACAACCACATTCTCACGGCGCAGAAACCAGATTGAACCAAGTGATCCGATCACGCGTTGGACTGAGGGTCAGCAACTGCAGAAGATACCTGCTCAGGCTATGAGAGTGTTACGTCTCCTTGGTGCGGAGTACCTACCCGAGCAGTGGATGGGGGCATCGAGGTTGGAGCCACGAGAGTGTGTCGAAAACACGGATCCTTTCCACAATCACTTGACATAGACTATGGCCGAACGCACCAGGGCTGTTTGTGGCCACAGGAAAAAGTGGACATGCGTCCCAATATGTCCAGCATTGGTGACTGGGTTGTCGATGTAATTGAGGGCATCCAATCGACGCGTCCAGCGATCCCAGCGTGGACGTGGCGCGAGCTGGGTAGCCGCCGAGCCTCCAATGTACTCGTGGAGGGTGTGCCCCTTGTAGGCGAGCATGCAGAGTTCCTGCCAAAGCTGTGGCTATGAATGGACTTGAATTGCTGACCACAGCTTTATCTGGCGCCGGGTATCCTCAACACCACAGTATCTCAAGCGGCTCCTTGCTGGCCTGTGCTAGAACACACCAGCCGCCACAAAAGAATTATGCCTACTTACCTCAACGCCCAGTCAAACATTATTTTATCCTCCCTCTCCAGATGCATGAGCAACGCGGCCAACTCAACAGCGTTCGGCGAGCTCATCAATCCATCCGTCCCCAAAAACAGCCAAGCAAAACGGGAAACACAACATCTTCTCGAGGATCCGGCAGCTATAATCGCAAAATCATTCTTCACAGGCAGTCGCTCTATGCCGCGCCCAAGTCTACTTCTCATACCGCATGACGTGGAGTTTGGAAATTTCGACTTCGCGGTATCGGAAATTCGCTCGGTTCGCTGACGACCCCACGCATCATCCGCCGGCGCGCACACCACTACTAGACACCAATTCACGTTGAACTATTGCAATTTCGTCCCCGTTGCTTTACGGCACGTTTCAAGGCCGATGCAGGAGACTGACGCTCGACGAGCATCGCCATTGTGGCACAATCACCGTCGGGTTTCGATTGTTTCAGTGGAAAGATTTGTTAGGAATGCGGAAGAGTCCTGCTTTTCGAGAGCTGCTGAATCATACAGATGCTAGTTCTGGGGGCGTTTTGCCCATGCTGGTCAAAAGTGCTATGGTGATGGTGTGGCCTAATGCGTGGTGGAGACGGAGCTAAGGGGCTATCACGGCACCGGAAATCGTGCTGCGCAATCGCCGAGTGTTCCTGGACCGTCCATATTCAACACAGGAATCTGGGAGAGCTTGGGGCATGCCTTCCGTGCAAGTATTGGAGTGGTTACCGTCTTGTTATTTCGCTTGCGATTCATAATGATGGGTGTGCCAAGCGATCTTGTGTTTCTCTATACCCTAAGGCGAACCATGCAGTACGGCTGTCAAAGCGAGGAGGAAAATGTCTGCTACAATGGTCCCAGAGTAGGAAAACCTCTCCGAGATAAAGGGGGCTTACGAGATGAAGTGGCCCCAGTGAATCAACGAGCTGCCTTCGCGCTAGGACCATATGGCACTAGCGCATCACTTACATCTGCTTATGACGTAGTCAAAGCTGTGCAGGGCTGCGCGCCTACGCGATTGGGAGCGCGAACCATACTTTTCACCACAAACGGTATGAATACTCTTGAACAACGTCGAAAGGAAAATATCAAGCGCAATGCCATCTTGCTACAGGAGCTGGAACTCGAGCATAAACATGTGAAGCAGCAACTCCAGCCAGCACGGCGTCCAGCAAAGAAGCGGCGCAAGCTCGATATCCCACCGCCAACACGCAGCTCAGCGCGTATTGCCAGCGCATCTGCGCGCCCAGATTACATCGGGGATGGCGACACCGTCACCAACTCTGCCCCATCGTCATCGCGCGCCAAATCTTCTTCAGCAAAAGCCGTAGCAGGAAAACCATCGCGTGTCGCATCTCCAGCCCCCGAGTCACACACCCTATATCCAGACCTGGAAAGTCTGAGAGCCGGCTGGACAGCCTGGGAGCCCGTCGCGCCCCCTCCAAGCCGCGACTCCCTCGGGACGTACCACTTTGCCTCACACCCGGACTTCACGCCCAACAAATCCCCCGCCGACATCATCCGCGAAGGCAGCTTCGGCGGCTCCTACTGGCGCCCGCTCTACTCCCAGCGCCTCGGCACCACCGTCTCAGACGACTGGCGCGAGCTCCCCGCCGACTGGACCGCCGGGCTGGACGCTGATCAGTACCTCACCAACCCAGAGTATAGTGCCGAGATCAACAAGCACGGCGTCGCGTGCGGACAGAGCATCGAGGCGTGGGAGGCTGCCGGGTGGATAGCGCACGAGTACGACGTGCGGGGGTGGTTCCAGTGGTACTGCCGGTTCTGGATGGGGCGGCGGTGCGCGGATGACGAGCGGCAGATATCGCGGTGGAAGAAGTGCGTTGGGGAGACGGGGCGGTGGCGGAGGACTTTGCTGAAGCAGTACGTGACGAGGGGGATCAGGAGTGTGTTTGACGACGGGGATGACGGTGTGGAGGGGAGCGATGTCAGTCCGGTTGTTAGCCAGACTTGCTTGCATTGGGCGTATGAGGTTAGGCAGGAGGCGCTGGATCGGTATTGGGTTGAAAGGAGGTAGGCGAATGATACGTCGGTACGCATGAAAGCATAGCGCCTGGTTAGTCCCGAGGTAGCACAGGGTCTTTCAAAAGGCAGCTCAACAACTAGTATTGAGAGGAGAACTTCTACCTTGACGCTCTCAGTCAATGAGGGTCTACTGTGTATTGCACAGCCCATTCCAGGAGAAATCAACGTCCCGCAGTAAAGCATCCTTTCCAACTGGAATGTCTTCAAATTGCTTGCTGTCGAGACGAGTAAGACGATTTCCGCATGCCTCCCACGGGTTTCAATTCGCCACCATTTCGTCCAGTAAAATTTCGCTCTACCGTCAATACCAGAACGTCTACATTGTCACTGGCCTTTCAGAGTTGACTCTCTTTGTGCCTCATGCAAGAAGCTCAGATCATCGCTGCCCATCTACCAATCAAGTCAACCATTTATTTTCGTGAGCAACATCTACAGGCAGTTTAATACCCTTCTCAGATTCTATACTGCGCTACGCTATTTTCGCATACATCCACGCAACCCCTACCCATGCACCTACCAAATCCACGAATGCACCGTACCCTCCACCGCCCACCCAGCACCCACTTCCACAACCTCTTCCACACCCCTCCTGACACATTTTGCCTCGTCCCCACCCTTGTCATCCCCACCTTCACCATATCCCCCTGTTCATAGCGTCTCCCACCCCCCGTTGTTGATATCCCCCTCCAACCTCCTCGCAATAAAGCTCTGTACACCCCCCTCAAGCCACACTTTCCTGAGCAGCACATCATACCTCTTCTGATTCAGAAATAACTGATGGTGACGTCTCAGCGTCGGATCCGTCTCACCATGCTTATCCAGATACGGCGCCGTATACCAGGTGCCATGCTCCTCGTTGAGGAACAGCACCATGCACTTGCGGATGTGGATGAAGAGCCCGATGTTGCCCCCGCACTTGGCCTGGTGCTGGTTACACCCACCCCGCGAGTCCGCCGTCATGCAGCACACGCCCTGGCTGCACATGATGTCGCCGCAGAAGAGGCAAAGGGCGGGGTCGGTCAGTTCGCGGCCGGTTGCGGGGCAGCGCCGCCGGATGGCTTCGTCAGTGAGGGTGTCGTAATTTTTGGGGAGGCCGACTAGCTCGAAGATGGAGGGGTGGGAGAGGGTGATGGGTGCGGGATTGTAGTGGCCTTCGCGGGCCCAGAGAAAGTGGCGGAGCCAGCCTCCGACGACGGAGCGCGTGGTGTGACCGGTGGAAGCGTCGTTCGATAAAGATGCAAACATCTCGTGGAGAGATGGAAGCCTTAGAAGCGACGACAGGCGCTCAAGTTCAGGTTCGTCCACCCGGTCGAAAGCTAGTGGAGGAAGTTCGACACCGTATCGTACATGCATAAGAATAGCGGCCTTTCGAACAAATGGAAGCGCATATGTCGACGCCAGTGTGAAGAAACTGTACAAGAATTTTGCATCCCTGAATTTGTTGGGAATACTAATGTTGTTGAAGTCGAGAGGTGCGGGCGAATTGCTGAGACGGGATATATTTAGGACGATACCCACGAATTTGAGGATATTCTCGAATTCGGCAGAGGTAAATGTGCCGTTGCTGACCTTTTCTGTGTTAACGAAGCGGTCATTTCCATACTCGTCGAATAGGTTAGGTCGGTCAATAGCGAAGGCGATCGCGACACGCACGAGCTCGGCTAAGTAACACAAGCGGACGACGTGATGGATGTCTTGGTTGAACTCTGGTGCTGCAAACATCGAGAACTGGCTCAAGAAGATGAATGGATCCTGACTCAACAAGGGCGTGATGTCCTTGAGATCGTACGGTAAGTCGTCGGGTTCGAAGATTTTTGGATGGCCGATGAAAAGCTGATGGAGATGTTCGAAACGTTTGCGAGATACTTCTTTCAAAGTAAGATTAGCGTGGCTAGGCCGGAGACCTCCGACGGATATGTATGAAGACACTGTTTCGGAATAGATACGGAGGTGCGTTAATGACTGCGGTGAAATCTTGTCGAGTAGAGTTCCTCGCATAGAATCTGACTGTACCCCGCGTTGGGCAATCTCTACTGAAGAGATGGAATATCCGAGAACCTATTGGGATGGATTAGCATACTGTGTACATGTTCCAAGTGTCCGTAAGTGAATTGAGGAGGAAATGTAGAGCCACGCGATGGATTAAATTCACCCGTCGCTTGCCAAATGAATTAACGACTTACCTCTGCCAAAGCGTCGGTGTTACAGAGCTCTTCTCCTGACACTCCGGACACTCCAAGTTTCTGGTGGTCAAACGTAGAGAAGGCTCCGTTTACAGCCAGAGATTCTTTAAGGCGCAGGTATACTTTAACAAGCTCGAGCATTGGAAATGCAGCGCCGGAACCTCCCAAAACAGCACTAGCAGATGCGCCGATGGGTTCCGGAGGAATCACAACTGGTTCTCGAGGGTCGTCGTTCTGCAAAAAGGCTGGAATCTGGAACCGAGGTTGCGTAGACGACTGCGGGATAGGCAACGAGCTGAACGTTGGGCTGTTGACGTCCATAAGTCGGTTTGCGAGAGGTTGTATAAACGTCTCTCTACCGTAGTCGAAAAACGATTTCTGGTAGGGCGATAGACTGCTTGCGTCGGCTCCTGCACTTACAGGATCCTTGTCTGCTTGAGCAGCCGTCTTGATAAGTTGTGAGTCGATCCAGTCGTTGAAGGTGAACGCCGTCTCCAAAGCTCCTGGATAGGCTATTCTCTTTCCCTTCCAGATGATTGGCAAGAAGACGTTGCCCATGGCTTTACAGAGTGGGCACATGAACTCCTTGTACATGGGCCGCTCCGGGTGATTCCTTGCTATCTGGCTGACATGTCTTCGCTGCGTCGCCTGTAGATAGACCTCAAAGCATGCGTAATGCATGATGTGACCACAGCCCGTAGATACGGGACCGGATCGAGTATATTCGCGGGGGAACCCCTTGCCAAGATCTTGCCGCTCTGTAATGACCGTTTCGCCCTTAGACGTAACCTTCTCGACGGTGCGGCGATTCTTGCCCGAGACGCCAAAGGGGCGGATCGATTCAGCGGAACGATCAAGACTAACTGGGTTTTCGACCACTTCGTCGACCCAGTCTACATCAGTTGTCTTTGTCTGCCGCAGTATATTGCTGCGTGAGACATAGCCAAATGAGCCATATAGGCGCTGTTCATTTGTTTCCTCTTGGCACAGTATGCAGGTTCCGCCGGGGTATTTTTCAACCTTCTCCCGGCCCGTGGCTAACGGATCAATCTCTTCCTCCATGTCGCTGATTTCCTCGCCCCAATCGAAATCTTGATTCGCCATGAACTGGCCTTGCTGCTCTTTGAAAGATGCCATGACGCGTGCTTGTCGCTCAAGAGCTTGCTTCTTCTTCAACTCCTTCTCTTGGAGGGTAACTGTTGCAGGCGAAGCGGTGTCCATTCGCTCAGCAGGTATGTTCAGGGCGGCAGTCGCGACGATGAACGTGTTTGGCTGCCGTTGCTTCAAGCGGTGCATGATGAGTTTGATCTTAGGTTCGCAAGCCTTGAATTCATCCTTCTCCGACAAGCTCTTAAGGATGGAGAGGATGGTAGGATGATCAGGCAATCCAAAGTTGGCGCGCTTTGTCAACACAGAAGTGACAAAGGAATCGGGTGAGTCCTGCGACCATTCATGCTGCGCTGACTTGTCTTCCAATACAGCGACTAGCAAAAGTTGTAGGACAAATTGGATATAGCTCTCGACGCGAGTGGCCGGGATGTTAGGAGTACTAGTGGAGGCCATCAATCCGTACCCCAGCAAGTAGTAGACGATCTGTGTGAATAATGGCTGGCGAGTGAAGTCGGAAAGGTTTTGGAAAAGCCCAGATGTGATGGGTCGCAACTTCGGCTCGAAGACAATGTCAGAAGCTTGTTTCCCTGTCTTCTTCGCCATGTGATTCTTGTAGATAGTCTCTGCCTCTTCACGTTGATTGCGGCTGTATTGATGCATGTAAGGATCAATGAGCTCGACGAACTCCTCTTTCAATTCAAAGGTCCCAGAATCAGAGAGACCCTCCGGCGGTCGGAACTTTGTGGTGCTGTCAAGAACTTCATGGAATTCTTCGGCATTCTGTACGCGTTCTGCGAGCCTAGTGGTCATGTCCGAGTATGAGAGCGGTTTAAAGCATAAGACGTGCGCTATGTCCCGGCGTATCAATGCGATCTGGGGTTCCACGTCGTCTTCAAATGGAATGAGTGATGTCCGGTCACTGAGCAAAATGATGAGAAGATGGACGAAATCCTCAACAACCTCTATGGCTTGTGTGTCTTCGAAGCCATGGTGGACGGCCTCGTACTTTCCGCTCATCCAACCAAGCACACCGAATCGGTCTACCATGCTTGCCAAGAATACTGACGGGTTGCACAGAACCAGAGCTGCCTGTAGCAGGAAGATATCGCGTTGATAGGACACATCGCGTTGAGAGACGCTACGATACTGCGTCATCTGATGCCGCAAAGTGATGCCGTTTCTGACCCAGATACTCGCTCTCATCTGAGCAAGCCAAGCACACACTCGTAACGGGAAGTCGAACAAGGCGAGCAGATACTCTTCAGGCTGGTACTCGGGAATGGTAGTCTCCACAGGGTTGTTGCCCTCCTGAAGCTCGTCCTGCGAAAACTGTAGTAGCCCAAGGAGGTGCTCTTTGGGCATACCGCGGGCACGATCGATGAGCCATGATACAGTGTAATGTAATGCATGATGAAAACTCATTGGCTCCTGTGCTACGACACAGTCCACGACCCGATAAGAAGGGCCTACCAAGCTGGACGGCTCTGCATCGAATTCGAGACAGTCCAAGGTCTTGAACCGCGTTTCGTTTTTGAGCTCAGCTTGGTCGAAGCGATTCCGTTCAGCGCCAAGGGAGTTTATAATGGCGACTTTAGCAGTTGCCCGAATAGCTCGACGAATGTCGCTAGGGTCTTCTTCGCGCTTCCAGGCGAAAGCCTCTGAAAACTGACGGCACAGCTTATTGATCTCACGTGTGATTAAAGAAGCGCTGATCCATGCTTCTGTTTCGTACTCCAGATGTTCGCCAACGGCCCGGACGTTCGGACAAATGCCCTGGTGAAGTTTTACTAGATCCAGGAATTGCAGCAGATAACGCTCATCTTCGCGAATTCTCCCCTGTACATGCTCCGAGCCCAGGAGATACTTCATGTCCAGAAAGAAATGATACATGCGACGATTGGTAACGGCGCCTTGTTCGAAGGCGAGTGTCGCCTTGGGGTCAACGTTCCATGGGTAGCCGACCTGGCGAGTGGTGAGGAATGTATATAAGATGGCCATTAGATTGGTGAGAAAATTGCCTCGCTCAACAATCTCGGCTGTTATCGACGGGGTAGTAAGCATTTGCAGGGAGAGGTTGATGATTGAATGGTCGGGTTCCCGATCTGCGATTAGATAAAGTTGAGCCAGTGCCGTGTACACGCCTGCGAACCGTAAGCCTAGAAGGCGCTTAAACTGCGGGATTGTCACGACGGTGCTGATGAAAACGTCCCGTACGCCGATCCGTAACTGCTTCCACATTCGGAGGTCGTATAGAATGAGATGGTCGAGACGTAAACGCTGCCAGAGATCCTCATGTGCAGGTGTTCCGGGTGTCCTTCCATAGTTCTCGGGCTTGTCTAGCCAGTACTGAGGAGGCCGCATAGGCCGTAACGGTAATGACTTCGTCCGTGGTGTCTCTGGAACAGGCAACGATGGCTCCACATGACTCAAAGCAGGAGCTCCTATCGTAGGCTCACTATCCGACTCTGCGGGCGTAAGGTCGCCGCCTTGCGGGAGAGGGTTGCCAACGGGCAGCCTCACTATCAAAGCAAGTGGATCTTCAGGCTCCATGTTCACATCGCCGTCTCGATCCGCTAGTGACATGTTAGCAGGCACGACAGACGGACGTTTCGAACACTTACGCTCGTCAATATCCATGCCGTCTTCGCCGTCACCGGTATCTGCAGCACTCTCGGCCTCCTCCTCCTCCTCATCTGCGTCCGAAGCTTGACCACCTTCGTCATTGCCGGTCCGTTGGCGGTTCAGCTGTGCAATCTGCGCACGGCGTTGTGCCGTCAAGTAGCGGATATAGAATCCTTCCATTTCGGCTTCTTTATCCTCCATCTCGTGATCATCGAGTCCATTCCTGCCAATATTCTGGTTGGTAGCTTCGCTGCCGACACGCCAAGGCTTTAGTAGCTCTTCGCAGACGGTCTGTCGCAGCACTTGGTTATCTTCGCCGACGCTGCACCCAGCAATGTCGGAAATCCATTCGACAATAGCACCGCCCATATGCTCTCGGAACGTGTCGCGTGCTGACCGAATGGTGACGGTCAGCTTGATGTCCTCGATTATTTTAGCCATCTTTAGGAGGTCCGGTATGCTCCCTCTGGTAACGACCGTAGCGCGACCGATGTCATTAACCTCGTGGGCTTTGGCAAGCCCGAATGCCAGCTTCTGCTTGCATGCCCGCGCGACCTGGTCCCGAACATCATGTACCGTATGCTTTTCGTCATTCCACAACACCAGGCAGAATTCCTGGTTTTCGTCTGGCTGGTCGCCAGGACCGTACCACTTCGCCGTCAGCTGCGAGGCGCGTTCATCTTCGAGGATGGACTCTTGCGTCTTGGGCAGTCGTAGCTGTTCCGGAGAGCACGAGAAGACGTCGATGAGATAGTCTAGGGTCCGTGATATGGTCATGCGTATGCTCTCGAGCAGCTCTTCTGGCAGCGCCGAGCCTTCCTTGGCCTTCCCTGCTGACGTCGAGTCGGACTCGGGTGTCGACGAAGCCGTGTGGATGTTGCAGTGTACGGGCCGCACCCACGCTTCATCGTCTCCGCAATCGCAACACCCCGAGTTTCCCGGCGACACACTGACATAGACCTGGTGTCCGTCGTGGTCTGAGGCGTCGAAGCACCGCGCGCAGAGCACGCAGGTGTCGTCAGCGGTGCACGTCTTGCACCGGTACGTAGCCTCCCCGCTCTTGAAAATGTGTCCACACGGCTTTCCCCTCGCTGCCTCGGTGTATTCCGCACCCTCTACGGCGCCCTGTGCGTCGCGCAAGCTCCATGGCTGCTCCGGGTCGGTAGGCGGGCCGTTGGGGAACAAGAGCGGGAGGAATTCGCCACGCCCCGCGAGCGATTCGAAGAGAATCTGCTTTAGCTCACGGGTAGCATCTTCGGTATAGCGGTAGTTGTGCCGCCGCGGTAATTCGCGCAGGTGTCGGCAGAGCTCCTGCTCCTGCAGGGATACGAGCATCGTGGGCGTCGAGGTGGGCGGCAACGCGGGGAAGCGGCGGGGCGTTTGGAGCTGGAGTCGTGGCTCCGGCGAGCGATGCGCGTGGACGTGCCGTGGATCGGCAGCTGTTCAGAGCCTTCTTTGTATGTGGGTGAGAGCCCCAGAGCGTGGGGTCGTTTATTCATGCAGCGAGCTGGAGGTGTCGATCTAGAGATGCGTCACCGCCAAGAAATGCACGCCAGGGCCGCGAGTTGCCATCTCAGACACGCGACTTAGCTGGATAGACCACAGGGGCGGTCGCAACTGCCTTCGAGGTGAAAGACAGCCGCGCGCCCCCAGACGCTGCTGCCCGAGCGCTTCGTTTGCTCGCCTGCGACTCTGCAGGCTCATATACCCTAGTTCTGCAGGCGGAGGCATAGCACTCCAAAACTATGAAAGAGCATCACGATGGTCCAAGGCATAGCTTGGACTTTTGAGCCGTAGCTCTCTCATGTCATCTGAAGCGCCGCTGTTCCAGCAACAACTCTCAGTCTTGCGTACTTTGGTGCAGTGAGTCAGCACCAGGTGCTTGGAGCTGCTAGTACTTTAATGTCAACGCAAACCTTCATGTGAGTCCTGGCCGAGGTTTCCTTCGATGACTTGTGATTGGAGCAGCCGGCCAACGACTTCCTCACAGATAGACGCGCACCTCCAAATAGTGACATGGGAAATTCTACTGGTGCATTGGGTGCTGATTTTCGCGCTGTAACATACACATTTGTACAGTGTCTAGCCTCGGAAACTGCTGGAGAACCTTCAAAACCGCTCAATATCCCTTATGATGTTCCGCGCCTTACTCGTCGTCATCGTCTTCGGCCTTCTGTACGTATCGGACCTTGACGTCCTTCCATTGCCGCTGCAGCGCCATTAGCTTCCATCAGCCGTTTCATGCGATTCTCCTATACGTACGCCGCGGTTGATGCTGTCCCAGATGCGGTCGGAGCCGGTGTCAAACGCCCTGTTGTCCCCCGTCAGTGCGCGGTCCCCGGAAGATGCTGGAAGCTCTGCGTGTACGTACAGTTGCATGGCGAAGGCGGAGGCGAAGACGGTGGTGAGCATGGTGACGTTGCTCCGGAATACGGTGCTGGAATCAAAGTCAGTGCCAGCTTGGGGCAGGTGATGCGGAAAGGGAGGCTTGCTTGTAGACGAAGGACGTGAGCTGCGCGGGTCGGTTAGCATCGCGACAAGGGAGCTTCAGGGGTTCAATTGGCTTACGCCGGCCATTGTGAAGGTGCTGCGGACGCGTGCGGGCGGTGGTCGGGGGCGTCTCGTTGGGGTTGCGGGTGATGTCGTGGGCGAAGAAGCTCGGTTTCGAGATTCTTGCCGGCCTATCGCGGCGACGCTGATTGGCCAGCCCGCTAGCGTCCATTGAGCAGTTTGGAGCCTCACCCACCACCTGCCGCCGATCTTTCACCTTCGCGACGCCAGAGCCCCGCGCACTCTCGACGCTTTACAGTCGCTTCCTCCCGTACACGCTGACCCGGGATCGCCACCCCTTACTCCCCAGGCCGTGTGAGTTGCCTTGAACCGGGGCTCCGAGCTCGCACAATACCCCACCACCGCTCACAGCCGGTGCTCCGAACGCAATCTCGTCCCGCCAATATGCCCACAGTCGAGACAACGAAGGTCTCTAGGGCCGGTATAACGACATCCGAGACTGGTGAGCGACATGTCCCATCGTCCACGCGCGCCGACGGCTCCGTGCGGAAAGAAATAAGGGTTCGTCCCGGCTACCGCCCGCCCGAGGACGTCGAGATCTATAAAAATCGCACCGCTGAGGGCTTCCGGAACCGCAGCAAGGGAGGTGTCCCTGGCGCTGAAGGATTGAAGGAGGAGGAAGACCCTGCCAAAGGAAGCCCTGCCGCCAACAAGAATGCCAAGCGCAGGGAGGCCAGGAGGAAGGCAGCCGCTGCTGCTGCGGACACCAACGATACCGCTGAGCATGCACCCGCCGAGGACAAGGCCACAACGGAATCAACACCGCCCACCGATCCCGAGGCCGAAAAGGAGAAGGAAGCAAAGAAGCTGATGAAGAAGCTGCGCCAAGCAAAAGAGCTCAAAGACAAGAAGGAGAAGGGCGATGTTCTGCTGCCAGAGCAGTTTGAAAAGGTGATTAAGATAAGCGAGCTTATACGGCAGCTGGAGAGCTTGGGATTTGATGCACAAGGCGAGAAGAAAGACGGCTGAAATCCATGTTCTAGGACAGAGAACATTTCCAAGCCGAACGTTATGCCGATTTTGTCAGGAGAGGAATCATCGTCGAGCTCGAACAATCGCCAAACGGTACCGTCGTATACCATGCTTGCCCGCCGATGTAGGAATGACGCAGGGCCTGTGCAAGCGGCCACCACGCATCGAGTTCCTAAATCATGATTTACGCTGCAATCCATCGGATGGGTCGACCTTCTAGCGCATCGCCGAGCCCGAAAGGCCTTGGCCGTGGTCCGTTGATGTTTGACCCGTGTTTTTCGGAATTATCTGGCCATGTTTGGATGTGGTGGACGGCTCTGCAGGGTCTGCAGATATGATCGGGTTTACATGTGCATCTCTGCTGAATGGTATCAATTTACACGATCGCCAGCGGTAACGGTGGCGTTACCATCACTTCAACTGGTTTCAACACACTCCCATCGCGGCCTTCAACTGGATACATAAGCCTACAGCGCGAGACAAAATTTTCAAGATCCAACACATTACATTGACTCAATACCAACGCACCAGCAGCACCAGGTCAGAACTTGTACTACAGTGCATTGCCCTAGGGTAGGCTATATGGATACTCAAACTTTGCCCTACCACTGTATTCGAGTCTCCAACCTCTCTCGCCTTCAACATCCCGCATCCACCCTCACAACAACGCACTGCCTATTCATCGTATCATACAACCCAAATTCATTCGTCGTCCTCAAGCAAATCTCCTCCACTTTCACCCTAACAGCCACCAAACCTCCCCCATCTCCCACCACGACACTCTCCTCTACCTTCCCCTCCTTCCTCCTCCCAAAGAACCCCCTCCTCTCCTTCTCCTTCTTCGCCTCCCCCACCTCCCTCACCACCGCCGACGCCCCTACCCGCCCATCATTCAAAACATCCCTCAGCCCCCTCTCTAACTCCTCCACCGCAGCCGGCACCCGCCAGAACGCGCTCGTGTTGCCCTCTCCGCTAAGTCGTACCGCCTCGACAGCTTCTTCCACGCCATTCCCCGCAATGACTTTGACCGCGTCTTCGGCCTTCTCTGCGCCTGCGTAGCCCTCGAAGGAGAACTCGTTTTTCTCTGGGAGAGGGGGGAGCGGGAAGTCGGATGGGAGGAGGGCGAGGACCGTGGAGGGGAGGCCCATGGCTGCGCGGGAGGAGAGTAGTGGGAGGATCGAGGTGTGGATTGCGGCGCGGATGGTTGTGGCGCGTGTGAGGGTAATGGTATCGAGGAGGGATTGGCCACGGCCTGGTGCTGAGGAGGACGTTGAGGTGAGCTGGGAGCGGAGGGAATCGGTGTAGGAGGGCGGGCTAGCGGGCTCATGTTTTTCGCTCATGTTGGCAGTATGACAGAAGTCTGAAGATGGTGCGTCGCCCTAGGGTAGGCTATACGCAGGCCAGTTGTAGTCAGATTTTGGTCCTAGTTCTGTAGTTGTCGTATGGAGTCTGGTTGTATCGCAGTCGACGACGCTGAAGTGTGCACGTAATGGAAAAAGTAAGCCCGCGCAAGTGTTAAAGACGTTGATTGCAACACTGGAATGTCCGACGTTTCAGTTGAGGAGACAACACGCGAACGAGAACGAGAGCGAATGCGCAGTTTCCACCCCCAGGTCACCAAACTGGTCACCTAAGGCTACCACGGGACCCGCGCCAACCACCAACCCCAACCACCAACCCCAACTGGGTCACCGCGTATTTTCGCCGCCGTGAATGCCTGACACAGCCTCGTATCCAGCTCTGCGCGCGCCACGCCTGGTAACGTGATTCTTGTGCGCAAACCTCCCTTTTCAGACGTAGCCCTATGATACGGCCGTGGAAATGTAAACTAGTAAGGCGTGAATGCAGTGCCTCGGGCCGCGCGGGCTTGGCGCGGAACATTGGGCTGCTGTGGATTTTAACCTGTCGCAAACCCATAATATGCGTACCGTTTCCATCAGGGACAGAACAGGTGTTAACAGACCCGATCAGCAGCTAAGCGACCATTCACTGTTGCCTGGAACCAACAACAGATACAGCCTCGTGCCTCCGCCATTCCGCCTCAAAGAACCCACGGTTCAAGGAAGCCCCCGCGAATTACTTCTTTGTAGCCACCGCGCAGCACACGAGAGAAAGCCCCGGCCCTCTTTGTTGGGCGCGCTCGTAAGATCACGAGACTGGTACCGTGGCTGTGGGGTCGTTAGGCTGAATCCAGCGCGGCCGAATCAGGATTAACGCACATTGCGGATCTTCCAATATGGCTTAGCGCCAGAACCGTGCATTCACAGCCTAGTCAGGGGCGTCGTATTTGGTCTAGGTATGGAATGTGCAGCAGGTTCACCGGTGAAGCAGGGGTGCCGCGTGCCAAGGTATGGGCGCATTGTGAGGATACGAGATGAGGGAGTGTATAAGTATAGGATGATACCTAGGTCTTGAAGCCCACTACTATTTGACGAGAAGTTTGTTCTGAGTGATTGTCTAAGAGCAATACCGAGCCAACGAACGGACCCGAAGATACATATTGAGCACGTTTACGCAGAGCTATCGTGGTACTGCTTCTCAACATAGACGTCATCTCTGGACGCATTTTCTTTGGGGCCTTTCGAGGTGGTATCAATTGCACCGACTTCGCAATCAGTTTCAAGCTTTTACACAACTACGAACAACTCACAACGAACTATCTGAACGCTTCGATTTGAAGTTGTGTCATCTACGAGGATCTAAAGACCACCAGCGACCCCTTCACGCACATTTCACTACTCAGACAAACTTGTCAAGATGGGCGTCTGGTACCATGTCGCGGAGCCGAACTCCTACCTCGTCATCACTGGCGCAGGTATCGAGAAGGTTACCATCAAGAAGAAGGTACGATCTACGGGCTACATCCCAAACGCTCACTGCTAATCCCATCATCAGGCATTCGTCCTCCCCTTCCAGAAGGTGTCAAAGATCAGCATCACGCCCTTCGACTTCTCCATGAACCTGACGGCTATGACTGTCGAGAAGCTCAAGTTCTCTCTCCCAGCGGTCTTCACCATCGGTCCCGAGGATTCCCTGGCGTCGCTAGAGAAATACGCTGTTCTACTAACTGGCGAGTCAGACGGCAGGCCAACTGCATCCGCGTCCCAAGGCGCGGTTGCTGTGGCCGCGGGCAGGAACCATGTCCAGGATATCGTGAAGGGCATTATTGAGGGTGAGACGAGGAGCATCGTCAGCACTATGACCATGGAAGAGCTGTTCCGCGAGCGCAAGGTTTTCAAAGACAAGGTCATCCAGCAAGTCCAATCTGAGCTCGATCAGTTCGGTCTCTGCATCTACAACGCCAACGTGAAGGAGTTGCAGGACACACCTGGCTCAGAATACTTTGCGTTCCTATCGCGGAAAGCGCACGAAGGCGCTCTCAACCAGGCCAAGGTCGATGTCGCCGATGCCCGCATGCGCGGTGAAGTAGGCGAGGCGGAGAAGCAGGGCAAGACCAAACAGGAAGTGGCCAAGATCCACGCAGCTACCGCCGTCCTCGAGACAGAGCGTAAAGCAGAAAAGGCCGCTGCCGACGCGAAGCTGACGAACAAGGAGATCAGCATCGGGAAAGACCTCAATCTCGCGCGCATCGAAGCCAAGCGCGATGCCGAGCGCCGCGACGCAGAGCTCAACACCGAAGTCGAGAAGAAGAAAGCTCTCATGGAACTCGAGCGTCTCCGCGCCACCACTGTCACGCAAGCTACCATCGCCAAGGAATCCTCCCAGCAAAAGGCCGACGCAGAGCTCTACAAGGAGCAAAAGCAGGCAGAAGGTAAAAAATACAGCGAGCAAGCCGACGCCGAAGCCGCCGCCTTCCGCCGCATCCAAGACGCAGAGTCCAACTTCCAAGCCAAAGAGCGCGAAGCCGAAGCCAACTTCCTCGTCTCCAAGCGTGAAGCCGAGGCCGCGTACTACCGGGTCGAGCGCGAGGCGCAGGCGCACCTCATCAAGCAGCAGCGCGAAGCCGAGGGGCTTTCCGCGATGGCCAAGGCGTACGGCGACATGGCGAGCGTGCTGGGCGGCCCCCAGGGCCTCATGCAGTACCTCATGCTGCAGAACAACACGTACGAGCGGCTCGCGAATGCGAATGCGCAGGCGATCCGCGGGCTGCAGCCGAAGATCAACGTGTGGAATACCGGGGCGCAAGGCGAGGGCGCGGCCGCGGATCCCACGGCGCCGATAAGGAATCTGTTTCAGAGCTTGCCGCCGCTGCTGAGCACGATACATGATCAGACGGGTATGCAGCCGCCGAGTTGGTTGGCGCAGATGCCGCAGGATCATGGGGTGAAGGGTCAGAGACTAGGCTTGAGGAATGGGAGTGAGGGCCCGGAGTAATTTGGTCTTGTGTTGATGATCGACGCGCTTGTGATCCGTCCCTCGTTTTTCCTTGTCCTGCATGTAGTGGATGGAGATACCCGGTGGGTCAGCTTTGTCTTTCGATCTTTTGCCGCATTGTCTGTTTAAAGTTGTCTAAGATGTGGGTTTGACTTTGCTTGTTGTACAGCAGATAGATTCACCTCAAGCACATCAACTGGAGATTGTGTAAAAGAAACCTAATTACGGTCGACAACAAAAATGTGAGAGGAATTTTTAAGATCTTACTGTAAATGTCTATGCTCACTTATTATATAACAAGTTTAGAATGTATAGTATAGTAACGTCCTGTTACGAGAGCAACGAGCAAGATGTCTGAGGCCCAGGTAGGCTAGATCAATATACTGCGTTCGGTATCTACGTGTAGGTACAAGACGTTGGATAAGGAGAAAAGGTCCTCTCCCCCTATCCAGCGTGGATCTATCTTCTCGCTTCGTCGCACGCCCTCGCCAAGGGTGGCTAGCGCCATGCTTTGACCAATTAGCTAGCAGACGGGCCACCCGTCTAATAATCTATTGGCTGGCTGCCAGCGCGCAACATCTCTAAGATATACTACTGCCAGCAGTATATCCATGCTTGTCAGGTAGCCTCTAAGGTTACCGTGACAATAGGAGTAAATCATGGTATTGCTAGGTATTGAATAAACTTATGACAAGCATATGAAGTACATAAGGAGACAAGCTGCCAAAGTACCCATCCCGAGGCTACTAAAGCTGTGCAATAATTGTTAGTGCTGTAATGGAAAGTGCTGTTAGCGTTCCGCTACGGCGGGTTTTCCGTCACGCAGGGATGGACGTTAACAAGTTTAGAATGTACAGTACAGTAAGTTACAAAATAATGAGCTACGTGCTTATATGCCCTGTCTCGTGTCAGCTGCTGTGGTTTGTAATGTGAAAGTTCAACTGATGAGCATGCTAGTAATCACACATACGCTAGCTCCCTGATAGCCAGCCTAGTAAAGCCCTTTTGTGAGTCGAATCTGTGATATTCAAAAATGTGGCTTAATCAAGATTGTTCTACAGACATGTTGTGTTGGAAGTAAATAAACAATCGTTACAGTATGAATGTGCTGGCAGCCTGCAAGTACGATTGCACGCAGGTACACTTCCCACACCGCAATGCAACTGCACCCACCTCACCACGTCAGCCCACTCAGAAACGTCAAAATCTCACAAAATGCCTGGTCACGTCACAACTAAATTCCCCTTTCTCTCGACCACCGGACAACGTTCATCACGCTCAACCGTTGCCGCCTAGTTCACAAGGCTACAGCGCGCGACCGGGCCCGGCGTATCTAATCATGGCCACAATATCCTGATCTATGCATAGCAAGGACAGATATTTCAATGCAAGCTTACGACGTGTGAAGTACACTAGGCTGCCGCGAAATGTAAGTATCACACCAAACACCATGCCTTCGACCCCTCTCCGCCATGACGCAATGGAACGCCCAGCGAAAAAGTGCCGCATTCGAATCTCTTCAAGCGTTTCGCAGTTCCCTGGGACGAAAAAGGCTGTTCAAGAGAGCTATGTAGAACTTGAGACGTAAGGCAACGACCGTTCGCATATGAAACTCGGGAACGAATCGCTGATCCGCGCAGCGCCTATCAAAGGGTTAAAATAGCTCAGTTAATGTCACTTACCCGTTCAAAAACCTAAAATCGAGACTGATGCCTTCACAGCGTCAAGTACCGCGAACTCGAGCACTTGGGCCAGAGGGCCATCGAGCTGGTCCCAGGCTTTGAACACGTAGCCGTCTCGACAAAGGTAGACGAGGCCAGAGCAGCGCTGAGAAGCGCAGACGCGTGAGTACACCCATGCCTGCACACGAGTACTTCTGAGACCGCATCAGGGCCTTCGAGGACGCCCTGCAGCACTATTGCGCCGTCTGGTGTGCCCGCATCGGCACGCTACTCCTCACCCTTCCAGTAGAACTCCGAGACTCTATTTCCAGAAGTCTTGTTCTCGTGCGGCACCCGCTCGACTCCGAAGACGTCTACAATAACATCGACCCCAGCCTAACCGACCAGCGCGACGCCATTACCACCATACCGCACTACTACGCCCTTCTCGGCCTTCCCACGAGCCAGGAGGTCGCGGCCGAGCTCCTCCGGGTATCCCACTTCGAACGAGCCATCTGGCTCGTCGTGCAGTGGTGGAGCGCTTCAACGGCCGCTTTGAAGGGGCCAGAGAACCTCACCGACGTGCGGCGGCGAATGACGAAAGGAGTCGCGCGGCTCCGGGCTTTTTTGGATCCAACGGTCCTGGCGGCGGCGAGGACGGCGCGAGCAAGGGACTCGAGCATTCGGGTAGTTGCGCGCGTGCATTCGCATGACGTGCAGTTCTTGCTGGACGCTCTCGCGCCTGTTGCGCTTCTGATGAGGGACAGTTGCGTCAAGGCTGTTGCCTCGCTCTATGTGGGTGCTGCGGAGGTCGAGCCCACTGTCTTCATGCTTGATGAGGAGGCTGGGAGGCTTGTAAAGGCCCGCGATGATAGGTCGAGTGTGTAGGAACCGAGAGGAAAAGCTCGCACAATGGAGAGGGCCGGGACGAATGCTGAATTATCCCTGGGCGAAGGATGATTGATTGCTGAGTTGCACGAGGGTATCTCGGCGAGCAGCAAGAAATGAATGTTTGCCGTCTGTACGATAGTTCTGAGGATAATGGAACACAGTGGCCAACATTGAAAATGAGAGTCCTTGAGGCGGACGCTACTTGTGAACGTCCGCGCTGACTCATACTATTATCGTTTGTAAAGTTATCGTGATTCCCGAAAGTCGAACCAGGATGGTCTAGTCCCAGCCCGGACCTTGCATTGCGGTACACACGTGCATCTTACCAGCCATGAGAATTTCTTCTCCACTGCTTCGAAACAGATTCGATCGTGCGCTGCAAGATTCGCTTGATGAACCAGCTAGTTGCATGTACGAAAAATGTTGGTAGTGCAGACGAATTGAGAAATCAATGTTTCGCGTCGTATGTGTGACGTATTGGTTGGGGTTGGTATCGTATCTTACAACAGTCCGGCTCTCGCCTAGTTTACCCTACATATACAGTGTTATACAGGCCTTCTACGCGCCTCTTCCTCGTCGGTGGTGAGTCTCCCCTCTCCTTCCCCACCCGGCACCGCAGCCTCGACACCCTCCACCACAGGCGCTTCAACCGGCGCCTCGACCTCATCCCGCATAAACCCCTCAACATCCGCATGCATCCCAATCTCCATCTCAGGCGCCGGCGTTCCCAGCTCCTCAAACGGCACGTCCCCCTCCACAAGCGGGATATCCTCGTTCGCGCCGCCTCCCAGGTGTCCGCCGCCCAACTTCATCCGCGCAGGCCCAACAAAAACCTCGTCCTCATCCTTGCGCCTCCTCTCTAGCCCGCCTGGCCGGCCCGGCGTGAACTTCCGCAACAACTGCCCCTTGTCCTTCTTCTCCTCGGTAAAGTCGCCGAGGCGCCGCGCAATCGCCGCCCGCCACGCGCGCAGTTTCTCCGCACCCTCCTGGTACAGCTCGAGCCGGACGACGGCCTGCAGACTGCGTCCGTAGTGCCCCTTGTCAGCGCCCGCGTGCGTCGCGAGGATCTCGTCGACGAAGGCGAGCACGCTGAAGTCGTACTCGATGCCGCCATTGTCCATGTCCTGGAGCAGCGCGCAGATCTGGGGGTAGTTGTTGTCGCGGCGGAAGGCGGCGCGAATGAGGGCCTTGTAGAGGCCTGTGCTGGCGCCCAGTGCGTACGAGGAGCGGCCGAGGTCTTTGACGGTGGGCAGGATGTTGAACATGAGCGGGGACGCGGGGAAGTTTTTGCGGAGGGTGTTGGCGGCGGCGATGAGGTGGGAGGAGTAGTTTGGGTAGACGATGGTGGGGTCTGTGGGGGAGGGGTCGCCTTTGTGGCCGGAGACGGAGGGCTTTGAGAGGGACTTGAGTTTGGACTTGGAGTTGGTCTTGGACTTGGGGCTGAACATGCCGGGGCCGTTTTCGAGGTCCATGCCGCGGATTACGGAGAGGACCTCTTTCTCGAGGACGGCCCAGAGGGCTTGGTCGGTGGGCGCGGCTTCGAAGAGGGCTTTGATCCGTTCCTTCTCTGAGGATCGCAATGCCTTGACGCGCTTTTGCTTCTCCACGGCTTCCTCCTTCTTCCGCCTCTTCTCTTGCTCTGCCGGTTCTGCAAGGAGCTCCTTGGCAAGGGACTCCAGATCAGTAGACGGCCCCTGTCTCCGCGCCCGTGCCGGTGTGAATGAACGCGTCGGCTTGTCCGTTTTGCCCGAGAGCACCGCATCGAAGAGGTCGTCTAACGACGCGGAAGACTTGTCCGTGCTGTTATCGTCATCATCCTCGTAGTACTCGTCGGCTATTTGATCCAATTCATGCTCGTTGAGCTTCTGCTCCTCTGCCCTTTTGGTGTTCTTGTAGAGCTTCTCGAAGGCGGCGCGCTCGGAGCCCGTGATCGTGGTCCTGCGGTTCACACTCGCCTCATCCACCGTCGGCGGGAGCTCCTCGCCTTCAAAGGGGACGTCATGTGGCCGGTTCGGACGCGATGAATCGGAAGCGTGGCGGCGCGAGATGGGATTGCGTTGTTGGATAGTCGCCGTCTGGTACAGGAACGGCGCGAGCGTCTTAGATGAGGAAGTGCGAGAGCGCGACAATGCCCGGAAGCTGCACAGGCATACAGACATTGGCGAGCACGCCGCAGGGAAGCCCCAGAGGATACAATGCGGTGCGTCGAGGCGACAGAGTAGGGAGGCAAGCTTTCGGGAGACGAGACGACGCGAAGAAAAAGTTCCAGGGATGCGGCGAGCCGCGCGTTAGCGTCCGCCCTACCTGCTCGTCTATCGCGCCCATGACAACCAATGACCAGCAGGCTCAAACCTCTTTAACTGGCAATCCTGCAAGCCATCGAAACTCGAGCCGCGGGATCTCAAGTTACACAAGACTGCTTAGATCTGAGCCTCGTTTACCACACTATGCCAGGTTGGTCATTCGCCGGCGCACCACGTGCACAGACATTTCATCATTCTGTATGAATTGTATCCCCCCATTTATTGCTAGTCTCTTGCGCCACGTTAGGTTCCGTCAAGCACGACGTCGAGCTACGCGGATGCGTACAACTCTCTCAAGACACGCCTGATTGACTTTCCACCTCAATGTTCGTCATCAACAGGCGCCTGCATCCATCAAAGCTGTCTAACACTTGCATCCTCGCGATCCCGATTCCGTCGAACTTCCACATCCCGACTCCAATTCCATGTACCCTCTCACAAGGTATACACAAACTCCGGATTCTCCTTATCCGTCAGATCCAACCACTCCTGGTTCTCCAACTTCACATATCCTTCGGCAGCGCGAATCTTCTCCTTCTTCTTGTTCTGCCACACGCAGTAGACATGGATGAAAGCCATGATAACCAGGCAGAGCGCGTAGCACACGATGATGGTGATCTCCGCGGGTACATAACGGGGTGCGTCCTTGGCGCGGAAGGTTTGCGGGCCTGGCGCTACGTTAGTCGAGTTCGATGCCAGCAGCAGAGATGATAAGCATGGGAAGAGGATCTTACCGATGATGTTGCCCGTGCAGTATCCGATCAGGAACATCGCAGCCACAGTGGTCTTCTTGGTGTATCCGGCGACATTGCTGGAGATGAGACTGAGAATGGCGACGAAGGGGGTGGGACTCGCTTGCGTGAGATAGTAGCCCGCGAGACGGCCGCTGTTGTTCGAGAGAGGGAGCGCGACGATGAGGATCATGCCGAGCAGGGCGAGACACATGCCGGACATGGAGACGAGGATGCGGTAACCGAGTCTAGGGGATGTCAGTCCAACAAGTTTCTAGAAGAGGGGCACGTTAAAGGACATACTTGTCGCCCAGCCAGCCGCAGGAAATCAGCGCAACAATCTCGACAGCCCCGCCGGGGGTTCCGTAGAGCAAGGACTCTTCCGGTGTGTATCCAAAACCTACGATCAACTGGCTGAAGAAGTTCGACAGCCCGCCATTCGGAATGTCGGCGACTAGCGCATACCAGAAGAAGGCCCAAGCCATCGGGTCGAGGAGAGCCTCCTTAAGCTGGTACAACTTGAAGTGCTTGTTTCCTACACCTTGTCCGTTCATTCTGATGCGTTCAATCGCCAAGATTCGATCTTCCTTGCTGAGCCAGCGGCAATTAAGCTGATTATCCGGAACAATCCAGAGAAAAAGAATGCCGATAGCGGTCGTGAGCAGGCCTGTCACGAGGAATATGAGTTTCCAGGGCTCGATGAGTGTGCCATGCTTACGAGCACCGACTGCAATACCGTACGCGACGACGCCGCCGAAGATCTGGGCAAAGCCATTGAAGCTGAACCAGATGCCAGTTCGGAAACCTTGCTCTTTCTTGGTGTACCATTGCGACGTGAAAAGTGCGAAGCCTGGCGTTACGGCAGCTTCGAATACACCCAGGAAAAACCGGATTGCTATGGCACCGGAATAGTTCTCTACTGCGGCAAAGCAGGACAGTACGATACCCCACATGATGATGTTGAACGCGGCTGGTGATATTAGTACACACGCCGTGGTACAGCTTGAGCTTGACATGACTCACAATATTTTCCTAACGGGAGGCGTTGCAGCAGACGGCTCGTCGGGTACTCCCACGCCAGGTAACCAAAGTAAAACAAGCTGGACAGCCACGAGTACTGCGACCCGGTAATGCCAATCCCGCTTTTGAGTTTGTCGTCCGAAGGCGGCAGCTTCAGACCCATAATGGATGCATAGCTGAGCGTTGTTTTGTCGAGGTAGTTCAAACCATAGACGATACATAAGATTGGCATCAGATGCCGATCGATTTTCCTCAGCAACCTCTTATTCGTCTCCGGACTAAGTTCGATGGTCTGCCCGTCATACCCCTCGAACGCCTTCATCGCCGCATCCGCATCGTGCGAATGCTTGAGAATCTGATCATCGACGTGCTTTACCATATCGGGTGGCGGCGCATCGACCACCGGTCCCTTCTCCTCATATGGCGGACTCGTGATTTCTTTGCCCGAAGCCATAGCTGTCGTCAATATACCTGCGACAGGTGCTTGCGTCGCGTGACAATGCTGTCTAGGGGTTGGGTGAGAGGTAGCAGGTACGGTCCGGGTGGGAGGTTGCAGCTCGAGGGTCACAGATGACATCAATGGGAGGCGCCTATCACCGCTCATTCGCGAAGCTTAAGCGGGTGATGGTGGCGCTTCCTCACGCCATTGCTGCCGAAACAGGTGCTAGAATGGAGATAACGTCGCACAGGGTCTCAAGTACACTGAAGCTCTTGGTTTCCCCCACCTTTTACTCGTCGCGTGCGATTCGTCGATCCGTCGGTATCCCCTCTTGAGCATTTCGCAGCGATAAGCCGGCGTACCCCTGTGATGCATCTTGAGGTATCACGGGGCGAGTTCTACCAGGCGAAGATAAAGTATTCCCTGTCACCACAGACGGGGCATGTAACGTTCGGCGCAATATCTGTGACCGATCAGTGGATGGGGTCGTGAGCGGAAGCGGCGATCGCATGGGGCATGCCTAGCCAGAAGAGGAAGGCGTATACAAGAGCTGCACAGTCGAGCAGCGGACCGATGCAGTTATGCAGCACCGAGATGCTTGAAGGAATGCGCCGATTGACCGCGGAGAGAGGTAATCGGGTACGTGACGCGAGGGTGTTCCCGTGCTTGAGTGATAGCGTTGGTCGTCGTCCCTGCCAATGTTCGATCATGACGCGCGGGTGACCGGGTTAGCGCACAGGTTAAATTTTAAGCTTAAGTCCAGGGAATGCTTCATGAACGTTGTTTGTACTGCTCGTGTATTATACGATAGCTACGATATTGTGTAGGAAATTTATCGAACGCGACATCCATTCTGATGTGCATGCGTTTGTGAACAGACCCTTCGGCCGTATAAACACCCTGAACTCCGCAGCCTGGTAGGCTGTTCCATTTCCGTAAACAGGCCAGTCTTTTGGCATGCAAGTAACGCCGCTCAAATGCTCGTGATGATGCGATAAAAAGTCCGCACCATATTTTCGTACGTACAGGAAACACAGCCATGTCTCCCGTGAAGAATGTGAATGTTATCGGAAGAAAGAAAGGGTTGCAAGAGAAAATGGAATCATGTCCGGACGAACATGTTCCTGTTGAGCTTGTCGAGCGCGCGTGAGTCGGTCGCGGTGCTCATGCTTGCCAGCCTGTCCGGAGGAAGTTCCCTGATTGGGGGCTGAGTTCCGTTAGGGCTTCGGCTACCTGACCGGCTGTTGTTCTGGTTGTCGCCGCTCTGCTCGTGGTTGTTGAGGATCGATCCGATCTTCGGAATTGTCCGTGCTGGGGATGGCTCGTTCGCGGCGCTGTTCGGCTCTGGCGGCGCCAAAGATCCTTGGGACTGGGGCTCGGAAGGTTGCGGCGTCGGAGGCCGGTGGGCTGATGTGGGAGTGGTGCTGTTGATGGCCGGTAGCTGCGGTCCTTGCTCGGGGATCGGAGCAGCGGGAGGAGCAGGAGGGATAGGGCCAGTCGGCCTTTGCACCAGCTCAGGTCTCTGAAGAGGGTGCGGTGGGGGTTGCTGGATATACTGCGGGTGATGGCCGGGGTGTGGCGCCATCGCGACATGTCCCGGCGGCGGGTGAGGAATACCAGGGTGAGCCATTTGTGGTGGAGGTCGGTCAAAGACATGGCCGGGTTGCGGAGGATATCCTGGGGGTGCGTAAATGAGCGGAGCATACTGAAAGTATGGGTAATGGGGCTGCCCGTAGTAAGCGTGCTGATACGGCGGCGTGCCGCTGGGAGGCGTAGGCGGGTGGTAGACAGGCACGTATACGGGTTGTTGCGGGGGCCCTGGTCGTGAATAGGGTGACGTCGGCATCTGGTGCGGTGACTGCGCGTACGGAGATCCAGGCAACGGGCCGCGCGTCACGGCCGCAACGGGCTGGGTCTCATTGACGGTGGATTCCGGATACATGTTCTTAGGAGGGCGGATGTGCCGGAGCGAGCTGTCGGTGGACGGCTGTTGAAGAGGCATCGAGTTTGATCGCGAGTAGTAGCTGATGAGGTGGAGGTGTTGTCCGCTGGAGGTGGTGATGCTGAATGATTGTTTCATGAGACCGTCTGGCTTGTAGCGATAGCCGTCCGGACCCTCGCCTTCAGAATCGCCAGTTGCTGAGCCATCGGGTGACTTCCCGCTTGCACGCTTCGGTGCCGGCTGGTTCAGGTTGCTGCCACCTCTTTTGCCCTCCATCTCCCGGTAGGTCAGGAAGCTGCCTGACACGCGACTCGCGCTCCACGACTTGCCATCGGTCCACCGCCGCATGCCTGCTTCCCTCTCATCCCAGACGAACACGGAGCCAGACTTGATCTGCTGGCGCTCCTTCTCAGAGAGGCGTCGCTGTACGCGCGGGAGCAACCCTATGCGGCAGGCCTCGAAGAGCAGGATTGCATCGTTGGGCGTGCGGACGTGGCCGTGGTATGTTTCCATTGTGAGTGATTTGAGTTGAGACAGGACGGTTGAACAATTGGTGCGCTCTGAGAGCACTGGATGGGAGACTGCAGCGAGTCTATGATTTCATGTCACCTGCGCGCTGTTAGAATTTAGGGCCTGGCCAATTGAGGCAATCGCGATGTGCACAGAAATGGGGGCGGTGACGGACCACAGTATTGGGCATTGCGTGTTGAGTGAGCCGAGGCCCGGAAAAACTTACCTGTGGGCAGAGGGTCGCGGGCAGAATGCAAGCTCGGCAGGGCGACAGCAGGTGTGTGCAGCTCTGGAGGAGAGCTGTTTGTGGAGCGGTCGATGTTGGCGTGAAACGTGACGGCGGGTGGAAGGTCTGAATACGGCGAGTGGAGCAGAGTTCCAGTGTGGGCGGGGAGCGAGGACGGACGGGCAGGCAGAAAGAGCAGAAGGCCGGCTATTGCGTGCGACGCCGTGTACAAGTAGTCGTGCCAGGTCCAGGAATGCTTTGGCTCTCGGCACACGCCTGGGGACTTGATCGCCCGCCCAGGCCGCTGGTGTGGCGCCGATAGTGAGATAAGGCCCGCCAAGCAGACAAGCTTTATTTTAAACGCCGTTGGCTTCGACAGGACCTGCGATCCATGGGGCCATGGGCATGGGCCCTGGCGACCGCCCGCTTGCAGCCCACGCCGCGTGTGATGGCAGCGAGCACGCCTCGACCGTCCGTCTGTGCCGGAGAAACTCGCACGCTTCTCCAGGCGGCGGCGTAGCTTCGTTGCTTTTCAGCGCCGAATGCCCAGTCGCGCAGCATCCCAACCCGGGCGCCCAGCTGCGCGCCCAGCCTGCGCGACGGCAACGTCTGTCCGCTCGAACAACGCCAACCATGCTAATCCCAATCTTTAACCACGACAAGCCTTCGCCCCTTGGCTACAGTAGTCCGCTCCCAGCCTGACAATGTGCCCAGCCCTGGCGGTCCGCGGATGACATCGCCGCCTGCCAACCGTGTCCTCAGATCTCCGTTTTGCGCAACACCCCAGCATTGGCGCCCACCGGCCCAGCTCCACTCAGTCCACTCAGTGTCCACGCTCTGCGAAACACTCCGTCGCCTGTCGCTGCCTCACGATCCGGGTGGTAAGCTTGGCTCCAAGCAACGCCCAAGCCAGCTCCGCCCACGCTGCCAACTCCTGTGGGTCGGACTGAGCAGAAGGTGCTTTTCCCGGCGCGCTTACAAGACTGACTGCGCTCAGCGCCCTGCCCTGTCCAGACGAGCCCAGGCAAGCCCACCTGACGCCCGGCTGCCTGCTGCGTTACCAACGCCGGCTCGCACGAGAGGCGTACAGAGCCATTCACTCGCTGGCGGCGTCTCCAGCACTCCTGCGCTTTTGGGGACTGGTGTCCGCCCGACTCCACACCGAACGTAATCACTCTCGCATTCCCACAGCTGCTAGCGGCTCGGCGCTGGCCTTGGTGCATATTGCAGTTTAAGCTTACCTCTGTGCCCGCTACGGCCTGCCTGGTCTCAAATCGCCCACAATCCCGGGTCCGATGCCTTTTCCTCTTCCAGAACGCAACCTGTCATCCTCGCAAGTGAGCTCTCGCAAACAGTGACACTGCATGTCTACGCCCGTCCTGACCGCCGCAGCTGGTTGCCAATAGTCTGCTTCCTTGATTGTTCCGCTTGGTGCCGGCTGTCGCGGGCACCGTGTATCCACTACGCGGCGGGCCCAGCCTGGGGTTGTCTTGGACGACCCAGGCAGCGCCATCAGGAGACTCCTCCCAAGCTTGGGACACTGGCGTCTCAGCTTGCCACAGCGAGACAAAGGCCCGAGCCCAGGTGTATTGGCCCAGCCCACACAAGCAAGCCAAGCAGCAAACGCCCTTGTTTCGACAAGTGGCCAAGCCTTGCGGATCGGAGTGCGGAGCATGCCCGCGGCCGCGTCAGCGAACCAACACAGCTAATCTGCCGTACGAGGATCCCTTCTCGCACGTCGGTCGTTGAAACTCAACGGCGCACATTGCGCTCGCTGTCCGTCGGCATCACGTCGAAGAGCGTCCTTTGTTACGCCAACATGTCCAGAGCAACTCAGCCCGTCGCCAATATGGAGGCGTGCAGATGTCATACGATGCGAATACGGCTTGGCTAGCTGATCAGCCGGCTTCGCTTGCAGGGCTCCAAATAAGGTTAAAGACAGTTAAGCATAAATCGCTGACCCGCTGTCCCGCTTTCGGCCACACGGCGACTCCGCAGCAAGCCACGCACCTGGACAAGCAATTCTTCTCGAGCCGGCCAATTTTCACGAGCGAGTACGAGCTGCGTTGGCGGATCGTCTTCCTATGCTTAGTAACAGCTCGTAATCTCTCCTCCACGCTTGCAATCCGTGTCAGTTGGCGCAAATGTCACCATTCGCTCCGAGATATTGTATGGAACACGGTAGCCGGATACGATGTTGGCAAGCCACGCCGCGACCCTACTTCGCATCCCAAGCTTATCGCGCGAGCGCAGCAAAGGGCTAGGCGCTCTAGAATCCGCCTCCGCTATCGTGGCTTCCACCACGGGAGAACGGCAGCATCGCATGAGCAGGTAAGGCCAGCCAAGCAACTGGTTTCTTAGGACGAGCCAATCTTGCGCTGCCCAGAACTTACAGGATGCGCAACCATCTGACCCCTAATTACCTCTTCTATCCGCGGCAACTCTAGCATATGACATAAATGAATCGGTGCGTAATATTTTTGAAAACCTGGGAAGGCACCCGTGGGCGGCAATGCGGCCCAGATTGATTGTCCTCGCTACCGTACTTGAGCGCTAGCAAAAGCTTCTTCGTATTGCAGGTTATCGGTATGCAGGCACTCTACAAGCGCCAAGAGAGCACGAAATGGCCTCACATCAGCATGCCCACTCAATTACGTTTGCGGAACGGATTTGCGAGTTTGTCCTCCAGGCGATCTTTGCATGGTACCTTGTGCACCGAATTTTGCTTCGCCCCATCGCTGCGTTCAGTAGCATTCTGGCCCCTTGGACCCGGGAGGACCGAGCAAGTAAGCAAATTTAGATCGGAAACTTAATCGTTCGTAAGGAGAAACGAGCTCGCAAGTCGGTTCGAACACTCTGCATCGCACAGTCAGGCACCGAAAATAGCGTCTCCGCGCACTTCGTTGTGTCGTTCAACCTTACCCGCAAGCAACACTGGAAACGGCGTCGTCACGTTTCTAGATACGAAATCTTTATTCTCTGGGAGATGCTTCTTCCACCCCATGAAGTCTCTGTCGGACCCCAGTCTCGCCATTACACGATTCTCTTGGAAGCGCGAGGACCAGGCCCCCAATACGGCAGGTCTCACTCAGTATATTATTCCAAGAACTCCGCCGTATGTACACCCAAGATGATGTTGCAACGGTGCTGCATGCGTTGCCGTGATGCCAGTCTACTGGTACACTGCTCGCGCGCGCTCGCGCTACGTTGCGCTTTACGGACTCGCTACTGTGCCTGGAAGGAGATCGCGCCTCGGTTCACTCCTTGCACGGCTTTCGTTCGCAGATCCGTCATCCGCACGAGAGGGCGAAAGGCGCGTGCAGCCTACTGAACTGTGTGGTTGGTCGTGCGCAATATGCTGCACTGCTTCATGGAGGAACAACAGCCAGGCGACGCGAGAAGGCGAAGTAGGGTGTATTTCGGACTTGCTGTGCCTTCATCGCTCAACAACGATTTCGCCCTCGCTGTATTCCTGTGCAACATAGGAAGAGTCCGCCCATGTGAAGTCCAGAACATAGTACGCGCCTCATCTTGCACTGCACCGAAGGTTGTATATAGCTTTTGACCTTTCTATTTCATGCATGTACTGCCAAGCCTGCTTCTTGAGCATTCTTTTCTTCGAGGCAATCGAAGATCTGACCGCCATGTGGCAGGTGCTAGTGCGAGGGGAAAACGCCATCTAGCGATAAGCTTAAAAGCACGATGTATAACAGCACATCTGAACGTCGTGTGCAAGGCGCTGCCTGCATGGTAACGCCAGAGGGCTTTTCCACCGCTGCCTGCAGGACTGCAGGGTAGCACTGACACACAATCAAGATATCTTGCTGATCCCCCACTTGTCGAATCGGCCCAAAACAGGTGCCGCATACGGACATGGTTGTGGACGGAGCACTAAAAGGGTGGGGTGGTCGTGCAGCATTTATATCTTTGTCGCACCCTCGCAGGCAAGTTATCGTTTTGAAGATGATCTAGTCAGGTTGCGCCAACACAGCCAGTGCGGACGGGGCGATCTGGACAGGATCGACTGGCATCCGCACAGCGGCTTACGCAAGTGCGCAGCACAGTGTCTGAACGTGTCGGTCTATGCTGAGCTTGTCGGCGAGGCGGTGGTTCTTAGGGATTCGTGCCGTGCCCTCCGTCGTACGCCCATGTGCTGGTTAACAGCTTGAGGAAAGAAGGAGACTATTTGTGCTGGCTCGTTTGAAAGTGTCTCGAGTAAATACAAGCTTCTTCAGTCACAGTCGGGGTTGCTTGTGGTTGGTACTAGTGCACAGCGATCGCTTCGACATCTGAGTAATAGCATTCTTCGTCATTAAGTGACTTGAGAGCTTGTTCAGCAAAACGTGGAGCTGGCTCTGTGAAAACAGTCCGTGCGCTTCTCGTACTGAACGACTTTGAGCAGATGTGTATGTAATGCACCGCTTGAGCGCAACAACACACGCACGAGGATTCGTTTGAGAATTCCTCATGTCGACGGAAACATATAATTCCCGTGTCGATCTATTGCTTGCGCGATTCTGGGGCCATGAAAGTAAGCAAATGTGCTATGAATACGATTCAGAACGACATTTTGGGGAATTGTGCAGATCTAACACGATGAACCGTTCGCCTCAAGAACACGAACTTCCTAGATAACTCGGGCGTTGCACGATTTTTCTCGTTCAAAATAACTTAACTGAGATTCTCTATCTGTTTCTGTTCGCTGATGTCTTATTCAGGTCTTTTCCCCACGTCTCGTTGAAGCGTAGGCCGCACTCAGTCCGAACATCACACGTCCGAAAAGGGTTAGCGCGCGGTTGGTCTTTTGTTAGAATCACATATACGCTGACCGCGCCGCCTCACCGCAGGTGCCAACTGCCAATGTGCTTCTTCCAAGTGACACTACATCGGAATCAAGACGCAAGCTCTGTTTCACCCCTTGGGCTATTTAGCCAGATAGTATTTCCCCTGCGCAAAACCAAAAGGAATCGCCTCGGATCTCTTCGTGCCCCGATCATCGCGCTGGCATCAATCTGTTGGCCTGTCTTCCCTTCTAGAACAAAGGTGAAAAGCATTCTGGGAACCTGGATTCACTTGAGCTACCATACGTTTCTATGTTCTCCAGCTGATAATGTATTGTCGTTGTGCATGTTGCCACAAGCCGCATGCAGCACCCGCGCCGCAACCTAGATTTCGCTAAGAGCGAACCGCCTGTGAAACGTTATCGCCTAATACAGCGATTGGAACGATTTCATGCTTACCAAAGGACAGTTAGATATGCCTTTTGTTTTGATTTGAAGGTCCTTGGGCCATAGCTAACCGATATAGGGATTGTAATATGCTGTGCGAAGGTGATAGGGCGAATGCTGTCGCCATTCGGGCTTCATTAGGTCGATTCATGTAGACAAATATGCGCCTGGGTGCGAGAATCCGCACCTTTGCTGGTCCCAGGCTGAGCTTGTTATATTGACACTTATCTCGGCTGATTGCATAGCTTGTCGCGATGAACCGTGTGAATGCCATGTTTCGACTTCGCCGCTCTCGATTGTTCTGCCTCAAACAATCCATTCATACTATATACTTCAAGGATTATACTTTGTTGCCGCCACTTAGGGTTCGACCTAGGGTGCGGTCCGCGTCGCAACTCTGGAAGGACATTCTCTGGAAGATGAGATCGACCGCGCACGCAACATAGTGCCCTCTCAGCAAACTACCAGCAAAGCGTCCATACGGATTGAAGATTTGTATGATCACCCAGGTTCTACTCAAGATGAGTCTGGGGAGAACGTAAAGTACCATGACGATTCCCTGAGGACAGCGGCCATCAAACCATTCTTTTTGCATCCCAGCATGTGGATGTGGGAGATAATCTCACTGTCATGCGCTCTAGCTATTCTTCTGGCCGTGATCATTATCTTGGCCATTTACGACGGGAAACCGAGCCCGGATATCGGTGGTGCTACGCTCAACACAATTATTGCTATAGCTGCAACTCTGTTCAGGATACTTCTAATGGTGCCTGTCATGGATTGTATTTGCCAGCTCACTTGGGTCTGGCTGAAGACAGGCTACAGACCATTGCAAGATGTCTTGGGTCTGGACATGGCGACCAGAGGACCGCTTGGGAGCCTGCTGTTGGTGCTAAACTTTGGATACGGGTAAGCTGACTTGTCGTTCTCAATGATCAGACGTCCTAGTCTTCCTCTTATGTCAATGATTGTCACGAAGTAAAAGCTAATTGAAGTATGTTCAACCAGTCTCAGGGCCTCTGCTGCTGCCTCTATTATTATCATGGGGGTTGCCACAGCTCCGTTCTTTCCACAAAGTGTCAGTCTCCAGGGTTGCAGCATACCCCAAGGCATCTCGGAGACAGACAATCGAACAGCATTTGCATCAGCAGCGTTCACTTACATGGGAAGCATTGGTGCTGCTGGCAGCGACACGGCTCGATTAGGTACTGTATTGGAAATAAAGCTCTCATGTGATTATTTGCCCCCGAACCTTGTCGCTGCAATGGACAGCGGCATGTATTCGTCCAACGTGATTAGCCCTCCCGATCCGCCATATTCATGCCCTACCGGTAACTGCACCTGGGACCCGTTCCTGACTCTTGCCATGTCTGTAAAATGTTTTGACAGCTCGGCTAGCTACTTTCTCAATTGTTCTGAGACTGATAACACCTCATGACCCGAACAACCATTTCGGCCATGCAATATTGGCGATTCAGCTCCCGGAGAACATCCATATTCAACCTATATGGCATATGATAGCTTTCCGTTCTCGAAGGACGTATCGCCAGCAATGTATCTTGATTCGTTCTTCAACAAGACTGACGTTGATTACCACGTTTCCGGTGACCCCCAAGATACGTGGACGTCTATCAATGCCGGCTATGCGTTGTTTCAATGAAAATCGGCTAGAGACCTTTTGGTATTTCCTTCCGAAACCATGAGGCCCTCCATCATCACATCAGAGAGTACAATAGAGGCCAGATACTGCATATTCAGCCCTGAAATCCACGCCATTCAAGCACGGGTACAGAACGGCGCTTACCAAGAGACCTTGATTGGATCCACAACAGATATTGAACCCTTCATGAACGAGAATCCTCCTATTTTAGATCATATCGGTGTATTTCATGATATTGGCTCATCGTAAGAGGGCAATCTCACGTACACATACTTATCTTCTTGCCAGAATTTATCGGAATCGATTCAGTGCAAGTACATTGATGGTGCGAAGCCGATCCACATCACTATCCCTGGCTAGATATTCAGCAACATTCCGGCTGCACTTTCGCACAGTCTGCCGACCACAAACGTCACGAGTGCTCGGCAATATGGCTTGTTTTCCGGCATTGAGTCCAGCGGAGGTGCAGCAAAAAGCCTATATAGGTCTCCACACATAACAAATACCATGCAGACAATTGCAAGATACGATACCATCGCCCTCCGGGCGAACGACACCACGCTGGGGTGACAGCAGAATCCAAAATTTACCATCGATGCTAATTATGTCTCTCCATCGCATCGCGTGGCGGGCACTGTGTATGTCCAAACCGTGCTTCTGCATGTCCGATGGGGATGGCTACTTTTCCCGGCTGCAATGATTTTCTTTGTAACGGTGATACTCTTCGAGACAATTAGCATTAGTCAACCTGCAGATGTAGGAGTATGGAAGAACAACTTTCTAGCGGTCCTTCTAAACACTCAGTGGAGACCCGAGACGGAGATGATGGGTGCGGCAACGAGAAGGTACTTGGGGATGATGGCGCAGGGGTTTGAAGCAAAGACTGTTTACGGAGAGGGCGGCTCCGGCGATTGCCCATCTGTGATCATACGGAAGAGGCCTGTGGTAGCTCTGAGCCGCATTCATTCAGACCACAGTGGCTGACACAGATAATGGGACTATTAGCGAGCGCACCGTATATTGTATTAACTTAGTCTATTGTACGTTTTCAAACTTATTGTGTAACAAGTCAGCGTAGATATTCATAGTATGGGCATAGTACGACACGCTTCGAAGCTGCCCATTTTTATTGTCGATCACCGTGGGCTATCTTTTCCAATGAACCATTCAGCTCGATTAGATGCCAGCCATTCCAACTGTTCTATAGCTGCTGTGAGTGTTTGCTATAGACCAGCTCAACACGCCTTCCATTCGGGCACTAAGCTAACCGGATGAGGTCACTAGCGTCGCTAGGCTCCAGTGTCCCCTCGCTCAAAGCGTGCTTGCCATTCAACCATTCGACGTCCACTCCACATTCCCCTTTGACGGCACACCTCAACGATGCTTGAGATTGCCTGTTTCAATGTTTCTTCCGCGATTGCTGCAGCAGAGGCGGGCGCCGACCGTATCGAGCTTTGCGCCGATTACGCTGCTGGTGGTGTCACTCCTTCCGTCGACGCCTGGGATGAGATTCGCAAAGCGACATCAAAGCCCATCAATGCCATGATTCGACCAAGGCCAGGAGACTTCGTTTATACCACGCTGCAGCTCTACCAAATGAAGCTGGACATCCTGAACTTCAAGCCAGTAGCGAGCGGATTCGTCTTCGGCATTCTGGATTCGGAAAACCGAGTTGACGAAGCGCGCAATCGTGAGCTTGTGGAGATGGCAGCAGGCCTTCCGTGCACATTTCACCGGGCATTCGATACAGTTCCAGATCAAGCGGAAGCAGTGGAGAGCTTAATACGTTGCGGCTTCACGTCGATCTTGACTAGCGGAGGCCCGGCCGACGCTGTGTCCGGGGCTGGGAACGTCGCTCGGCTGCAGAAAGAATTCGGTAGCCGGATCACATTCATTCTCGGAGGTGGTATTCGATCTAGTAATTTAGCAGCGCTACGCGAACAAACGGACGTACCATGGTATCATTCCGCGGCTATCACACAGCCCGGTGAAATGGTTGACCGGGATGAAGTTTCGAGATTACAGAGCATACTGAAGAACAATTGAGAAGACTAAAGCCATGCGTCATACCAGTGTGGTGCAATTCTTCGGATCGTCTATGTACAGCACGCCGAATATTTACAAGCGAAATTAACATTATCAAGTACGGGTATCATCCTCATCGTTTTTCCCAAATTCGTCAGGGTGTCTTTCTCTATACAGCGTATAACAGGGCTGCAAGTCCCACCATAATAAGCGAAGGAGTGCCTTTATCCGCAGCGCCTGGAGTAGACGTTGCGGAAGTAGCTTCATTCCCTGACGTAGCGGAACCGGTTGCCTGGGATGCAGCAGTACCTGACGGGGCGGAGGTCTGGCCTGAACTTTGTGCCGATGCCGTCGCAGTCGTCTCTACAGATGTCTGCGCCGGTACGGAAACACTTCCTACAATCGCTGTCGGGGGGATCGCACTACCAACACCAGCTTCGGTCCATTGAGGAGGAATCGAGAGAGTTGCCGTGTTAGGTTTCGCCGCGGGATCCTCTGAGTAAATGTTTCCTTCCGTGCCATCCTTCGAATACTGGCCAGTGAATAGATTCGCCTCCGAACCGCCTTGCGTGTAATTCCCAGTCGTCAACGAACCATACGAACGATCTGCGAATGCAAAGTTCGTGGTGAACTTGTCGTAACACATGGGAATGTTCAGATTTTGAACGTTAACGCAATCCAGCGTCTCCGCGCAGCAAAACCCGCCGTCGCGAGCTTCAACCGAATCCGCTGATCGCGCCCTGAAATGAATGTCTTTCACCGAAGCCAAGACGTCCGTGTAGAGGGAGCTTAGGTCGGTCCCGATACTGGGTGGATTGGTTCCAGTTGCACCCGAAGGATTGCAAGCGTTGCAAGCGTCGCGTGCTAATTTCTCCAGAGGAGTTGCGAGTGCGCTTGCAATGAAGGCCAAAGATATAAGCCGGAGCGACATGGTGGCTTGTAAAAGTAGCGCGATGGATCCAGAGTTATGGAGGGTTCTCAAAGTCTGTGCTACAATAAGGGGTTGGTGTTGACAGTCTGTGATGGGTTCAAACGAAAGGCGGCAGCAAAATGAGGGCGTGGAACTAGTGCAACGAAAGCAACAGGTGAAAAGCGAGTGAACGAAAGTCAGACGATAACCCGCAGGGGATGGCTTGGAGTTTATCTCTCAGTGCATGGGGGACGCACGGGCTCGACCAACGCCGCCGTGCGCCAGACTTTCCACGAGGGTTGTGCCGTCACATGCGCGACTCCGACTGGTTCTCTTAGAGATGCATGGCGGCAGATCACCAGGAGCCATGCATGAAGACACGCGCCACTTGACGCCTTTGTCGCTTCGGGGCCTGCCTTGACTTCTGATTGGCTGTCTTGCCATCTATGCATAGTCTGATTGAAACGACACACCACGCGTTTTTCATTTGCGTCACTCGCATCCTCAAGAGTCTCCTTCTGATCAAGCACCCAAGAAAAGTCACGTTCGCATATCATACAGGACGACTGAGCCTGAAGAAAACTGCGTTGGCGCGCACTAACGGGTCTACCACGAGGAACTATCGGTCGTGGTCCGTGTAGCATTGGCACACCACCATTTCCCAATCTTGCTCGCCCAGAAAAAAACATCGGAACCCATCGCGCGGCGACTTGAGCGCCTGGCGCCGTGTCACTAGGTGTATTGGGGAGCAACTATGCACCTACCAGCCCGTGGGGTCGAGCCGTTTCTGCCAGGGCAATGCGCTCGCCTCCGCACCGTTTCACGTCCGTTGAGATGCTAGCCGCTTAGCGCACGCCATTCACGTGCGGACGCGCTCTAGTGACTTGTTAGAATCCTCGTCCGGCTATCGGCACGTCAGTTCTCAGCCCGCACGCACCTTACTTTTGCAATTGCGCGCCTGGATATTCGATAATGTTCGCGAATGAGAGTGGGGATCGCGGCGATCGTCGATTAGATCAAATCCTACTTTCTCGCTTCGAGGCCACGCATGTGGGTTTGCGCCCACGTTGTACAGATACGATTTCCATCCCAGTAGTCTGGCACCCGTCTGGCCATGGATTCCCGAGCATTCGCGATACGTTGCATGCCCTGCTCGGTTGCACAACAACACGACAGAACTCCACAGCTTTGGAGCTGCGTCATCTTCACGATTTCTCAACATCGCAGCTCTCTTGGCTATTGGCAAAGACCACAATGGCGATAGTTTCATTGGAGCTATATTGGGCACCCGCAGCTAGCAGGTCAAGCCCTAAGGGCGGATGATCCACTGGCAACCGAATCCGGAGAGTGGCTCCACATCGGTATACGCTTGTTTTTGCAGATCTGAAAATACACACCGCATGCAGACGACCTAACATATAGGTCTAAAAAAATCCTATTTTCTGAGCTACGTTGGTACCTTTCAGGGCCGCACTGATGTAGCTGCAGTATCGGCGACTATCTGCTAGGGTTATTTACCAACGCCTTTCGCTCAAGGTCCTGTAGCTCAATGCCATCAAGCAAGTCTGAGCCTTTCTGCGCTTTCCTTCCCTCCTCGCGCTTCCGATCCTTCCGAGATTCGCCTTCATCCCACGCCCACTGCTCTGCATAGCTTATCGGCCACAACGCAAACACTCCCAAGAAGCAGAAGAACGTCGCCCAGAACTGCCACAGCCACACGAAGATCCAGCTCGGTGGTATGACAAACTTGACGAACTCATCTGTCTGGTACAGATCATTCTGGCTCTGAATGTAATATTTATTGTCGTCGCGATTTTGCTTGAGCTCGAGAACGGTGGTGAGGTTCACGCGCGCACGGTGGAACGGGACCATCCAGATGCCAAAGACCTGAGTAATGTTGACGTAAAGGATGAGGTTTCGCTCGTCGTATGCTGGGGCGGTCCGTCAGCCTGAGCTGCAATGGTATTTTTGTGCCATCGACCCCGAAAGAGAAGCGCCTGGGGACTGCTCACCCACTGAATTGACCGTCAACTCAATCTTAGGACTCAATATCTTGTACCACCGGTATATCGCCCTAATTAGGGACCGGGAGTTGTCAAAGCTTCCGGTCCGGCAAAACGGATGCGTGAAAGACGCATTTGATGTGAAGTATGTCTCGATTGTTTCGCGCTGTATCGACGGCGGCGATTGTGTGAGCAGATGGATCACGCCGGTGATGTCTTTCGCTGCGGATTGTCAGTACTTTGCGACGATTTCCGGGGGTTTGCAATCGCGCACCTGGGTTTTCCATTGCGAGAGCTTTTACTTTGAGGGATAAATTGGTATTTCCTCGTCGCTGGAAGAAGACCGAGGCTGCGCTGATGTTGTGGTCGAGTGTGCGCGAGCCCGACTTTCACATGCATTGACGTCATGCGTCGCGCCATTGTGATGGAACGACTGGCTCGAGCTGGACCCTCATCACGGGTACGCTCCGACGAGGCGGACTTGGCGACACGACGATCTCATCACCGGCGGCGGCAATGCGCAGCGTGGAAGGTCAGTCGGAGATCAGAAGCCCAGCGACCGTTGTCGAGTTGCCCCTTGCTCAGCACATGACTCGCGTGCATCGTTGTTTAAACGACACAAGTTACTGCTTAACTTTGTATCAGGTCAGACGATGAGTTTGTACCCGGACCTTGGCCAACTCGAAAATTCTCGCATCTCTGCTTTGGACTCCACAGGATCCAATCCATCCATTTTGCAGTATGAATGCTTTAGTCCCAGTTTGGCATGTCGCTGGATGACGCGTCACCTGTCCGCGACGCGAGAAAGCTTATCGCAACGTCCAACCCCAGCTTCAACGTTGGGGTTTCCAGCTTGAGCTAAACTATTACTGCATCAACATGTCTCTCTGAAGTTGAACGGATTCCCTCGTCCCTGTTGATATGGCCTTCCGCGCCGCTCTTGCGAGCGTTCTCGCGTTCAGCCCAGCCATCCAAGCCTCCTCTCTGCAGTTCATTGATGATCTGAACTTCACGTCTCCCTCGCCTCACATCGCACACTCTCTTTCAGCCCTGCTATCTGTACATCCACAGACCCTCTTTCCCAACGGTCATACTATCGCATCTGCGACCATCCCACGCCACACGCTACTTTACCATGGACGCCACGACGACCATGCAGTGCCGAGCCCAGAATGGCTCGCTTTTGACGTATACATGGCATATGCGATCATGGGCAACACGCCGGACAGTAGGATGCTTACCTTCAGGCTCGAGAAAGACATCAAAGCGGTCTATTTCGACGGCGCAAGTGCAAATCTGATGGGTGATGGAACGTGGAGTCAGATGGTGTTCATCAAGAACGGTACAGAAGGTATGAAGAGACCGGGGTGGGTAGGGCCGCCTCGTGGAGGAAGACCACCTCGAAAAGGGAAAGATGGGGACAGTCCACCACGGAGACCGCCAGGAGGACATCCGCCAGAGCACTGGAATCCGCTTGCGGATGAGTACTTCCGTGCCAGAGAATTATGCAAGTGGTTGAAGGAGAGTGGTCTTGGAGGAAAGGGATGGGGTTACGAAGCCATTGTCAGGATGAATGCGGGGTTTGAGCTTATTTGGTGCGACTTTGAGAGCCCATCGCTGGAGCTGGTGTCGAACTTGAACGTTTCGGCGCCACAGGTGGCTGATGGCGCGAAACCTGCTCAGACAGAGTTGCAGCAACCCTACATCCAGCGCCCGATCCAACTCAGCGCTCGAGATCGATTAGAGACCGAAGATGAAGGGCCCAATGGTCCTGGAATGAGCGACCCAAGAGAACCCTTTAGAAATACATCCACTTGGTTCTGGTTTTCCGCCGCTGCGAAGAGGTATGCGGGTGATGCGCGCATCAGGCTCGATGCGGGTGGTGTCTTTTCGTTCTATGAGCCAGGGTTGCAAAATCAATCTCGTGTCAGGGTAGCAGAGGACATTGAGCGTTTCGGTTTGAGACGCGATGGAAGATGGAGGTCTACACCGTTCATGGGCGAGACAGGGCGGGAACAGAAGCTTCTGGACCTGCAACGACGGCGGAGACAGCACCGACTGACGAGCGTGGATCGACAGGATGCACAGTACATGCGTCAAGCCGTGGAGCAACGATTACGAAACAATCTCCATACAAACCACGATGGATCGGGTATCGACTGGGTACACATCGCGAAAGAAATTGTCACGCGCTACAGTGACGAACTGAAGACGCTCCTCAGCTACGTCTCAAGCGATATCCCGAACATGGACGAACATGATTCTCTCAAAGAATGGCTCGCGACACTCCGCCAACTTACACACTGGTTCCTCCTCCCCTTCTTCGAATACCCGAGTTCCCTCCCATATGAGGACTTTGACCTCGCCATGCTCTTCGGCACCCGCTCGCCCCAAGCCCAAGCCGCCCTCGATCGCTGCGTAACTCAATACACCGTCAACAAAGAGCACATTCACGATGCCGACGTCGTCTTCTCCCACGCCATCACAGGTACACTACACGCCCTGTGCAGCACAGCCATCAAGATCGGACTCCACGTCGAGTACCACTGGTTCATGTACTTTCAGCCCGCCGATCCCTCTGCGCCGCCCAAGCCTTTACTACCCCACATCCTCAAGGGCCGAGCGATGCGGTGGAAGCTGGACCTCCAAGAGCTGATTGCGTGGCTTGGCTGGGCTGAACAGGACGTGGGGTGTGAGGAGGAGTGCGGGGTGGGCGAGTACTGCTATGTGCCTATGTGGCCGGTGAATGGGTGGGAGAGACATGGTGGGCCTTCGGGCGGAGAGAGCAGGCATCTGTGGGAAGGCGTGTGTGTGGGGATGGAGAGATATCCGCCCGAGCAATGGGAGGAGTAGGGATACCGAACTATAGCTAGAGCGATGTGTTGTAGCACTTGTTTTCAGGCTGCACGCTAGGCACAATTTATGTGCGGGTTGAATGCGGGTAGAGTCGGCTTACATAAGGCCCCTGAGCTCGTCTTCATCTGGATTTCGCGACCGACTCTCCGAGAAAGGATCTTTGGTGAATGTCAAAGTGAACTCGCTACGCTGGCAATCTCAATTTCCACTCTTTCTGACACCCACCGCTGAGCCCGGGTCAGGTGTGCGCAACTCCAGTTGTCCGTCTCAGCCCCTGCGGAGGCTCGCTATAAATCCATCACACAATCATGATAGAAAGTAGTCATCGCCTACCAACACTGAAGATTCGGTGCAACACTGGGCGTATTATCCTCATATGGACGCCATAGCTATGCGAAGCGCAGATCCTTCGCAGTACTAAGGTCGATAGTGTTCATCGTGCTCCGAAAAGCGTGTACAACTCTTGGCTCGAGGCCCATAGGGGAGCCGATTTAAGAACACATTACCTGGGTACACACAGCAAAGATGTTATACGAGGAGGCACGGAGGAAAGTCTGGCCGATGATGCACCATTGCACAAAGCTAATGCGCAGCGTAAATTGTGAATGCATCGATTGAAAGTCTATATCTACGCTGCACATGTGCATGTCAACCCTTTAAATTCTCACACAGTCGTAGCCGCGAGGCTCGGCACGAGTTCTAAAGACAGGGCATGTTTCTCTCCGCCATCCGAGTGGGAACGTCATTCATGGGGCGCGGAATGATGGCCCAAAGAAGATGGCGTGTGGAGTTGGGCGCCTTTGCAGGTCGCAATCCCTCAAACCTTGACAAACTTGGTGTGGCTGCCCTCGGCAATGACGGCGCCCCGCTCGCCATCGACAACCTTGTAGATGCAGCACTTTGTGAACGCCAGGGTGCCGCCGACCTTGGTCGCGGTGCCCTCGATCTCGACCTCGTCACCCTCCCGCGCCGAGCTCTGGTACGTGACGTGGATGTCGGTGCTGACGCCCGTCTTGGAGCGCTTGTCCCACGCCGCGATGGCCATGCCGCCGACCCAGTCGAAGAACGTGGCCGACGTCGACCCATGGATGCCGCCGTGCGAGTTGACGTGGTTCTTGGTCAGGATCACACGCGCGCGCACGACGCCCTTGGACGCGTGGGTGAACCTGGCGTCGGAGAGGACGAGCTGGTAGATGGCGCTGTGCGGCAGGCGGCCGGCCCAGTACTGCTCGACAAAGGACAGCAGCTCGGGGTCGTTGGCGGGGGCGGCCATGGCAGGCAGTTCGGGGACGTGGTCGCTGGTCGAGGGTCGTGGGACGGCGTCCGAGGCGAGATCGGCCTGCAAAAAGAAAGCGCAGCGCGGCGCAATGGTTTCGCCGGACCGTGGGCGCAGGGGGCAGCGCGACCGCGCATCCCCGAATAAGCCTGCGCCAACGGGCGGCGTGAAACGTTGCTGAGCCAGCTTATCCCGCCGCCGTAGCCAGATCGCGCCCCACAGGACAGACTCTCGACGCTGCGCCGTTTCGCTGGCTGCCGCCCACCGCACTCGAAAGCACACCAGACGAAGGGTGCCGTCCCCCAATGTTTGCGCATGCCCTAGCGACACCATGAGCGACCCTATCGAGCCCGTGCCGAGCCTGCGCGACCCGCTTGCGCCCGTGCCAGATACCCCCGATGCCGCCGAAGAGAGCCCTCCCCGCGCCGACGCCGCCAAAGCCGCTGCGAATGCGCCGCCCGTGGACTGGAGCGCGCTGCTGGACCGCGCGCTGGTGTTCCTGTCGACGGCAAGCAACGAGACGCTGGGCGCGTGCTTGGTTGGCCTGGGCGCGGGGACGTACCTGGTCCTGGGACGAGTGGGCTTGATCCTCATCGGCGTGGTCGGCGGCGTGGCCCTGCATGCGACGTGGGAAAGCCATGCGCACGGCGACCGCGGCCCTGAGACGAGCCACGAGGTGCGGCGCAAGGAGCTGGGCGTAGACATTGCACATCGCGTGCTCTCGTGGCGGGAAAAGCGAGACAAGAGCAGCGGCGACGACGACCATGACGCCGACCTCAGCGTCAAGCTGTACTCGGGCCAGGAGCTCGACTTCTCAGACTTCCGCCCCGAGACGGCAGCGGCGCTGACGGAGCTGACGGACGCCATCATTCGCGACTATGTCAAGTATGCTCGTGCTCGCCATCTGCTTTCCATGTACATGTCTAATGCAATGCAGGTGGTGGTACAACCCCATCATTCCCAACGAAACTCTCTTCCCCAACTCGTCGCGCCAGACGTTGACTGCTTTCCTCATCTCCATGTCCACCCACCTCTCCCGCAAGCGGCCTGCCGATACGTTCGTCGATTTCGTGACCAAGTCCTCGTCCTTTATGATCATCTTCTTTTCCGAGCTGGCCAATGCTATCCTGGCGAACCCCGGCGACAGTGCGACTGAGGCCGTGGATCTGTACCTGAAGATGAAGCGCGATAGCACGCTGGCCACCATCCTCGACAAAGACTTCCAAACGAAGCAGCTCGGCGGTGTCGCCGAGGACATCCTGCAAAACTACCTGGAACCCAAGACGTACAACTGCAAGCCAGCACGCGAGTTTCTGCACCAGATCCTGGCCAAGGTGGTGCTGGAGATGATCGTCGCCACGTGTTCCAAGCCCGAGTGGATCAACGGCTGGATCGTGTACGCGCTTGAGGACGGCGAACCGGAGCTCATGGAAGCCATTGATGCCGGCGTTGAGGCATCACCCCTTGGCAATGCCAAAGAAAGCGCCGAGAGGCGGGAGCACAACGAGGAGGTCAGGAAGCACAAGCGCGTTGTAAGCAGGGCACAGCAGGCCATGGACGAGGCTATGCAGGAAGCGCAGCGGTTGAACCAGATGATTGCAGCTGAGGTAAGCCGACTGGATCAGCGACTTTCTTCAAGATGCGAACACCTCGCAACACCAAGTGCGAAAGAAAGGAATGTTGCTAATGTAGTTCCAGGATGCCAGACGGCTGAAAGAGCAACAACACATGTCAAGTTCGTCCTTGACCGACGACCAGTCCGAAAGCACTACGCAGGGCGTAGTCACCCCAACTTCCTCGCAAAGCGAAACGCTCGCAGAGAACGACATGTCAGCCTTTGGCATCTCAAATATGCCCGCGCAGTCCTCACAATCATCCGACACGCCACCTCCAGGCCAAGAGAACGCGCAGCCGCGGAAAGAAGCCTTCACCAGCTTCGACCAGCTGGTCTCGAATGCTCCTCCCACAGCACTGATGGACAACCCACCACCTGCACCCCCGCCACTGACACTCCACAACTGCAAGATGACCATCTTCGATGACTCTATGCCGGGCGAAAAGGGAATGATCAAGAACAAACCCACCGCCGAGTACCTGATCCAGATCGAACCTTCGCTGGACTATTACAAAGGTTGGATGTCCGCAAAGAAGTATGCCGATTTTGAAACGCTTCACGAGGTGCTTCGCCGCATAGCGCCCATCACCGGCGCGATGGGTTTCGTGGAAGCCCACAAGGACCTGCCAACGTGGAAGAACCACACAAAGGCGTCGCTCCGCGGCGAGCTGGAGCGGTACCTGAACGATGCTGTGCAATACAGGCCTCTCGCCGAAAGCGAAGGCATGAAACGCTTCCTCGACAAAGAGATTGGCAACGGCAAATCACCTGGCGCAGGCGGTATCTGGCCCGGTCAGGCATTCGAGACGATGGGCAAGGGCATGATGAATGTCCTCACTCAAGCACCCAAAGACGTCGCGGGCGGAGGGAAAGCGCTCTTCGGGGGTGTAACAGGCGTATTGGGCAGTGTCACCACCCCATTCGGCGCGAAGAACGGGAAGAAGCGCGCAGACTCGGCGTCGAGAAGCCCAAGTGTGTCGCGCACCTCGACCTCCACGTCCAATGCACCCATTTCAAACCGGCATGGCCGCGCTGAAAGCACGGTTTCCGAGCTCCCAACGCACATCCGGTCCGAAAGCACCATGTCGTTCGCTGCGAAGCGTACATCGACAGAATCTCTCCGCGCCGCAAGTTCGCCCATAATAGATCAGCAGCCGCAGAGAGAGGCGCCCATGGAGCGGCGGCCAAGCTACAACCCCGATGGCGATGGCAAGCGCTCCGGTCCGAGCAGCCTGTTCGGTGGGTCGAGAAGTGCGAGTCGGGCCGCGAGCGTGAGGGAGAGCATGGATCTGTCGCCCACGATGGGCGGCGACCAGCTCATGAGTAAGTCCTGCACCCTTGAGAAGGAAAGCGCGGTAATACTAACGTCAAGCAGACCTCCCTCCAATGCCCTCTGAGATATCGGACGACTACACCGACCCCGTTCACAGCCGGCACCCGTCACGCGCATCAACTACTTCCATTCCCATCGCCACAGACGCACCTCCCGTTCCTCCCCTCCCCCGTCGCCCCTCCGCCATCTCCCTCACCTCCTCCAATCTCGCACCCGCAGTCCCCACTGCAACTGCCGCCTCCTCCCCGGAGCGCAGCAAAAAGAAAGACAAACCCAAAGCCGCCCACGCGCCCCTCTCCGAGCCCGAAACCACTGTCCTCATCGAGCTCTTCTTCGCCACCATCAACGAACTTTACACCCTCTCATCTGCGTGGTCCCTCCGCCGCACCCTCCTGAACGCCGCAAAAACATTCCTCCTGCGCCCGGGAAACCCGCAATTGACGTCCATCCAGACGCTCATGCAGTCCACCGTTCTCGACGCGAATACCTCCGACGAAGGGCTCGCGTACCACATTCGCAAGATACGGGCGAATGCGCTACCCACTGAGGCGGAGAGTAAAGACTGGGAGAAAGAGTGCGAGAAGAAGGGCTGGGTCGGGGGCGAGATGGGGGAGGAGGAGAAGGAGAGACTTAGGGTGAAGGCGAGGAAGTCGCTGGTCGAGAGGGGGATGCCGCAGGCGCTGACGAGTGTAATGGGGCAAGCGGCGAGTGGGGAGGCGCTGGGGCGGGTGTTTGATGCGCTGCAAGACGCAAGAGTTGCACGAGGCGTGATATTCGGGATTATGCTGCAGGCGTTGAAGGGGGTTACGCAGTAAGTGGGAGGGGATGGGGGCGCGTGCATTGCCGGCGTTCAGGTAGTAAGGGATTGGGATGATGTCTGACACCGTTATATACACACGAAGTAGCACGATTGTAATTGTACGATAGATTACGCTTTGGAAGGCATTCCGCGAGCGGGTAAGCGAGCTCGGGTGGACCGTGCCATGCTCAAACTTCCTGATTCGGCAAGCCGCGAGGACTGTCGATTGCAGCACGAAATTCAACCTCCAAGTCCACAACTTTCGACCCCAACCTTCTTCAAACGGCAGCCTGCCAAGCCCATCGATCCCCGCAGGAGTGCTCAACCTTCTCACCATGCGCGACAGTCCGAGCTTGAACTTCTTGATTGGGCAGTTTTGCAAAATCCGTCTGTTGCCTTGCAAAATTCAACCACTTTCCTTGGACGCTCGAGTCATCGCCAGGTCATCCTGACCTGAGATTTACCTCGGTTGACCTGAGGATCGGTTAGCGCACACATTAGATGAGCATAGTTAGCTTCACCGTCGAGCGTGGGAACCGTCAAACTTCCTAGAAGGGCAAGTTGCCAAGTCGGTCGATCACATCGTGTATACCAACCCTTCTTCACGGGTCGTGGCGACAGGTCATCCTGACCTAGGATTTACCTCAGTTGACCTGTTAGCGCACACACTGAAGGTCTGACCTGACCTGAGCTGCATGACCTGCAACCTGTCTCGGGTCCTTGAGAGTCCCAGACTTCCCGACACGGCATGTCGCAAAAGCCATCGATCGCTGCACATGTCTGTCCACCTTGGCTGTTCCCAAGCCCAAATTGCCCAAATCGGCAACTGCGTGGGCCGTGGATCGTGGTGGGATGGTTTAAACTGTCCCAGGTCGCAGGTCATCCTGACCTACAATTAGCGTACCTGACCTGACCTTACCTAAGCAGGCTAGCGCCAAGAAGAGCTTTTCTTTTCAGGTCAAGTCAGGTCCAAGGTGCAGCTCAGGTCAGGTGTGCGCTAACCCATTCTCAGGTCAACCGAGGTAAATCTCAGGTCAGGATGACCTGTCGCCACCGGCATGACAGGGATGAGGGCAAACTGCCGGATTGGGTAGGTATGGAAGGTGTTGATTGCTGTGGGTGTGAGCTGATACGCTACGGTCAGCTTACAGCACGCGGTCAAAAATCTGGATTGGGTAGCTCCTGAGGAGTGTCTAGGCGGTGGATGTAAGCTGACACTGTTCGCTAACAGTCCGGTGTCAATCTTCTGCCCTGGGTCGGCGTGGGAGGTGTGGATTGCGGCGACGGTAAGACGATAGCATAAACCTTCCCAATTCAGCAATTTCATAAAGCTCGAAGCACGCTGTGGATGAGAGACCGCAAAGCTGAATTCACTGTGCAGTAGTGTGGTACCATGATTGGTTGGCAGACTGTCAGCTGAGAGGCAACAAGTGTCAACCACGGGCTGAAGAGCGGGAACGGTCAATCATTCGTGAATAATGTGAACGAAATGTGGAGTGGAAGGATCGCTGAATAATCCGTGAATAATTCGTCTGAAATGTCGAGTGGAACGTGTTGGTCTGGGGATGGTTCGTCGGTTGCCGGCGCTCTAGCTAGCTCAGTAATCCTTCGTCCAGCTCGGGCACGATGTTGAATAATTCAGAGCGGGCTCCTGTGGTGATGTAGTGGCTCAAGACAAAGCTTCCGCTCCCGTTCCACCAACATGCCACCGTCTCGGACTCAGATTGCTCTACAAAAATGCTCGAGCCCCTGCAAACTGCCGCCGTTGACGCGGTCAACCATCGCGCCGCCCTCCAATCCCTTCCAGTCGCCCTCAAGATCGAATTTCTCGTCGCCCGGCTCACGTCTTCAGCACCCACCGGAACAGTTACAATATTAAGCGCAACAATCTCTGTTCTACTTCTGCCTTTACTGGTGCCGGATCGATTCTGAAAGTTCATCCCGCGGCTGCTGTGCTCGGCTTCTCTTTCGTCCCTTTGCTGGCGTAACCAATTTATACCTGAGCGACATCATTGTTATATTCGCAACTTTTGATACCCATTTGGGGACCGCCATGTCACGAGGTTCCATTTCACATATTCCGCATACGGCACATAGAAAGTCAGATCTCGTAGCAAGACGACCAATCGCTATGAGAACGGTCAGCAGTGCGGCAATATCCAGGCTCGCTCTTCCACCAGATCAATCAGCGTGATACTGCATCCTCAGCAACTTGTCAACTCGAAACACTACAAGTCTAACCCGCAGCAGTGGTACGCTCAAACTTCCAATCCTGCCCGTACATCAGTGATATCCACCCCCATATCTGCCATCTCCCTCCATCTACTGATCAAAGAACAACTCATCCCTCTCATGCTTCTTCCGCTCATGCCGTTTCTCCATCTTACTGCCCAGATACGCGCCCGCCAGCGCTCCCGAAATCGGATGGTCGCCCAGCAACTCGCCGCCAACCATGCCCGCCGCACCGCCGCCGACCGCGCCCATCAAGCCACGCTCGTCTTTGCGAGAGGAGGGCAGCGCTGCGTACGGATCGTATGTGCCGTAGGTGTTGAATGGAGCTCGGTCACCGGGTTGTTGGTACTGGTATTGGGGACTTGGAGAGTAGCGCGGTGGCGGTGGTGGAGGCTGGTAGGCGGAGTAGTTGTTGTAGTTACGGTTGGGCTCGCAGTAGGGACTGCAGTGGTGTTAGAGAGTCACTGCCAAGGGATGGCGTTATCTGAGTCAATTACGCTGGCGGATCGCGGTATGGTTCGTATTGTGGGTAGTTCCGACTGTAGGGATACTGGGTTTGCGGCCGATAAGGTTGGTCTGAGAAGAATGCCTGTGAAGCGGATTGCGTGGGGTATCCGGCTTGTTGATACCATTGGGCTGGAGCCGCGTATTGCTGGTCGGGGGCGGAGGTGTAGGCGTTGTATTTATCAGCCATGGTCGTGTTCATGCGCTCGCAAATATTCGTTGGGACGCTTTCGGGAGTCTCTGAAGCTGATGAAGCCAGAAGCAGTTTGAGAAACCGTGATCAGCCAAGTGAGCGGAAGTAGAAGACAGGGCGTTCACTAAATGGCTCACAAAGTATACTACAAGCTGCAGCCACATCCGAGCAACTGTTGTGACACCGCGCATTCTGGCACCGGAGTCGAACGAAGTCGCGCGCCTGCGGCTGCCGAACATGGCATAGACCGAGCGGGTGTGGCGCCGCTGTAACCTGGCGTACCAGGTATGATGTTCTTCGCTTGTCGACTCAGCATTTAGCGTTGATGATGAATGGTGTCGGAGAAGTAGGAATGTTCCTGATTGGACCACTCTCGGAGTGTCTACGGCGATGACGCATGGACGCGGGGTAGCGTAGCTGCATCGCTACATGAAGTAGCCCCGAAGGGGGAGCATCGTGAGATCAGAGTCAAGGAAGTCAATCCTTGAATTTTGTATGACTCTACGGTTTTCGGGGGCCCGGGAGGGCGCCAGCAACAACACCACCTCTGATTTTCACAATACATCTTCGAGAACTTGATGAAAACAGGATGCAATTCATTCAGATATCCTGTACGGCCGGTGCTTTGAAAGAAAAGGGAGCGACCTCACTAAATGAGCACCGAGAAACCTCAATCAATGCCCGACCACTTGCGTAAACCACATGGAGGTTCACTCCGGCGCAGAAACTGCCACAGAGACAATCGCAATAACCCTCAGCAAATTCGAATCACCCCTGAGCTTTTCCCACAACAAACTGTGCAGCCTCATCCGCATTATCCGCGTATGTCAAGTGGTCGACTGTGATGAATCCTCCGCTGCACACAGCATCGTTCTCGTAGCAAATAGTCAAGGTCTTGCCTTCCGCCCCGGTGATGGCAGTCTGATTCCTCGGGTCTCCAAATGTTACAACCGAACTGACCCTGGACATTGTGTCTGCGGGCAGTGACGCGGCTGTGCCACGGACCACGAGAGCCCCTTGGGAATACCCGGAGACGACTACCTTGGTCTCGGGACAGGTCGTAAGAGCTTGGTTGATAAAGGCAGTCCTGATTCAATTAGCATCAAGATTCTTATTCGGAGATTGTGGATTTCGTGGTGAAGCCACGGCAACAACTTACATGCTCGGCACACCCTCCGTACCATTCTTATTAAATCCAGCGAATGTAGCAGGATACTCCACGCCCTGAACAGCAAGAGACTTGCTACCCAACTGCTCCTTCAACGCATCGAAAAAGGGCGGCCCGGTCACCAACCCAACATTCCCTGGCTCGGTCGTTCCCCGCGCGAACACAACCGTAACATCAGCGCAAGAAGTGCTCTGTGCCAGATCATCTTTCGTTGTGTCGATGCCAACTGCATCAGCCAGGCCTTGTTGCAGCGGTGTCAAAACCTTGCCAACTGCATCAAGTGCAGCTGCGCCTTGTGGTAGGCTGCTAATGAGTCGCAGGAACTGGTTTAAGGGGCCGGAGGGGAACTTTGCAAGAGCGTCTGGGATATCCGCACGCGAATCGAGAGCGGCGGGAGACACCGCGTCTCGCTCGGATATAGGTGCGGATGGTGGAAGAGCCTGGGCAACGGCCACGAAGTATATCGCCGTGATGCCGAGTAGGCTTGCTGTTCGCCTCAGCCGGACTACTGAGACCATCCTGTAGACAATCGATTCGGCTTGGGGTCCTGGAGCTGGAGGAGTGTCCTGAATTGGTGTGCTACTTGGCGGGCGAGAGTCGACATACAAAAGCACCCGCACAGCATGGAACCCCCTTCTTTTATGTTGTTTCGCGCAACAACCAAACGCCCTTCGGATACTTCACACCGAGTTCAAGCCCGATTCAATAGTTTGAGTTGAAATCGTGATCCTTGCCGGCCATGGTGTTCTCCGTGTTATTGCACCAATTGCAGGATCGTTCCCTTGGACTTGAAACAGGAAGAGAGGACATGCTGGGTTCCGAGAAGGTAAACATGTGAGTAGCGTTCGCGCAGTCAGGAGAAGGTGACGTACGGGAACTTCAGTATCGGAATCTCCCATTCCCGTTTCGACCCATGCCGTGCGTCGGTCCGATACCCCGCCAGGTAGCAACGAATGATTGAGGTGGATCGTTGCAGGGCTGCCCTTGACCCCGGTAGCACATCAAAACACGAGCTATTCACAACCGAGGCAAAGTACGCCCACGTCGGCAGTGCACAAACTTACACATCAGTGTTGTCAAATACTCAATCGCATGCGGTTAGCCAGTGTCTGATTCAGAGGAGAAATAGTTACATATGTGGGAAGCTAGAGGTCGTCACCTAGTGTATGGAATCCGTGTTACCGAATGAATGTCGATGTTTCCAGTTCTGTTTTGCAGGGTAGATCCGGTTCTAACATCAATTCTGCAATGCATTCATTCAAGAACACATGTTAAATATTCGGTTAGACCGTCCAGATATCGTCTGCTTTTTCCTCTAGGGCTCTAGGATGCAGAGCCTTTGCAACCCATGCACCACTTACGCGCCGCAGACTCGCCCGCAAAGTTCTCCTGGATCACTGTTATTCGTCTACGATCGAAACAAGCGGTGGCATTCCAGACTTGGAAACCATCGTATGGAATTCTGCGAAGCCCATCCACACACCAGTGTTCAGTACGTGCAGGAGGGCAGGGTCTTCTGGAGTCAATGTATTGAGTGACTTGGTTACGTCGAATCCTTCTTCAAATTCGGTGCTGCTTGCATGCTCGGGCTTAGAAGCGACAACAGCCTTCTGACTGAGCGTCTGCTAGACGCTGGGCCTCACATTGGAAATCCAACCCCATGTGGATGAACGACATCGTGCAGACCCTCTTTTCAATGGAGGGTTGCATAACGCATTATCCTTCCGTGTTCGCCTGGAGGAAGTCTTCTTCGGCATTAGCCACCTCGCAATTTTCCCTTCAGCGATGCCGAGTGACAAAAAGACACTTGCTGGATGTACCTTCACGGTTTCCTCACCCCAACTGCGTGTGGGCGATTATACCAATCAGCAACAGAAGAAGTGGCTGAATTGGGCGCGGGCGTGGATCAAGTATGGCATCAAGCCGAATCTGTAAGGGAATTAATGGACCGGGACACTGAAGGGTGTTTGGTGGTGGGATTACAGGGGTTTTGTGCCTCCTGGGACGACAAACAGTTATCATCAATTATCAAAGTCGGGAAGTAAATTCGGGAGCTGATAGATTCGGGAGCTGATAGATTCGGGAGCTCGAACAGATTCATGTCGTAGTCCGGGTACGAGCGGGAAGATATTGGTCACTTTATTGCATGACAGTTGGTGGGATTCAGATAGCACAGCTGCGCAAGATGACACGCTCATAGGAGCGAGGCTCCCGTATTCTAGGGTGCCAGAGTGATACCCAAACAATGGCAATCGAATTACCATACCCATTCCCTATTTTAGAACCATCACAAGTGCAAATCCTCCTGTGCCAGCTCATCGCAAAATCCAACCAGCTTGTCTAAGATATCTGGCTCCTACCAAAAGTGTAAGCCTCGGACGACAAAAACTATTCGATGGAAGATAAAGTTACCATAGCAGAATGGCCGGCTTTCGGCAACCAATGCAGTTCGCTCTTCGGCAACCGCTTGTGGATCTCATACGCGGCTCTAGGTGGACAAACGAAGTCGAGACGTCCCTGCGCAATGCGAACTGTTCGTCGTCAGCTCAAAGTTGACATTGTGTGTATCTCTTCAACTCACCTGGGATATGTTGAATCCTGTCACACCCATCGACCAGCTCAGTAGGTCCCAAGAAACACTCGTGGAGCATATAGTGGGTACAGATGAGCGCAGAGGTCATCTGCTCCACTTTCTCTTGAAGAATGCGTTCCACGTCGTCGGCTTCTGGCTCCTCTTGAACCGCTGTGAACGTAACTTCTGGTCTGTCCCACTCATAGGCCGCTTCTTGCGCAATGGCAGGATCGTTTGATGTGAGCAGCTCGTGGTACGCTGCTGGGATATTCCCTCGTTTTTCTGGTGCAATGTAGTTCACGAAGCGATCATATACCTCCGGAAAGATCATGGAAGTGGAAAGCGCATGCCTGTCGTTTTCTTCTTGTGTCCCCAGAAAGACGCCCCGAATGACGAGTGATCCGCATCGCTCAGGGTGCGTCTGGGCGTATGCAAGACCTAATGCGGATCCCCACGACCCTCCAAATACCATATGCCACTTCTCGATACCAATATGCTTGCGCAGCGCTTCGATGTCAGATACAAGAGCTGGCGTGGTGTTCTCGCAGGTCTCGCCGCGCGGGGTGGATAACCCTGTACCACGCTGGTCTAGAAGAACAACGCGATAGATTTCGGGGTCGAAGAAGACGGTATTTTGCTTCTTGCAGCCTGTACCAGGCCCACCGTGGAGGAAAATGACTACCTCCTGTCAGCCTCAACGTCACAACTCCAAACCATATCCTCGCTATTGTGACAGCTTACCTGGCTTTCCATCTCTCTTGCCGAATTGGAAGTAATGCACTGTATGTAGATCAGTGACTTGGAGACGGCCATCGCCAAAAGCATCATCGTGTAAGTATCCAGTCTTCAAAGCCATCTCGTGTTTTGCGAATGCTATCTTGAAAATGGAAAAAGAATTTCAAAGTGAGCTTGTTGCTCATTGGGACCTTGGCTTTATAAAGACTGATAAGATGTTGGAGCTTGCTCTAAACGAAGGACGAGACCGTAAGCGGATAAAATTCCGGAAGGCGGCCTCGCAGGCAACGAGGTCACATGTCTGCATCTCACCTTTGGAACCTAGCTCTCTTCAGGCTGCTTCATAAGATCAGTTAGTCAGCTTCATGCAGGAGAGTTTGGAATGATGAGGCTTGCTTTTCAATGATATCGCAGCGAATCCTTAGCGCCTTGGTCCGTTCTCGAGACGGAGGCCTGACAACTATCAGCCTACCCCTTGCCTTCTCTGAAGATGCGCACTGTGTTCAATATCATTTCAAAAACGGTGGATAATCAAGCCCAATTTCCAGAACAAACTATACGCACTTTGAATAACGGATGAAAGTATACTACCGTCCCTCCCTACGTGGCGGGACACCCTGCGTAACGGGACGGCCTCAGCATCTTCTGCCATAACAAAGTTACCAATGGCCGAGAAGCGCAGGTAGTTTCGTAATAAATGCCTCGCACCCCAATTATCATCTGTGACCTATAGTTAAAAATGCACCTTCTCGGTAGCCAACAATACCACGATTGACTGTGGACATGCGCGAGAGCGTTACTTCGGCCTGCTTCGGGTCTACAAGAAAGTTCGTGCATCTTGTCTAGGCCTCGTCGAGCTGTACATAGACATCAAAAGACTATATCCCGAGGAAGGCAGCGAAATATCTAAACTCGTTGCTCCTAGTCAATGATCCACGGCGTGAGCATGGGGAGTTGACAGCGGAGAACCCCCACGTTCTAACGGTACAGATATAATACTCCTATTCTGACTCACGCTTATCTCAAGCTCAAGCTTAAACAATTTATTAATAATGTAGTACTTGTAAGGTTAAAGTCACAGCTACATAGTGTCTAATAGCGTTACGTGCATACGCTGAGCTACTAAACGTAAGATGAATCTCGAGCCTTTAATTCCAATCTTTGCCAGCTCGTGTGAAAGCTTTAATCTTTTTCTTCTTTGTGTACTTGCGCCGTTGTTTGGTGCATTGTAAGATTCAGTACATCATTCCCACCTTTGCGACGCAAGCGCTTCGGAATAATGTTGGCGACATGCACGGGTAGTCGGGTGATCGTTCCCAAGGACAGTGGGGTAAGCAGCGCATGCTCTTTCATACAGACCAAGAGATTCATGGATGTAGTGCCGATTCGCAAGGAGGTGGGCGAGACAGTACACGCTCATCAGCGTGTCTGGATGCTCACGCCCGAGTACCGTCTCTTTCAGCGACAGCGTCTGTCTGATCATTGCTTCCGCCGCCTCGTACTTGCCCTGGCGGCCCAGCACTGATGCCAAGTTGCTCATGGTCATCAGCGTTGATGGATGCTCATGCCCGAGTACCGTCTTAGACAGCGATAGTGTCTGTCTGTGCA